TATTATGTAATAGAAAAATCTGTTAACACTTGATTAATTTCTAATTTGATTTGAATATTATGCAGATATCCGCGGATTGAGAGGAAAACAATTTATATTTTTCATTTTACGCCAAAACTTCAAAGGAATAACATTTTTTGCTTAATTAAAACTTCATTATTCTGACTCAGTGAAAAGARAAGTTCATTTTGGTTTTGATTTTGAACTTGTAATAATCTATYTCTGTATTTGAAATCTTATCATATTGGCGGTTTTWTTTTTTTGACAACGAGGCCACTTTGACTATTAATTAATTAATTTAATAATAACTGTTCTTATTAAAAATGACTTTTATCTGCAAACGTCACAAAAGTGACCACTTTTATGACTAAATGACACAGGTAAAAGTTTTACTTTTCAGACATGGAGTAAAAACACTGTTTTTACGCCTAGGCGTTTTTACTTTTACTTGACACTTACTTTGACATTTATCACTGTTGTCTCTTTCTTGTCTCTTTCGCTTTTTCAGCATTTTCTGGAGAGGTACAAGGTAGATTATCAGCATTCGACATTTTGTCGAATAAACTATAAACTACACCAGTTATTCACCAGTTAAATCAATCAACACTTTCGAAATTTCAACACAAATTCCGAAACTGATGCGTGACGTTTGTTACGATTTTATTGCAAAGCGTCCTGATTATTGAGGTGATTTACTTGATTATTGGTGTGTTGCTCTTTTCGTTCCATMTGAATCGTTTGCAGATAAAATAGTATATGTTATTTGGAGTAAAAGTGAGTTTATGTGGTTCAGCTGAATCCATTTGCCTCACTCCGTTCGGCAAAATGAACGTTCAGCTTCGCCACATAAACAATCACTTTTACTCCTAATAACATAATCTACTATTTTTTATCTTGCTGTTTTTTGAGTAGCGATTTATTAAAATTATGTTTTCTACAAACATTTTTGTTATTTAACTTGCTTAAACTCATTTGTTAGTGACATAATTTTCAAAMAAATGCAACCGCCAATGTGATAAAATTTGAAAAGCAGATAAAAATTATTAATTCCAAAATCAAGAGAAAAAATGAACTTTTCTTTCCACTGAATCAGAATAATGAAGTTTTAATTACAGATGTGTTCGTTTCTGGTTAAGCAAAAATGTTATTTAGTTAACTAACTATTGTAAGTTTTTAAATAGCTCCATGTATTTCTTAAAATATACAGTATGTCGTCGGATTGAGTGTACAAGTGGAAAAAAATCTTTGATTTTACGCCAAAACTTCAAAAGAATGACATTTTTTGCTTAACCTGAAATAATCAAATCTGTAATTATTAAAATTTCATTATTCTAATTCGGTAGAAAGAAAAGTTAATTTCCCTGTTGATTTTGCACTTGTAATAATTGTTTTCTGCTTTTTAAGTTTCATCACATTGGTGGTTTTATTTTTTTCACAATTAAAAATTGATGTTAAAAATGAGTTAGTTTTTTCATCTTAAAGCTGTTTTTTGAGTTGCCATTTATTAAAATTATGTTTTTCACAAACATTTTTGTTATATAACTTGCGTAAACTCATTTTTTAAAGTGACATCGTTGTCAAAAAAATAAAACCGCCAATGTGATGGGATTTAAAACGCAAAATAATGAAGTTATAATTATTATAGATTTGCTCGTTTCAGGTGAAGCAAAAATGTTTTTGTTTTTTTCTTTGCAGTTTTGGCGTAAAACCTAAGTTAATTTTTTATTTTTTCTTGTAAACTCAATCCGGAGACACACTGTATATGTTATAATTTCATATTTTTAATTTGGGTCGGAAAAGAGATTATGTAGTAATGGAAAACATCATATTACAGTACCTATAATGAGATATATTTTTTAAATTCAACGTTATAAAACGTATTATGAATTTAAATAAAAGCGTTAAGAATTGAAAAATAAATTAAATCTGGCGTCACTCTGTCCCGGCGCATCCACCAAACGTAAAAATTAAATTTTCACCTCAATGCAATTGTTATCATTATTATTGTTGRTTCGATCTTGCGCTTCAATTTTGGCATCGAGTTTTCAAATCGATCATCTCGCGTTCAGCCATTTCCACTTTAAATAATTTTTAATAATGGCTTCTGTCCCCGACTCTCGTCACTGTTTATCTAACCCTCGAACCGTTCCCCAACTTATTTGTCACGGACTTTGAAAACGCCAAACATTATCTGAAGCCCGCAGAGTTTAATATGGTAATGTACCCCTCCGCCCCGCTAATGTGTATTTATGATCTTATCTCGCATTCGTAGTATTGTGGATTGCAATCAGGATTATTGCTGCTAATATGTAGATTATAGCTGAATTTACATTTCCTTTGTTCTGAAGCAGATGCTTCCAGTTTATTATTAGATGGGAAATTAGGATTTATGCCGAGGGTATTGTGATTCGCGTGTGCCACACTGGCTAATCTCACAATTCGGACCTTCGGCTAATAAGGAGCTCGTTTCTTCCGCACGTGGTGCTGCGACCTATATTATGAGAAAAGTGGCTTGCTCCCAAAAGATAAACACTAATTGCGATACAAAAAGTAGACAAATGTTTTCTTTCATTCTCGGAAACTAAAATCCACCAATTATTCAAAATCACGTGGCAATAAATTTCCACTAAACAGTTCAAGTCTGTTTACACGTACGAACCAAAATATGGATTTCATTTGCATTTATAATCGACTATTTTCTTTAAAAAATTGTCGCATAATTTTCATTATTGAAAAAAATGCCTGATGTGAGGTTTGCCGCTTTTTGTTTTCCCTTTGGCTTTAGAGATCTGAAATGGACTCATAAATTTAAAGTTTCATTATGATTCTTTGTAATCAAAAATGTGTTTATACAAACATTCTTTTATTACAGATATTAATCTTTCGTTTTTATCATCTCTGATTATTATTTTATAGAGCATTTTTTATTTTTGGCGCAGATTTATGAGAAGGAATTTTAATTCTACTATTTTTTAAGTAAAAGCCTAAAAACTGCATTTTTGCTTTGTATTTGAGTACACGTCATTCCAGCATTGGATAATTAAACTTTTATCAACGAAATGCAACATAATGATGTGAAACTTTCCTAACTGAAAATCTATTGCTCATAATTTTATTAAGTTACAATATGCTCGCAGACCATTTGGCATTTCGTAACTAATAAAACTGTAATCTTCAACTAAACTTTAACTTCTCAAATTACGACTAAAAATTCCTAATTTCCCATTAGATTCTCATTGTTGTTAATACCTTACTTGAAGACTTGTTTACAAACAACAAAACATTTTAATTAAAAAAAATTTTAAGCTTGCTTGTGATAAAAATGAGATGAAAAATATTACATATTGAATATTGGATGGTATTGACATAAATTCCGATCATTTATTATGAGTTATTTTGATGTTTACAAACAGATGTGACATGACAAAAGCGCATTATAAATGAAACAGGCAAAAAACTTTGTATTACAAAGATATTTTAGATTTACTGCACAAATCTGATTGCAAATGTTGTTTTTCTTATTTCTGCATGATTTAATTAAACTTCCATTAATAGAACCTAAAAAAATGTAAATGAATTTTTAAGTTTTTGGCTTATTTTTATATACAAAAAAAATTCCAGCAAGATATTTTCAAGAAATTTAGTTTCTTTATTTTTATTTCCCACACAGAACACAATTTTCGCCAAGTGCTTCCAAGACTTATTATTTGACATCCGGCTAAGTCTTAATTAAACAATATTCAATGCTGCAACTTCCGCTGAACTTTGCGTTTCCTCACCCACTTCCTTTTTTCGAAAATCTTCTATCCAGCGGTAAAACTTTTATTTCGATTTTGATTAAACATTCATAGAAGTTGACTAGATCCTTACTTGACTGTGTGAAACTTTTTCCTCTCAAAAGTTTATCATGAGTTTGCATCTCGGCAAAGTTACATCCARTGTCCAGTGAGATCTTGCGCAAATACAAATTTCCATCTCATTAATTCAAAACAAGAGAGTCAGACTCCGATTTATTTGATCTCCCTATGTATACATTTCTCCAGAAAGCACTACAAATTCTATTTGTGATTGCTACAGCACTGATTTATTGCGTTGTTTTCACTATTAATTTTACTACAACGCACTACAAAGATCTATCGTAAAGGTTCTAGTCGTATTAATACCCTTAATGTCGAGTCTCTGTAAGCATCAACATCTGATAGCTTCCTGTTTTGTCTTCTAAATTCGAGGGAGTTATTCCATGTGACGCCTTGTAACACAGTCACTTTATAAACAGTCAATATGAAGAATGAGTTACAATTATTCACCATTTCATGCGCATACACCTGCACAGGAGACAGCAACACAAATTATAGCACTTTCTTATGCAAAAAACATGTTCAAATACTTGTAACTGTACAATTTAAATCAATCTAATTCAATTTTTTCCCTCCTATCTATCACTATCAAGTTTATGTGGCACGTTTTCAGCATTTTGTTATTTTCATTTYGAAATCCATAATACTACATCGCCGTCGGACCGTGGAGTTAATTTTCATGCCGTCATTGAATCGCTGCGTAGTTTGCATATTAAGCCTATTTATCAAGTACAAGATAACTAGAGGGTTTTGCAAATATACAGATGTATTTCAAACAACGTGGGTCAGCTTACCACAATCACAATCATTTGCATTTCACTCTGATTGCAAAGATGAACACAAATAATCGAAACGATCCAGATTAACTCTCGAAATCTAAATATTTAATGAAACGTCAGTGGAATTAAAGAGACAAACGTTTCAAATCCCGAAATAATAAATGCTTTTCTGAATCACCACGCAGAATGCCCATAATCATAAATTAGTGTGTTGGGTTTGTGAGGTTTGCAACTAAAGACACCGACCGCAAGCAACCTAAGCAAACATGCGGTTTGAGTAATTATGCGAACTTTATCAAACTCTCGAACTTCTACACTTTTATTTAAGAGTACAGTTGAGACAATCTAATAAAAGAAGTGGATATTAATTTAAATCCTTTATTGTTTGGAACGAAATCACTTACAACTAGATGCTACACAAAATTCAAACTCAAAATTCTTATGTAAAAATAATTATGAACTTAATATCTGCCGCTTCGCCCCGAGCGATGACGTGGTGAACGAGACCTTCTTTCCCTCGACCGAGAACGTCTTCTTGGTGATTTGGATCTAGAACGCCTGCGGCCAGATTTTCGCCGAGAATACAAGTATCTGAAACAGTATTTCGAAATTTATCGAACTTCCTTCTTCCAATAACCTCAGCCATCAACAAACTCTTAATCTAATTGAATTACATAATCAATTACAGGGTCAAACATGTTCCACGTTACAGCCGGTTCATTATATTAAGCATCAACCGTAATACCTTAATGTATCCATTAATAAATAAGCGGTCAGATATTATTGATATGTTGCAGGATCAAAACCATTATCGACAGTTTTAATAATGACGGCAACATTTACGAACCATTTAAAACCGTTGTATTATTTAGCGAGATTTTTCGGGATCTTCCATTTTCGGCTATATAAACAAAATAAAGCGAAAATTTCCACAACAGTGCTGAATCATTTCTGGAGCGTACCGTATTTTATATATCACGTAATACTCATTTTCTTACAATTCTACTTTTTTCAAGATAAAATTGAGGCAAGAAATAAAAGCGAAACGGCTAAAATTTTGGTATTCGCTATCGCGTGTTATGTTAAATTAATTGGAGATTATGTGTGGTTTATAATAAAACGTAATCAATTTAAAAAAATACTTTACGAAATTAATTTATTTTGCCAAAAAATTATAATTCAATTTAACAATACACAACTTAAAATTTATATCAGTTCGATTATTGTACTAATACTGGTTTTAGGAACAGGTATTGCGATCAAAACTTACTTACATGGTTTTAATCTTTGGTTAATTTGGATAAAAGTAATTTTTATTTCACTAGGAGTAACAAATTCTGTTATCCATATCATAAATAAAGCAATCAAAGAGTTATTTTCTTCGATCAATAATAATCTTAATAATTTAAAACAAACGATAATACCGAACGAAATTATAAAAATGATTAAAACGAATACAGAAATGCATTTCCAAATAACCGAACTTGCAAGACAAATAAATTCGATTTTTGCGATTCCCTTACTAGGAAACTCACTTTTCTTATTTATTCTGACGGTAGTTTTCACGTACCATTTTCTTACTCATGTTAATGAAAAAACTTTAAATATTTATTTTCTAACACAAAACACTGTATGCCTAATTTTGCTTGCATTTGAAACTCTGGCAATGGTTTATTCCTGGGATTCAGTAGCCAAAGAGGTAACAATTCTCCAGTTTATCGAAAAATTAACAAAAATGTTTTAGGCAAATAAAACGGGATTACTTGTACACAAATATTGGAACGAATTACACGAAAAACACACAACTACGACTGAAAACGATGACAACTTTGACACAATTTCGTTGCAGTTATTACAGAGTAAGCTGAAATTTACAGTGTGTGGGTTTGTGGACCTGGATTGGTCCTTAATACACTTGGTATATTTGACGACTATTTAAAAAAATATATAAAGGAATTTAATTTTTAGATTATTCAAACAACAACAATGTATCTGGTTTGGATTATACAGCTCAAATCTTAAACAATTGTAACTGAATTAAATAATAAAAATCATTTCTACTCAATTTTTGGTAACTTACCTTCGCAACTCACGAGAAATCGGTTTTAGGTGCATAAAATTGCAAAAACCTGAACGTGTACACTCTCCCATTTCATATTGACGACAGCAAGCTTCTCTGAAGTCAGTTACAGGACTCAATTCAGCATATACAGGTCGCCCGCCAAACCAACGATTATTCAAATCGTTAACAGCCCTCTCAGCGTCTTCCTCGCGTCTAAACTATTAAATCACGACTATTAATTAGTAGATGAAAYTTTATAAAAACTTACTTTAATGTAGACATTTCCCACAAGGTGGTCTCCCAAATTATCGCACACGTTCATTTCTTCAATCTCCCCATACTTGTCCTCACATTCCACAAAAACATCTTCAAAGAAATTATCGTAATGTTCTTGCATCTCTTCATCGGAGACGTTTGCAACCACTGAAATTTTTAATCATGAAAAGCAACATAAGATTAAGGGAAACTTACAGTGACTTCCGTCAGCAGATTTTGCGGAGTTTTGAGGATTTACATACAAGTTCTGCAAAAGACATGTTTGAGAAAACGTTGGTTTGTTGTGTATTCTGGAACAACGATCGCCATGCCGGCAAGCTCCGATTTTGAAGTAAAAGGAGCAATTGACTCTAAAAAAACCCAATTAACTTGTGTTTTTCTACTCTAGAATGATCAACATACTTATCTTTTTCAGTTCCAAAAATTGAAGCCAAGTACTCAGCCATAATTAACCAATTTTTATGTAAATTTACAATCCAACAAAAAGTGACGCCATACTACGACAAACCTGTCAAAAAATTACAGGTCGGTATTGCAGTTTCCTAGTCAGGAAAGTGTAAAGATGGCAGAGTTTGTTGATTCTTTGTTGAAAATGAGTAATTCGCCGATTTTACAACAAGTAATAAAAACAGTTTTATTGTTAGCAATAAAAGACTAATGTTTTTCAATGTTTCAGTTTTTACATGACTGTATCGATGATTTAACCGGCATAAAACAAATGAATTTTGACAACTACAACAGCGACATCGAGTGGACAGTTGATGATTTTAGTAAAGCAAAAAAATGTATTCAAAAAATTTGCCGCGAAAGTGTTATCAACAATGATTTTGGCTTAACAACAGATTTTGGAGAGAATGTTCAAGAGGAAATTAAAAAATGTTTAGAATTACGCAAGGATGACATTTTTCGAACACTAGTTAAGGAAAAGTTATTAAGTAGTGGACATAATTTAGTTGAAAATATAGACTGGAAAGTTAAATGGGTCCTTGGAAACTCGAAATTGGCGGCAGTGAGRGAACCATTGGTCCAAGTGGATTTGYATTGTGTGAAAAATGTCGAAAATCAAGATAAATGTAAGAAAAATACTGTTAATTTTGAAGCAAATCTTGAAATGTTGGATGTTTTAATTGATCAGTTACAAAAAGCCTGTGATGAATTAAATAATAAATGACTTTATTAATGAAACACAGTTTATTAACATTATTTCTATATATTTATAAAAAGTTACAGTACAATTACAAGATTAAAAAAAATAATATTGGATATAATTAAGATTGAAACAGTTTTTACGTAATTGGGGAGAAAATACTGTTTAAGTACTGCAGGATAAATGATACTACAAGTAACATTCTAATAGTGGCAAAAATTTTTTTCTTAATAATTATTAACAAGATCACAATTCTTCAAAAGTTTAAATTCACATCATAAGGCAAGTGTAATAATAAAAGTAAACTACGTACAAAAATAGAAAAATCTAAATAAATTTTAGGCACCAAAAACTAAATAACAAAAAAATATAGGTTCTAACAATACACTGCAACAAACATCAAAACGAGAAATTTCAAACCTATCCCACAAAATTTATTCATTTATTGAACACATCAATTAAAAGATAAAAGTGACACAAAAACTGAATTTTATTTACATAGTTTGTTAAAATTCAAACTAACCCTGCATCTTTGCACATACTATAAAATATTGATTGTTGCTGTTTGAGAAGATTCGAAGGCGAATCAAATTCAACTATCATACCATTATCTAGGACTACAACTCGATCTGAGTCCATAATTGTATTCAAGCGATGCGCGATTGTCAAAACCGTGCAATTTTTAAACTCGGATCGGATCGTTTTCTGAATCAAATCATCGGTTTCCAAATCGACAGCGGCTGTAGCTTCATCCAAAATCAAAACTTTTGTTTTGCGCAACAACGCGCGACTCAAACAAATCAATTGGCGCTGACCCACGGAGAGATTCTCGCCTCCTTCGGTCACCTCGTGGTGCAACCCGGCCGTCAAACCTGCCAAAATCACCAAAATGAAACAACAAACAGCCATACCAACCTTTCACAAAAGATTTCAAGTGAGCATGTTCCAATGCCTTCCAAACTTCTTCATCGCTGTGCTTATCGAATGGATCTAGATTCATTCGMAGCGTTCCTGAAAACAAGACGGCATCTTGGGGGATGATAGTGAGCCGCGAACGCAATGTATGCAGTCCCAATTCGGCGATATTTATTCCATCGATCAAAATTTCGCCTTCGGCAGCTTCGATAATTCTGCAATTCTATGATTACACCAAATTCTTTTAATTACTTATAATTACCTAAACAATGCTAAGGTGAGACTCGACTTTCCCGCACCTGTTCTCCCAACAATTCCCACCTTTTCGCCCCCATTTATACTAAAATTGACCCCTTTTAGGACTAGATCCAGGCCAGGCCTGTATCTCACTGCGTATTTATTAAATTGGACCGTGCCATTTTCAGGCCATAATAACGAAGGGGCTTTGTTGGGAATTTCCCAGGGGGCTTCCTGAGGAGCCTCCCCGTATTCTTTGATACGTTCTACGGCCACGATGTTGGTTTCGACATCAGAGGTCATTCGAACCAACCAATTCAAAGTTTGTGTTATCTGTTGATTTTTCTTAATTATTTTGGATTTGTAGATTGTTTTGTGGTTACCTGAAGTGAATACGTGACTGAAAGGCCGACTAAACCGGCGTTTTGCGACTCATCTCGACCCAAAACTGAGAATAAAGCCGCAAAGAAAATGATTAAATTTCCAATCATTTCCAATCTGACTGCTAGCCATCGATTTGAGATGATACTTGGGTAATAACATACTTGATTAACGTCAACTCTGTGTTCTGATTCTTTAATAAACCGGTCTTGTTCTCTGAAAGCTCTAATAGCTTGCACTCCTGTGATGGTTTCTCCGAAATGTGAATAAATCGGTGATCGTGAAACCGACTCTAACCGCTTTAATTGTCGTGACGTCGCAACGTAAAATCTTTGTATAAAGTAATACAAAATTCCTATTGGCACTATAACTGCGACAAAGATCGGTGTCGAAACACTGATCACGACTAAAGTACCCAACACCTGAAATAATCTCAGATTATTACCACCGACTCCTCGAAAAAGAGAAAATGTAGCGTAGAAAGCGAAGCAGTTATATTTAAACATATTTCGTACATTGCACAACATTTTCCCTCAGACATAATTTAACAAAAAATGATAAATGATAAAAGCGAAAAACAGTGTAAAAAGCACCTAAAATGAAAATCTGTAGTTTATACCTCAAACAGGCAATAAACTCCATCTGTTATGCCCCAAGGCAAAGTACTATCCATAGTTTCAACGTCTCGAGAGAAACGACCCAAAATTCGTCCAAGCGGAGTTGTATCAAAGAATAACATCGGTGCTCGTAAAACACCTCTCAACATTACCTGATGTAATGCAATTGAGGCATAGCAACAACCTATCTGAGGCGCCAAATCAGCAAACAATGACATAATGGCTGAAATTTTGAAAGATTGTGATTAAGGACTGAAGGACAAGTCGAGTGCGCGTTTACGGTTTTACTACAAATATTAGTAAGGAGTTAATGTTTTATTAGTATGTGGAAGTTTATTGCCTACTGAAAGCAGTTAGCACAAAAATGTGTGAATTAGTAGGCGTGCTTAAAACCAAAAGTGATAAGAATWAAAAAAATGTTAGGATTAGATGGAAACGAAATCTGTAAAATAAGAAGAAACCTGCAATTTAAATATAACTGCTGTAACAATTTGTGGGCCACTTACAATGCAAGTGCTTTCGATAACTTCGTAACAATTAAAAGGAAGTTCCTCATCGACCCCGCTCAGATCTTTAGAAAATCTACTAAGAATTCTGCCTACAGGAACTAATTCGAAAAAACTCATCGGCTGTCGAAAAATATTCAAAAGGAGATCTTTATGAATTTCAGAGGCGGCATTTAAAGATGCGATTGTTAGATTTAATTCCGACGAACAGATCGATATGGCTACAAGATGAAAGTTTTCGGTTAAACAAACATAAATGCTACAGCATGACATTAATCTAACAGGTAGGTCTCAAGCATTCTAACAAGTTCAACCAAATCAAAGAAAAGCGATAAATTAAAAACGGTGTTCGTTCAAACAATGAGTGAAAATGTTGGCCTAGTTAAACAATATAACTGCTTGACGACTTATGAATAAAACAAAAACACAAACCGAAAAAAAACAAGTGATCCATCCTCTCAGAGTCATTGGCAATATGTTATCCACAGTATCGACGTCTTTGGAAAATCGATTTAGAATGCGTCCAACTGGAGTTACATCGAAAAAAGTCGTACAAGGAACTCGTAAAATGTTGGACAGTAGCAATTGGTGGAGTATCTGAGCTCCGTTCAACGCTCCTATGTATAACGACAACGCCGATAACAAAACGGCAATAGCTGAAAACCGATCACAACTCACAAATTCGTATGACGTTATATTTCTCTGTTAAAACAAAACAAAAGTGCAAAATTAAGCATAGAAATAAAAAAGCTAAAGCGGTTAAACTAAGACAAACTGTGTTAATCACCCAACATTGCTCGTTAGTGGGACAGAAGCTTTAAACGTTATTTACCGTAAATGACGTATTAAAAGCTGATTGAAGAGACATTGGTAAAACGTTATCCAGGATGTTAATGTCGTTAGAAAACCTGTTAAGAATTCTACCTAAAGGTGTCGTATCAAACATCATCAACGGCCAACGAAAACAAGTATTCAAAAGAATCTCGTGAGTTCGTATGGCTGCTTTTATGAATCCAACAGCAAAGGTCACAGAGAAAAGGAAGGAGCAAAAACCTACAAGTCGTTAGGATGATACAAATGTTTTTTTTTTTTTTTTTAATAGAGCAAGTCTAAGATGTGTGATTTACGTAAGAAAAATCACACAATCTGCATGCTGTTAGAACAAATTTCAACTACCGGAAAATGCAAATAAAAAAAATAAAAAGCAGCAAAACATGCCGCTAAAATAGGATTATTTAATCGACAACCATAACAAACACTTACCTTGGCCTATACCCAAGGCACCATAAATGCCAAGATAAAAGTCTCTTTTCCCCGTGTCGGTCACATTATCGACAACAACCGTTTTATCATCAGCCCACACACCTTAAAATCACAATGAACGAACTAAATTGCACACCCAAAATAACTACACTTACCCAACCAAACGTTCGAGCCAATACTAAACCCTTGAAATAGCATATTTAGGAAAATCGTGGCCACGGTTAGAAAAATCCCGATTGATTTTAGGTAATGTTTATAGACAATCCATTTCACACTTCCTGTTTCGGCTTTTTCAATCTCAATCAATTTATCACCTTTGACCTTCTTCGTCTCCTCTACAGAACTCGAGCGGTGCCTCAAACTCTTATCAGTGCTTTCGACCGACTTTTGTCTTTGTAACGACAGACTAGTTTGGTCTGAACCCGTCTCGGAAACTGACTCTGAAACACGCGACCTATGCCTTGACAACTTTTTATTAATCTCTTCCGAAACTGCAGTTCCGCTAAGTTGCGACTTAAGTACATCAAGTTCTAAAACCAAACAATTAAACCAAGTTATTTTCACACCGAACTAACCTTCTTCATCCTCTTCGACTTCATTAATATGCTGCAACAAAAACTCCGAAAAGGCCCCTTTTTTGTCGAGCAATTCCTGATAAGTGCCACTTTCGGACACTTCACCATCTTTAAGTACTAGAATTTTGTCGGTTTGTGGCAGATACGTGATTCCATGAGTGACCAAGACTCGAGTTTTGTGTCTAAGGAGCCCCTCAGGACCAATCACTTTATCGAAAATGTGTTTACCGACATGGCTGTCGACGGCACTCAATGGGTCATCCAGGAAGTAAATATCGGAGTTTGCATAAACGGCGCGTGCGAGACTGACTCTTTGTTTCTGCCCTCCTGACAGATTTATACCTTTTTCACCAATTTCGGTCTGGTCCCCAGCCGGCAACATCGCAAAATCGGGATTAAGGGCACAAGCCTCGACCACTTTATCATACAAGGATTTATCGAAAGATTTTCCGAATAAAATATTATCTCTCAAAGTGGCGTTCTGAATCCATGCTTGTTGAGCCACATACGCTATAGACCCGACTGTATTAACCCGTCCTGAAATTTTATCCATTTCGCCAAGGAAAGCAGAAAGGAGACTGCTTTTGCCAGAACCCACCGAACCTACCACAGCACAAAGAGATTTTTTCTCAACACGAATGTTGATATTCTTGAGTATTTGATCCTCATCCCAGTTGAAACAACCGTTTTCTATCACCAAGGGTGCAGCTGAAAATTTGAGATGAATAAAATTGTTACGAAAAAAATTACACCAGACGTACTCTCATTCGGGTCATGTGTAACACTCGTAGGATCTAATTCTTCCGCGTTCATAAATTTATTAATTCTTTGAATTGAAACCATGGCCTGTKTAAGATTAAAAATGTTTATTTTGTGTCTGAAATGACCAGGACACGTAACACAAAGAGTTTGAAGTATTAAAAAGCAACAAATGGTGTATTAGTGGAAAATATGCTGTAATTCGTGAAACTCAATTGTAGTGAGTTGTGCAAAAATTATTTACTTAGTTTGAGTTTCATGAATTATTTTTAATGTAACAAAACATCAAAATATGAACTATAAGGCTTACTTGGACCAGGTTTGATATCATCATTGGCAACATGCTCAGCGGAAACCTTAGTATATTGAAGAGAGAAACAGAGACAAAGGCCTTACTCGCATCTAGAACGTTATGTTCGTCCACCATAACATATGTACCGAAAGAGACTAGTGATACCTAGAGCATGCAGATGAAAAAACAAAAAATAGAGTAGGCATTAACCCCATCCGTCTTAAAATCTAATGGGTCTATAGACCATATCCATGTTAAAATCGCAATGAAATGTGTTATTCTTGTGGATCATTTTATTAAATATGTACCTCGACGCAGTACACGATCAACATTGGCAGAAGCGACATTGGTAATCGCATTATACCAAATAATGTTATTGAAACAAATACCGCTTCGTGTGTGAGAATGTTCTTTGAGTCGCTGTAGACGAATACTGCAAAGGTGATCAAAGACACCTGCACATTTCAAAGAATTAAAACAAAAAATAAAAAAACACAAATACATCAGACGTAGTCGGCTAAGGGACACATTGATTAAAAAGCCAATTATTGATCACAAATTTTGTAATCTTGTATTTTTTTAAATGTTACCAAATATGGTATAATTAATAATGTATAATAATATAATTTTTATTGTTGATGTCACATTGAGGAATCAGAGAGGTAAATAATATAAGAAAGTCACCAACGATTTTTTAACTAAAAGATATCACCACTATTTAGAAAAAAAACTGTGAACTGTGCGTCAAAATATGCGGTCAAAGTAAAAAAAATGTCAACTTGGAGAAACTAACGAATTCTGATAAAATTGTACAGATTTCTTTCTGAATAGTAGAGAAAAAAAGTTATTCTAAAGTCAACCGACTTTGGCTTTATGTAGAAAAAAATACGTAATTGCCAAAAAAGCCCAGCTATTTTTCAATAAACCACCTGTTGTCAAGTTTGTCCAAGATTACTATTATTTGCTCACTGATTAAAGTGATATTTCTTTGTATATTTTCCAGGTCACTAGAACAATAGCCGACTTACGCAGTAAAAAAAAACCTTAAGGTTACACTGTCAGGTGGAATTCTTTTTTACAAAACAGGATTAAGTTATTGAATGCACCTTCGCTTTATTTACTGAAAAAATACTCACCAAAAAAGGGGCACACGACCAAATAAACGACGTCCCGGCGTTCATATACGCCGCCTCTTTCAAAACCTGTATTTCCTTCGACCTGATTTTCAAAATTTGTTTTTCAAAACTCGGTTCCCACGCGTATAACTTAAGTACTTTGATTCCGCTTAAGACTTCATTCATTAATTTGACTCTCTCATCTTTATTCTTCATTTGTTTGATTTGTAACACTTTGACTTTATTCGCTATGTATCCGTTAACCGGGATTAAAATAATCATGACGGCCAATCCGGCTAAAACCGCAGGCCCTAAGATATTCCACAAGAAGTACAAGGCGAGAATAATCTGTAACGGTGCTGACCAAATCATGTTGATGTAAGCGGTCAAATCGATGAATTTTTGTGCATCTACAGACATCAAATTGACAATTTCTCCAACAGTGCTCTCTTTGCGCGCTTTGTTCGATACTCTGAGGGCTTTTTTGTAAATCGCCGACACCAAAGCCGTCCGAATTCGCATTCCCACAACAAACATTCGATTGAAATATTGAGAAAGGACGATAGTTTGGATCGTCGCGGTGACAAATAGAGCACCGGCGTATAGGAAACCTTTCCATTGTTCTTCATTATTTTTCACGAACTGGATAAGTAAACTGAAATCGCACATTAAACACATCCCTTCCATCTCTCTTAAACACTTACTCCAAGATGTGAGGACTGACGAAGGTAAGTAGATCTTGGATGAGTTTAAGTAAGGCACCGAATACGAAAGTAGGTCCGAAAGCTTTAATTAGAGCCGGCAGGATGGACGCCTGCTTCTTGATCGAGCTGTTGACAATATCCACACGTGCTGAGTCAAGTTTATAGGAAGCACGAGTTTGACGTGTAGGAGAGTTGCTGTAAATTGACAACACTGAGGACGATTCAAGGGTGAAACGAGTACAACAATAGGTCACAAAAACAACAAACAACAAAGGTGAGAGTGTGAGGAACGAGAAACAAGGCGGTGCTGCAGCTGGTGTTAATATTGTTAAAAAGCAAAAAAAAAAAAAATTGGCTATTAAGCGTTCATTACCTTCTTCAAAACATATAATCCGTAGTTACGTAAATTAAATTCTTATTTACTGAACTGATAATAGGTAAGTGATATTTTTGTAAAATTAAGAGATTTACAAACTTCAGGAAAATAAAATATTAATATATTTCATGTATAAAATTAACATAATGTTATAATTAATTAAAATAAGCAAGTCAAAAACTTCCATTCTAACTTTTGTGATTTTTTAAGAATTACATATTTAATTCTTATAATTCATGGATAACACATGTGTTTATTTAACAGGTAATAATCAAAATCTTTCCTTTTTTAATAACTTATGCTAAAAAGCTTCAAGCAAAAGCGACTTAACAACTATTTGTTACCTTTCGCACTTTTGCAAAATCCTCTTCCAATGTTTTTCAAACGTTGGCACAACTTCCGATGCTGAATCTTCTGGTTTCATATCCCAAAGATCACTGTCGACCAAAGGTCGTCTAAAGCCTCTCCATGCGAGAGGATCAAACCAAGAGAATAGTAGCCGGGAAAGAAAACTACTATTTTCCTCTGGACAAGGATTCTAATAAAATACTTTTGACTTAAAGAATATATTTCATATTTTGTTTTTAAATCAAACCTTGAGTTTAGGATATTCGCTACGTCGTGGAGGCCGATCAGCAAAACAATTTAAAAATAACATTACTAAGACCACTGGGTAATAAATTAAGTAACTAATGTAGGAATATTGAGACTCCGAAATTTCTTCCTGTGAGCCGTTGATTTCAGTTCTGTATTGAAAGGCCCCACAAATTGCCAATGAGAGCCAAAATAAGAACTGTAATCCCGAAGTACAGAGGCCATATTTACGGTTATATACTAAAAGTACTGCTGACAGACCCTAAAATGAAAAAATTAATCAATACATTTTACCATTTACTATATTTTTCCAGAAAATGAAAGTGTATTTTAATTTTGTGCTTATTTTTAAATATAAAATTACTTTTTATGTATCTACAAAAATTTACAAAAACAACGTATCTACACTAAATTTTACAAAATAAGGAAGTTCCTATGTACATATTTTTTTCCAGGATTCATATAACATTATTGTAATCGACCGTAATGATAAATAGTCTGTGAAATGTAGTAATATTGGTCGCATAGTATTTCAAATTTTTATACAGACTGGATTATAAAAAACATCCCAAGACATAATAGCATTTTTAAAGTTAGGACAATACCTCTTCGAACAAAGTTGCACAGTTTATTTGTCATCTGTTTAGATTGATCGAGCATCTATCCTCAAAGATTTCTCATAATAAGCTGTTTAACTTATTTGATCAAATAACTACAGTGCGATCAATAAGTCTTTCTATCAAGTAGGCGTTCTAGTTGAGGACGTACGTTGCATGGCAGTTCGTATGTTATCTAGATGTCAAAAAATTATTTTATAAAAATTAAAACACAAAGCTATTAAATTGAATTATTCTATGAAACGTCTCAAAATATCCTAAAATGAGACTTTGTCAGTGTTTATTCATAAAAATCGTTCAACACGGTTTCCTGTTATAATTTACATAAAAATTATTTTGATATTTCTCATTTGTCATTGTGACATTTTATCTTCCACAGACATATGTTTTAAATTTCTACGCTTGCTTGATAGACAGATTTTTTGATCTCACTATATGTATTGTCATAATCATAAAATAATGGCGTGGGGTGTATATAAATTACAATATAATTTTAAAAAATCACGATTTCAGAACTGATGTGCTATTAAGAGTGTAGTGACACTTTATGTGGCGAAGTTGAGTTACATACATAATGTTACCTCCTTTTACCCTGAAGAACATATACTATTCTATCCACAGACGTTTTAATTAAATTAAGAATGTGTAAAATTCAACATCAATGCCTTTTGATAGAAATAACTATTTCAATTACTCCATCTTAGAAATTGATTTTTACCAAATGCTAAAAAAATTTATTCATTTGGACAATACAGTTGGAGACAAATTACTTTGGTCGTCAATGTCACTTTAGTGACATTAAATTGTAAAGCATGCTTTAGGACTGTTAACCTTATTCTTAGCCACTGTCAATCATAGTTGACAAGTTGTATGTACATACTTTTGATAAGAAAATACAACAGCTGTCATTAATTTGAAATTGTCATTCATTTTAACGTTAAAGCTTGAATTACATTAAAGTGTCAGAAAAGTGACGACCAGAGTATTTTGTCTCCAACTGTACCTGTGGTAATAATGGTAATACTAAGTTACAAAAAATCATTATTAAGCTTGACGAATGTAGCAAGCGTAACCTTCACACTTTTACCTATATTAATGAATATTTAGTGAAATATCCCATAATTATAATCATATATCTATGTACAATTGCGGACACAGAATTTTAGATATCAAATTTATTTATGTCAGTTTAAAAAATGTCAATGTAAGCCACGCTTTATTATAATTATGATTGACATTGGAAAATAAGATTTAAAAGTTTTAGTTGAAATTTATTTTTGGCGTCGATTGAAAAATAAGATTTGAAATTTTTAGTTGAAATTTCTTTTTGGCGGCGATTTTCCGAAACAATAATGCAATAAAGCAATACGTGTTTTAATATAAGTTCAATAAATTATTTTGATTTGTTGTTATTTTTTTCTCTAGCTTCTCTAGCTAAGATAGGTACTATTTTCATATTTAGTTTTGAGTGACTTCGATTTCACTTAACGGTTTTACATTTTATATTTAAGAAATGATAAACCTCAAATATTTATATAATGCTTCACTGTACTTTATCAACTTATTTATTGTGAAAAAAAATGTAACAATATATTATCATCAAGGTTGAGAAAGCGATAATTTTATATTTCCAATGGATAGGTGACATTGTTGCGACATTGAAGAAATTTAAAAAATGTTCATTAATTACCTAGGCCAATAATCAGTCTATTAAGCTCTCTATAAATAAATATATAAATAAACAAATAAATCTATGTTTTTAAAAATAAATAGTTATACCCTCGGTTATATCTACAACATACGAGTGTTTCGATAGCAATCTCGAACTGGAACTTAACGAGGACTGCGCAATTATGGACAACAAAAGTGGAACAAATTATTTAATTGTTCAATTTTATATAAATAAATCTGAACCCAACACTTTTTATTTCATTTTATGCATTTTGCAGCAAAGTTGTCAAGTGCAGTAAATCAATAAGGTGTTTACTATTTATCTTACTTCCAATTATTATATGTACAATGAGGTTGAGCGCACTCCTTTAACGGTAATGTTTTAAAAAATAGAATTGATAATAAAATAGTAATTTTTGTTACAAGTACCTAAAATACCGTTTTTCCGAACGAATGGTTGCGTTGCCGTTTCCGGACGAGGAGAGGCCGAGTCTGGAAAAGCAGATGAATCCGCAAAAACGTTTTAGGTATGTACACTTTTATTCACAAAAAAAGCGTACACGTATTGAGGACTATTGTAAATAGGATATATTAATTAATCGTTTCCAAGAAAACGTATTACATACTGACATTTTCACATTTTGTATGTCAAATGTGTGAAAATTGCTTTCAATTGCTATTTACAATTGAATTTTACCACGACATATAATACCATTAACAAGAGTGTGATCATTACTAATAAATTGGAAGATGGGTAGTCTAGGTGTAAAAGAACTGAAGCACTATTTTAAAGAAGTCCCGACCTCAACTACATAGAAAACGTTTGAGGCCGTATGGCAAAAGAAGTGTCTAATAAACTGAATGTCAGGCTTCCTACTGCAAACGAACTATGGAAATTTGTGGAAAATAAATATATGGAAAAGTTTAGCGAAGGATTAAACTTATGCCCAGGCACTTGTTCACTCAATGCTCCGTAGACTAACTGAAATGAACGCAAAAAATTGTTGTTGAGGATTGCCTTTTTTGTAAATTTGTGAATAAAAGTTTATGAATTGTGTTTGTAGTAATCGATAATGGTTGCCTAATAAGGCAAACAATTTAAACACATTAAAATCTCTGAAAAATACAACGATAAAATCCAGCTATCAGCAAGGTTTTAGTTCCAGGTTTTTAAGTAACAACGATTAAAAGATAAGTTTACAATATGACAATCTAGCCAAAATTGGGCTCACTACTTGTACGCTTTTTTTTGAATAAAAGTGTACAATTTTTGTTAAAACTCCCAAAATACGAATTCACACCTCTTGTTAATTACTTACAAAAATTTGCCACCATAGGAACTAAATTGACTTTTTCGTCGGAAAAACCTATATTTTAGGTGTCGAATACCTAAAGTAACCATTTTACGTACATTTTGTTGAGTCCGGAAAAAACTCATTTTATAGAAACACAAAAAAATGACAGGTTATGTCGCTTTTGACGTCGTATCGTCACCCAAAAAGTTTGCTCAAAAATTAAAAATATACTTACAAAAGTAAGCAGTTTAATAACTGGTGTGTAAATATCCACTTTATACACATCACTTTCACTTGAGCTCGCCGAATTAATTCCTGTCACTAAATCAGTAACTGTTAACACAAAAAGAATAGCAGTTCCCAGTAACTTGGACACATTTAACCAATTCCAGGGTATATCCCTTCTCTTGCTGTGCAAAATGTAATAAACTTCTAAACTAGAAAAAGTCCACAGAAACGCGCAAGGAACCCACACTAAAACTGTCCTTTCAAAACATTTTGTTAGATCTGGATTGTTTGTGTGCCATGTCAGCGTTGAATTCTAGAAAAAAATAATTCATATTTAATTGAAGATGTTGACCAGTTTTGCGAGATTAAAAAAAATCAACGACTTGCTGCTATAACTAAATATACAGTTAGCACCGGCGCTATTTAACCTTGTTTATTTTACGTAACTAAAGAATGATATTTAAAGTTCGTGCAAATACGTTGAATTAAAAAAGCAACAAAAATTAGTTGTCTTGGATTTTTTACTCAAATTTTTACTTTAAACTTACCCAAAATTCGGAGCCACAAAATTTATCCATAGTCGTTGCAGCCATTTTTTACCAGGAACTGCGCAAACTCACACCCATTCGAAAAAATCCTGAAAGAAAAATATCTATTTCCTTGAAATTACTCTAACAATTTTAAATTTTGACATAATCTTCGATTATCCAGAAAAACACGATGGTAAAAATACACAAGATTACAAGTTCATCACAAATAATTTTTTCAAATCTCGCGGCAGTACCAAACACGTGATTTAAAATGACAGTTGACAACTGTCACAAGCGAGTTTGTTCAATAATTTGTTTTAGTTTACTTAAAACATAAAATAATATAATTAAAAATGACCAAGTCATCAGGAGTATTCCTCGACGTTGACCCCACTATAGTCGAAAACAATTTACGATTTGCGGTAAGTCAGTTAACAGTTTTACACATTTTTTAAGGTTAATTTTTGTTTTTAGACCAACCCAAACGAAGAAGAATTTAATAAAATATTTAACCCACAAGGGGAACAGTTCCCGTCCAAATTAGTAAAACCGTTTCCCGGTAAGTGTTATCTCGCTCGTTATCAGTGGGTGAATTCAGCAAATCCTTCCATCATTGTTGATAAAACAAACAATTATAGAAGTTAAAAAGATAATAGGATAATGCAAGTCACCAGAATTATGTTGGTGTAATCTTAATTAAAGATAGAAGGTTGCATTTTATTGATTCWTGAAGAAAAAAAAGAAGTTTTACAATTATATTCAACTACAAACATCCGTTTAGATTCTGGTTATTTAACACCAGTCCCTGAGAATTAATCTTTTTGTATGTTTATTTAATATTTACAATGTTTCCTGTTTTCACAATATAATATTAGATATTAACACTATACACTAATCACAATAATGATTTTATATGATGTCAACAATTAACATACGTTTTTAATAGTATAAATGGACATTTATTACTTAAAATCCCTCATACTTGTATTGACTTATTTTTAATCCTAACAGAAAACAAATTAATTCCATTGTAATTATATTTTTCATCCTCCCACAAATGTATTTACATACTTAAGTAAAAAATATGAAATTTCTCATATTTATTACAACCGGTTTTAAGGAAAAATTTGAGGATGGGTTTGTAAATTCCTCTCTTTCACATTTAAAATAAAATATGAATTGCATAACTCTGGAAACATCAAGGTCATCTTACAACCGTAAACAATTCACAGTTTAAGTAACTTAAAAATAGTAGAAGATACTGAGAAATAATAACACAAAAAAATTACCAAACACGGAACTATCTCATCACATAAACAAAAGACTTAATAACGACAAGTGACTATCATTATTATTTAATTTATAGTCTTGCGGCAACAAAATATTTTTAGTAAAAATCTTAATTGTTGTTAAGCAAGAAACCGGGTTGTGCAATTTGCAAGAAGTAGATCATTTGATTAATTCACTATTATTACATTATTTATCAATTTAATTTACTCGGTGACAGTTTGTTCTAATTTTTTGATTGAATTTCGGGTAAGAAATTTATTACCCTTGACTCACCCTACAATTACAGATAACGAATGAAAAGTCACGATATGCACACACCATATCAACCGAGAATAAATCAAGGCTTTCACGAAGACAACAGTTCAACGTTCATGAACATAACAAAAATTACCTTTTCTGTGTTAAATGCACCGGTTTTGGTAGCAGCACCACTTTTAATTGTCACAAACTAAATGAAATTGTAAATCGAAAACCGCTATTTATGTAGAAGYCGCGAAAAGTGGGTATGAAAATTTCGACCGCGCTTTACTCGCGTCACCACTTGAATGATGGTTATCTGCTCGATTCTCACATTGTATCCACAATAAGTGATACAAACAATTGACTTGATGAAAGCACGGTTTTATTTCTAACTGGTTATAATCACTTAATATTTTGAGTGCTTTTAATAAAAAGAGAATTGAAAATTTTGTTTTATTTTGTTTGGTTGAGTTATATGAGACTTGAAGAAGCCACAGAACTGTAATAAAAGTGCCAAGAATTGAAATGTTGAATTAAGAGAGCGAAAATACAGGAATTTTAAACCGAGGTGAATGGCAAGGAGCGACCAGGGTTGTATTGGATCAATAATTCCATTTATTACATTGATAATTGTATAATTTAAAATAACATGACTTAGAAGTATCAGATTACAGTACCTATTTAATTGATTAGTTGATTACTCATCTTAAATTCATATCTGAAAGGCTATTTCGCTTTATCATCGTTCACTCTTTGATATGTTTAACATGTTTTAGATGCCCTTCATATAAAATTTTATTTCACAATATTTTGTAATTAATTTACTAACAGTTTGACTATACTTGAATATTATTTTGTCACTTACAATAATTAACTAGTTGTTTTAATAGTACGAAACGTAAGAAATATCCTAATGTTGTTGTAATTACAAGCCCAAGGGAATTTTTTTTCTCATCTTAGTTGATTCAAATTTGCTGTATTTGTTTATAATGTGACCTTGAATGCTAGATAATCCTTTGAAGTGTGATTCCTATTTTATATGGAAATACTACATTGATCGATGGTTGACAAGTTGTTTCTTTATTGATTTATTCATGTTACCAACCTGTCCGCGTTTATTTTTGACTATCATTGTTGTCAAATCAATAATCTAGTGCAGCTGTAAAAGGAGTGATGTCATCGTGAAACAACTTAATTAAAAAAATTATAAATGAATTGTTAACCTTTACAAGAAATTTTGTATTTATTGTATATGATTTTTCTAATTCTAATGAAAATAAGACAAAATATTATTTAAAAGGAATTGAAAATTAAAAATAATTAAAACCAAGAAGATTATTATTAAATTAAATATATTTAGTTGTCTACTTTAGTACTTTATGAAACATTTCTCTAAAACCTATTTTTCTATTTTTTTCATTAATAGGTGTCATTTGTTTAAAGTAACTCAAATATGCGTTGTCAGTAACTATATTTAATTGATCATCTACTGAATTAACAGACGCACTGTGTTCATTTTTCCGATGTAATTTCACATATAAATTTATGATTATTGACATATCCCACTGTAACAATATTAATAATAATGCATATATTAATAATTATTATACAGGGTGAATTTAAAGTATGGAACCAAGCGGTTTTATTTTTAATCATTTGCCCCCAGAAAATAAGAATTAATATAAATTAAAGTAATATAAAAAATGTCATCGTATTTTCAGAACGAAATTTTGTTTTGTTTTTGAGTTATGCGATTTTTTTTTGTCAAATTTGCAATTTATGTGAAAAATTTTTAAAAAAAAATTAAATATAAAGCAGATAGTTGTAATCCTTAGAGGATAGCTTTTATGAGAAAAATGATTTTATAGTGGATTGCCATTTAAAAAAATTAATTTTTTTGTGGAACTCAAAAACAAAAGAAAATTTCAAAAAATTTTATTCTTGTTAAATCATCACATTTTTATAGTACTTTATCACTCATCAATGTTTGGTGCCATACTTTTTATTCACCTGGTATGTATTATTATAATTATACAAATGGTATTTCTTACATGTTTTTTAACAATTAAAAAAATTTGAATTATTCATATTTAACTTTATTCGCATTCACAACGTATTGTTCCTAACTATGTCCATTTTAACTGAAACAGTCTATAACGTTTGTGAAACATCTTACTATTTAATCCTAAATAATTATAGATAGACATTTTCAAATGACTAGAATTACTATTTGATAATTGTTTTTTTTTTTTGTAATTTTTCCTATCGCTCCCAAGGAAGATTTAGACTCTAAGGGCCGGTTTTTCAATCGTTGGTTAAAGTTAAACCTCTAGTTAAACTAAAAATGCAACATTTTGATTGGTTAAATTGCAAAAATTTCCATAGAAACCTACTAACTAGAGGTTAACCAACAATTGAAAAACCGGCCCTTATTGTGTTTAGAGCAAATTTTTTCACTTCATTATAGTATTATGTTTTAAAATTTCTCTGGTGATTCACATACAATATCCTATTGTTTGCATTCGTTGAAATTAAATAACGCTGATGAGTGGGTCTGAATTTAATGTCCTTGAGTATTGTTAAATTTGTACTAGGACAAGGTTTAATAATTTCGTTATTAAAATTGCTTTAACCTCATACGGTTCTTAATTATCTAAAATTATTTGTAGACGTTTACTACAAAATACTAGTGCTAAATACATAGAAACTTTTTGTGATAGGGTCGAAATATTTACAGCGAAGAATTAAAAAAAAAAATAGAATCAATTCATTACGGCGCGTAATGTGTTACAAGAAATGTTTTATACAATAAATTGATACGAAAAGTTTATGGCACTTATTTACAAACATTTAAATGGATTATTACGTAACATCGCATTTAATACAATGAGTAGTTAAAAGTTACAATAGAGCCAAGAATGCGTATGTACAGACTGTTAATTTAAAGAATCTTTTACAGGATTCTGTATCAAAACACACGAAATAGGTTCCGATACGAAATTCTTCGTCAACATCTGCCACACCGAGGCAATTCCTCCGCCGAAAGACATTTCAGAAAATGAGCTAAAGAATATCCTAAACTCTGACGAAGCACCCAACTTTCGGGTGCCCATGAGTATCGGAGAAATACGCAGTGATAAAGATAAGAAAGGAGAAGAAGCAAAAGCTTGTGACGTCGCAATACATCCTATTTTTCTCAAAAAAATCGAACAAAGTCAGTTATTTAAAAGTTTTTTTGTTACTATTGTTTTCGAGGGCTTGAAAGACAAATATGGGATTATATGCAAAGATGAAAAAATCATTTTACTTAACAGAAAAGCGTTCGGTAATTTACAAATGCATAGAATACAACAGCGCGAAATTGATGAAAAAATGAAAAATGCGAAATCGTTTGTTGAGGAGCTGAGAGGTAACAACGATGCTCAGAGAGGAAAACCTTTGATTGAAACGATTTCGAATAATGAGGTAAAGTGTCGAGAGCCTGAATATAGATTGTTTAGGAGGAAAGCGAAGCCCAATTGTTTGATTGGAGAATTTAAATTTCCAGATATTGTGAGTTGTTTTCTCGATTTATCTTTGTATCATAACTTTTCTGTAAGATTTCAGCCAAAGAACTTACTCTCGATATTGGTGAAGATCGAATTGTTATAGAATCAACTTCAAAGCACTATTTACTTGATATATTTGTACCATTAGTGATTAGGCAAGCCTCTTGTACTTCAACGTTCAATAAGGCAACAAAGGTAGGTCAATCAAATGGAAAACTAATCATTTCATTATTTTTATTTTAGGTTTTAACAGTAACAATGCCCCTCGTGGGAGGTTAATTATTGCATAATGGAATTGGAATTGTTAAATATTTTTACAATAAATTTAATTACAATAAAAATTGATTATGAAATTTACCTAAGTACGCTATGACGTTATGAAATTGTTGTTTGTATTACTTTATCACAAGCCTGTCGCACTTTTAAGCCCTAATTTTTTACTGTAATTACTTGAGCAATGCCAGCAGAAAAAATGATATGTACTGAACAGTGGTTTTACCGATTGTCTTACTCACGATCGTAAAATAGACTATTTTAGGATCGTGATCTTAGCTATAGCGAAAATTCAAATCTACTACAATGAATTAAAACAGTGTATAATAAAAGTTATAGATCATTGACAACAAATAGTCAAAAAAATTAAATAAAAAATAAATAAAACAAAATCACATTAACTATCAAATCTCAGTAAAAAACGTCGGTCTTTCAATTCGCAAATATCTAAATAATTGTGGAATCAAATAAAGGGCATTGAACCCGATCATCCCACAAGTGATGTATTTGCAACCCAAATCGACAATGGTTTTGTGCTTATTAGTCAGCGAATTATCAGACTTTTTCAAGACATCGACATCTTCTTTTAAAATAGCACAAATGAAGTTGTATGACGCACTTTTAGATACGGATCTAGTTAAAAGAACCAAAGCAAACCCGATTATTGTGCGTAAGATGGTACAACCTAACATAGTGTAAGAAGGCCACATGATAGCATACGGTGGTGTCAAATCTGAAGTCGTCATTATTCCCAATTGGTAGTTCAGCCAAGCCCCGCAGTGAATTCCCACACAAACGGAAAGAATCATTGTAGTGTCGCCCCTAGAAAATAGTTTAGTTTTTGGCGATTGGAAATAGGGAAGAGTACCTTGTTGGGGTCCATTTGCCACTGTTTGGATAATAAACAATCATAAGAATGGAAACAACTAACAAAAGAAAGGGGGACGTGGGGTCTGTTAGTAAATAATTGTCTAAATAATCAACAATGGGTATAAGCGGAGTCATTATTAAGACCGTTAGGGCTAAACCCGCGACGACATCCTGGAATAAATGAATGCAAATTAGTCATTAGTAAACCGGTTTAATATAGATTTTTCCAAGTACMTCAGTAATTACAACAAACATAAGAGGCAATAATTAGTTATTAGATAAACAAATATTTATCCCTTATCAAACATGTATGTAATAAATGAAAAAACTTTATATGAATCATTTGATCTGATTTTTATCTTATATTTGAATTACATTGTTACTATACTTTGAACTGATAAAATGTGTCATTTCAATAAATTCCAATTAACACCTGTGTTTTTTGAAAACTTACCAAAACTGAATGCATGCCTAAGTATAGCCTACTTAGGCATATAATAGAACACCACAAAACTGCAATAACCATGCCTAGAGGAATGTTGTACTGATACCTATTCATTGTACACAACAGAAATGAGAATGGAAAGGCCACAGCAACCATAGCATGGGTCGAAGGCATCCCATATTCCAAAGACCATTTGTTTTGGAGCCTTAAAACTGGAGGGCCTGGTCTCGGCCATCTGATTATATCTTTGACAGCTTGACCTGAATAAAAATTGAGTATTAAATTTTTAACTCTTAAGAAACGTACCTATGTACATGACTATGGTCCAAATTAGAACAACCCTGCGCCCTACAGCCCCATCAATATTCCAAAACCAAAATGGTATAAATGATGAATAAAAAGCTTCATCTCCAAGTGCCGTCCCAAAAACAAACAAATAGTACCAGAATTTATTTGTTATCACGTAACTGTTATCAGTTTCTTCATTGCTGTTATTGGATTTTGCGGTTTTTGTCCTAACCCCAAAGTACTTTTGGATCTCCCATACCAACTTCGGTTCTTTCAGATCTGATAATGACAACATACTGAGTTTTGTGTGAGACTTGAGCGGGGTTGAATGAACGTATTTCACTAAATAATAACTTAAGAACGCTACAAATTTAACTTTTTATCGCTATTTACTTTGTAAATTCGGAGAACATCGGTTGTTTTAAATGTCAAATTTTAGATTCAGAGCGCCAACATAACAATAAGGTCGCTTTAATTTAAAAATTTTTTTGGCATTAAAAATAAATTAATTATTTTGTTACATGGATTAATGTTGTTGATTATGAGTTTGCCAATCTACCAAAATGTATTTAAAAAATTCAAATTAAGGAATAATTCTAAGCATTGATTGCAAGATTACGTCCTTTTGTTAGCGCTAATTTGACAATTGCGTTTGACATTTGCCAGTGTGTTTTCCTGAAAAATCAATATTTTCATGAATTTTGTGCTAATTTTTGTCAATGTGTTGTAATTTAATCACATCTTAATATTATATGAATTTTAATTGACAATGAAATGGCAGTCCAATTTGTGGATACGTTGTGGTTATATTTTGGTTTGTTTACTAGGGACTGCACTCGCGGAATTAGGTAACCCCTATGAAATTTTGGGTGTTCATAGAAAAGCGTCACAATCAGAAATAAAGAAGGCGTATAGGCAACTAGCGAAAGAATGGTATGTCTTTTTGACCTAATTATTTTTTTGCTAATGCTAAAAGGCGTTATTTAAGGCACCCAGACAAAACCAAAAACCCAGAGGCTGAAGAAAAGTTTGTAAACATAAAACAGGCTTATGAATTGTTGTCTGATCCCGAGCGACGGAAAAAATACGACGATAAGGGAATAACAGAAGATGACTTTTACAACAACCCTGAACATCCTCCCTTCCATACCAGTAACCCATTTGATGACATTTTTACGGCTCATGGGGCGCATTTCAACTTTCAGGAAAACGATATCACTTTTTTCCACAAATTGTCGATATCTACAAGGTAATGCCTTAAGCAATAAAGTTGTTACGACCATGAGAATTTATTGCAGGCAATATGATAAATTAATTGTCCCAAAGAGTGAAAAAACGCCTCATTTGATTTTTTTTTACACCGATTGGTGTTTTGCTTGCCTTCAAACTGCTCCATACTGCCGAAAGTTGGTTGACAAATTGGAACCATTAGGTGTTAATTTCGTCACAGTTCATTCTGGTAGGGAACCAGCACTGGCAAGACGCCTTAACATACATGCCTTGCCATGCATTGTTTTGTTGCTTGATGGTAATGTCTTTGTCTACAAGGAAACAATAACAAGCATTCAGAGAATAATTGGTAAACTTTCAAACTTTAATAATTTTTTATGAATTTTTGGGGTTGCAGAATTCCTCAAAAATAAATTACCGTACAAACTAGTTCCAAAATTGAAACATAATGATGTGGGAGGGTTTCTCAATGGTTGGGAGGATAACAGAGTTCGCGGTCTAATTTTTGAACCGCGGCAAAATATTAGATTGCGATATTTGATAACTGCCTATCATTTCAGACACAGAGTTGCTTTTGGGCAAGTTACAAATATTTGAGTTTTGTTTTTATTTGTGCTTTAGTTTTGTAGATTCTCAAGAAATTCGGCGCAAATATCAAGTTCCTCAAGATATGGACACAGTTTTGTTGTTCAATGAAAACACGTCGTCTCCTATGGCTAGTCTCTCAATGAAAGATATCCCCACTTCCACTTTACATCATGTTGTCTCGTTGAATCAGTATCTTGCCCTGCCGAGGCTATCTTCTCAGGTTACTAAATTCTACTTTAAAAAATTTCAAATCTAAAATTAGTTCATATTTCTATAGGAAGTTTTGGAGGCTTTGTGTCCCTGCGAGTGGAACAAGCCCCGAAAGCGGCTGTGCGTTGTTTTAGTGACAAAAGCATCAACCAGTCATGATCCCCACCGACAATCTTTTCGAATTTACGCACAAAATGCACCATACAATGTCGAAAAAGTTCGTTTTGCGTACATCTATCATGACAAACAAACGGAATTTGTTAATTCTTTAATCCCCGGTAAAAAAAATATCGCTGTTTTTTTATTTTACAGAAAATATATTGCAGAAGGTGAGGAGGTCGAGCCTTTGCTTCGTATTGTAATTTTGTGGCGTAGAGACACATCACATGTTAAATATGAATGGATTAATGACAAGTGGGAATGGGAGAATAATCTTAATCAAACTACTCAAAAACTAGAAAGTACCATAAGTCGCCTATTGAGGTCTAGCGAAGCTTTGAGTTATGAAGCTCTAGTTAATGATTTATTTGATGAACACGCGAAGGGGATTTTCGGCCGAATTGCTAGTAGAGTCGGGACTTTTGTCGAGTCGGTTTATGATGGATTGAGCAAGGATCAAATTTTGCCAGCTTTGTCTATAGTCGGGACGATTATTTTTATCTTGGCTGTTGGCTACTTCATGGCATATTTGGTGTAAGTGATAAATAAATTGATCCTAACTGTTATTTCATTCATTGATTTAGGCGTTTGGAAGAAGAGAGTATTCAGCAACAAAAAGCTAAAGCAAAATCTGGAAACAACAATAACGACTCTAACTCAAGTTACCAACCCGAATTGCGTTTGCACGAATTGCGAGCCGAGAAATACAACGGACTGGTGAGACTTTTAAAACCTGGTTGTCGGACTATTCTTCTAGTAGTAGATATGCAATCATGCCGACAACTAATCCCACCCTTCCATAAAGCGGTATGGCCGTACCGAAAGTAWGTTTAATTGTTGTTATTTTTATCTTTTAAACGGAAATTTTATAGAAATAAAACATTGATGTTTTCCTATATGTATATTGAACGGGGCCTTAGCTGGTACAAGGAGTTGTTGCAATTATCCTTGCCAGAGGAGCGCGAACTGAACATAAATCCACGTAATTGCGTTGGGACAGTCTTGTCTTTAAACGGCCACAGAAAATACTTCTGCATGTTCCACGCCAAACACACTGAACGTAATGCGAAGAAACACAGATCTAAAATGCCGACGAAATTTGACGAAAAAGACTGTGAAAGTGGAACGTTTATCGGTTTTGATTCCGACTCGTCTGAATCCGAGGAGGAGCTTTTACTTCAAGAGAATTTATTGGACAGTCTGCCGAATTGGCTCGATCGATTATTTGAGGGAACAACACAACGTTATCACATCAACTATTGGCCAGACTTTCCAAATAAATAAATAACGTTAACACATAGAGTAGCCTAGAAGTTACATAGCTCATGTTATTTATCTGTTTGTTGTATTTATACATATCTGTAATGTTTGTATAATTCCATGCATTTGCAATGCTTTCTTTCTACTGTTGTGTTAATGTGAAAACGGATCTGTTGTGTTTTTCATTAAATTCTAGTCACATATTTATTGTTAGGATAGTTAACAGCTGAAGGTTGAATGAATCCAATTTCATATTGAAATTTTTCAAGTGGATTGTTAGTGTAGCTTCGAATTTATATAATTGCCTGAATTTTAAATTTACACAAAGTCGAAATTACGGGAGTGTATATAAATTATTGTGCTTCGTTTGGTTATTAAACTCCCATTCTTAATACTCATAGAGCCTATTGAATTTTAAAAAACATTTATACTAGTTCGTTAGTTGATGCTATAGACAATTTCTAGATTCTTTTTAAGACGTTTATAAACATATTTATTTGTGCCATATTATGTATTTGATAATTTAAGAGTAATAGTCCAAAAGACAATGGTGTATTACCTCGTGATTCAAATTTCCAAATAAAGTTGTTTTCATTTAAACGTATTTCAATATTTTTACTGTAAAATTTTCAACAATTTTGCAATTTACTATATTAGTTCAAAACACCCGCCAAAATGTGATCTATTCCCACCATTGAAGCTTTAAGTTTCGAACAGATGCACTTTCGGGAAAAATTTACTCAGTGTTTTTATTATTGATTTACCTCATTTTCCGTAAAAATTAAAATTTTCAAAATGAATGCGGCTATAAACATTGGTGTAGAAGATATGACTGCGACTATAGTACGATACGGATTATATGTGGGTGCTCTATTCCAAATCGTATGCTTGGCTGCTTGTATTTTTTTACCCGATACTTCAGACGACAACTGTTGGCTTTCTCGAGTTAGTTTCTCGTTAATTTTTTCATTAATTGAGTGTTAAATTAATCTTTTTTAGGGGGACAGTGACGACGAAAGCTCTGAGCAAAGTACTCCCCAAAATACGCCTCGTAGACCTTACCACAGAACTCGTAAACAAGAAAAAAAGAAGAGGCGTTAAACGGTTCCAACTTCATTAATTTTATATTATATTTATTTAAATTAAACAATAAACTGTCAACAGGCAATTAGTGAATTAGAATCTTAATAGTATTTACAAAATGTTGCATAAATACACTAAAAAAATATTCATTTTTTATCTACAGTAAAGCAAACAGGAGTAAAATACTTTAGCTCAATTATAAGTTAGGATTTAAGTGCAGCTAATCTGCTTTGCATTTCTTCAATTTCTTCCTCATCCTCAACATCCACACTTTCTGCAGGTTCTTCCACAGGCGCCGCTTTGTCGCCAACGGGGGGCGCGGGGGCCTCCCCTAATTTACCCTCAGTTATTTCCCATAATACTTTATCAATCTCACTTTGCGCCGCCTCTTCCATTTCTTCAGTGTCTTCGAAACTGTCCATTGTTTCATCTAACATCTCTTCAATTATCCCTGCTTTCATCATCTCTTTGGAGAGGTTTTGCATGGTTTGAGCCACTTCTGGGACGCGAATTAGGCGTTGCATGGCTTGCATTACTTCTGTAGATTTTGCCAGGGAGCCAGCAACGCGCAGAGTCGCTAAAATTTTATTCTTCAAAACAAATTTAAAATAATTTGTAATAACAAACCTAACTGGTTCTTCATCTGCAACATTACTGAGTTTATGTGGGCTTTGGAAGTGTAAATCCTGTTTATAGCCTGCCGTGCATGCAAAATTTCCTTTGCTAGGATTGTGCATGTGTCTTTATCATTCTTCTTAGCAGCCTCCTTAAGTGACCGTTTCACTTTTTCCTCTTCTCGTTTAATGGCTGGAAATTACTTCATTATTCTTATTATGTGTCTCAAGCCGAAACACTCACATCTGATTTGACGGTCCAGTTGGTATCCTTCTTTCCTCAATTTTGAGCTCCACTCATTTACCTTCAACATCAAAATGAAACGCAATCTAATTGAAATGAAATCTCACCATATCCTTGGGATTCCGTTCAGGTGTTTTTCCAAACAGCCCCATTTTTGAAACAAATTGTAGACCTACCCAAAATTTTCTTGCTATGATCTCATTCTCTTTTGACAATTGTTTGACAACACGGAAATTTGACAGTTGTCAAGGTCATGTGATCATTTTTCGAAAATAGGGCATTCGGGCAATTAATTTGGCAACATTTTGCGAAAAATGGAACAAGCCACCCAATCAGCGTCGTGCAGGGGGTGCTTGATGGATTGAAATTTTTTAGAATTGTCAACCATGAACTGTCAAATATTTGAAATATTGCGCCAATTTTCCATAAAAGTGCTTTAAAAAAGCTCGAACTAGTCCTAGAGTTAGAAAAGCACTTCAATATTACATAAATTTATACGTTCTTGGTAGATTCTGAAAATATCTGTGACGACATCTCGACAAATAAAATCGAACTGAACGACCTCCAGGAAAAAGATGGCGTCTMCGGTATACGTAGAAGAAGAGCTAGGAAGAAAATGGGACCGGTGTTTTTCAGATGCACTACTTAAGTTTGGTAAAAACATCATTTTATTGCTTTCTTCATAATTTTGAACGATTTGTTATAAGTTCGTGTTATGTCATCAGCATAACCTCAAACTTTTTGCCAACAGGAGGTGGGATCGTTTTAGGATCAGTCTTTTCTCTCTTGTTTTTCAAAAGAAGACGATGGCCTATTGTAATGGGTGGAGGATTTGGTATAGGAATGGCTTATTCAAATTGTGAACGGGATATAAATGCTACCATTCGTGATCGAAGTCTCTAATGTATTGTAATTTTAGTACAACATTAGATTATACTGCCGCTGGAATTCTTTCCTGTAATAAATTCTTTTGTAGAGTGTAAATAAAACTTATGTTATAACTTTATTTTCTAAACCGGCACTGAATGTATGTAGGTATTGTTATCTAATTAAATAAAGCCCATTATAATTATATGCCCACAATCAAATTGTATTTGACAACTTGACAATTTAGTTTTTAATTATTCAACCATCAATATCACTTCAAAATGGTTGAAAAAAAGTACACAAAGATTTATTTCCGACTCCTACCCACTGAAAAAATGGCTTGGAATTATTTAAAAATTTTAGATGATCATAAAACAATTTACATCAGGTGTTTGCAAGAACTTAACAAAACAAAAGAGGCCGTTCCCACATTTTGGACTTTTCACGCCGATCAAGTCTTTTTCAATCACACTCAAAAGGAGATTTACGATACCATCACCCCCGACGTGCTAGACAAGTTGGTTAAAAGATCATACAAAACTATTGTTTCAATGTTTTGATTTTTGTAGTCTTTCAAACGGACGAGATGCTGTTATTATGGCATATGGCCAAACGGGGACTGGTAAATCGTTAACAATAAACGGCTTGCAAAACCCTTTTGAGGTAATAATAAAAATAACAATTTATATAAATGTTCTTATCTATTTAAAATAAATAGAACAGAGGAATCTTACCCCGAGTTATATCAGACCTATTCCAAAATTTAAACAAAGAGGCTTCAAAAAATATTAAAATGTGCATTCAGGCCTCTTACGTTGAATTTTCGAGAACAAACATTTACGATTTGTTACAACCATACCCAAATTTGCTCAACTCCCTCAAAGAAATAACAAAAGTCAAAATACGGAGTGAGGAGGAAGCGTTAAAAATAATTTTTAGGGGCGAAGGCCGAAAAGTGTTTGCAGAAAGTGCCTCTTACCCTTCACATTCTTCGAGCAGCATCTTTACTTTCTATATTAATAAGAAAAATCTTGAAATGCAAGATAATCCGATCAGGAAGAGCAAGGTGATGTGTCTTAATGTTGATATCACAGCAGTTTTATAAATGTAAATTTAAATAGTTGCACATTGTTGATCTTGCGGGAGCTGATACTGTTGGAAATTTCAGCTGTTCTTTTAAAAATCCTTACGAGATTGGATCAGCGAATTTGGCCAAAACGCAATTAGAGCAGTTTTTTCTAGTCCTGTGTTCGCAAATTCCAGAACAGATAAAACTAAGGCAGAAGATAAACCCCATGATCCAGTATTTGGGTGATTCATTAAATAATGCAAGCATTTTGCGGTATAAAAATATATAATAATGTTCTTTCCTGGTTTTAAATCAATTTTATATTAGTCTTATTGGACACATTCGGGCCTCAAGAGAGGATTTATTGGTGACAATCTCAATGCTGAGGTTTGGTGAAATAATTGGTGGCCTGAAATCGATGAAATGTGAGATCAGTGTTAACAAAGAGGTCACGCAAGAAAGAGTTGAAAGCTTGGAAGTGCTTTATTGTAATTAATTTAATATCCAAATAACTAATTTTTGGTCTTAGAGGGAATTGAGGAGACTTAAACTTGAAAATACGTACAATTCAATTTTGATGCATCAAGACTTGGCCAAATCACTAAACGAAGAAAGATTTGCCCATATTGAAAGAACGGTGAATGAATTTTTACAGAATAAGATTTCACATCTGGCTTTGCTGAACGTTTGCGATGTTAATATTGCTTTAGAAATTTTGAAAATGATTTACAAAAAATCTGAGGAAGAAAGGGGGAAGGAGCAAGTGATGATTGTGACAAAACACAGTGGCACCAGCAGTCATAAAGTAATTAATTATGAGTCCAAGTTAAAGTGATTTTACTCACTTAATTGTAGGCTCACTCGAAATCGTCTCGTCTTTCGCACAAAACATCATCTACTGAGACACTCCCTAAAGAAAAGACCCGGTCTGGATCCGCTGTTGCTGCTTTAAAAACTTCGAGTAAATTGGGTTCGCGTATGTATTCGTTTTTCCAAATTGATTTATTTGTTGTGAATTTTTGTTTTTTGTTTTAGTACGCGAAACAGGATCAAAAACAAAATCAAGGACCAGCAGTTCAAGTTTAGTAAAACGTCCATCTACCAATAAAAGAAAATCGAGTTCGAGTGCTTCTCTCTACGACAAAAATCGGGAGAAATCAAAATCGAAGCAATCATTTGAATCGGTTCTCATGCCCCAAATTCCGCCCGAATACCACGAAGCCTGGCATGCGTACATTACAGACAAAAATGATGAATTCACCCGTTTTCAGCATTTTTATGAAAAAAATGAAGCAGCCGCGAAGAATATGTACAAGACCTATCTTAACGATTTGGATCGGTTAAGAGAAATTTCGTCAAATGTTGAGAAACACAAACACGACTTATTCTTGGTTTGGGTTTTGTTTGGTTATTTTTATTTATTGTTTGATGAATAAATAGGCCCGAATGACTCGAGAGTTCCAACGCGCGAACATCGACAAAGGCGAAACAATCAGCGAATTTGAAAAATGCTCCACAAACCGGTTGCAAACATTACAACAGGAGCAACTCGAAGTACAAGAATCAGTATTGAGGTCTCAGACAGAACTCAAAACTTACATCAATGCTTGCAAAGACATTAAAAAGGATGTGAGACGCCATTTCGATTTGTTTTGCAAAGAAAAATATAATTTGGAGATTTCTGGGTTGGAGCCTTGTGAACCCACCACTATGGTAATTGACGATTGTTAAGTTTTGTGTATTGTTTGTATTTTTAGGACATTGTTGCAACCTTAGATAAAGAAAAAGAAAAAATTGTAAAGGAAGTGCAGCCGGAAGATACCCATGAAATGAATGAAATAAAGCGATTTGAACGTTTTAAAAATTTGATCGAGTATGAGAAGAGGAGAAAAAGGTTGTATCAAATAAAACACAGGGAATGGGTGATATATTAAAAGAATGTGCAATAAAATATAAAACTCTCACTTAAATTTTTTTTCTATTCAATCATATTTTTCGCCATTTTATTAGGTATTCAAAACAATAATAAAAATAAAAAATATATCACAATAATTATTTGCAAAAATGGTGGAGGTGCCGGGTTCATATTAAAGAAATACGAAGTAAAAATCTCTTTCATGTCACTACAAGTCTTACAATAATATGATTAATAACACATTTGAAATGTAAAAAAAAGTTTTCTCACCATAAACGTTCACTGCAAAATAAAAAATTCATAACAAACATACACTATTTGTACTAAACCAGAATGAAAAAAAATATGTTGGCAAATTAATTATAAGAGTAAAAGTCCAATTTTAAGTAAATTAAGATTCATTTTTTTTATTCTCATATTTCATCTATCTGAAAAAAATAAATTCTAATCTTGTTGGGGCAAATTATTGTTTTATATTTATTAAAGATTTTAAATGTTAAATAAAAGCGCTATAACAAGCCATTCATGAATTAGTATACTATTTAAATTAAGTGCCCTATATTTTTTTAAGTTCTACAGTATTTTTTTTAACATTAAATTATAGGTAGGCAACCAGTAATACATGCGGATTAATTTTTATTTAAATGTTAATAAAAATGGTAACTCTAATTTTGAACTAATAACAATTTATAGTCGCTTACTACATTTTTATGAAATATAATTAATAAAATAAAATAAACTGTATTTTTTTAATATTTAATATTAAATAAATGAGATAATCATTTAAATTTGGCGCGGCGCGGCGCAGTCGCAGTCGGCCCAATCTGCGCAAGTAGGAAGTCGACCATTTTCCTTTTTGTCGCACCGGTTTCAAAGCACATGTGCTTTGTTAACGTCTTTAAAAAAGACTGGTAAATAACACTAAATCACAATCTAAACCATAAAATTGACAAGTTGTCAACAGTGCAGTGGTTAACGCGTCGTTATTTTAGAGCTCTCATCAAAATGAACACAGAAAAACTGAAGAAATTGCAGTCGCAAGTGCGAATCGGCGGTAAGGGCACCCCCCGGCGCAAAAAGAAGGTCGTCCACTCCACCCAGGCCACCGACGACAAAAAGCTGCAATCCTCCCTGAAGAAGCTCTCAGTGAACACGATACCAGGCATTGAAGAAGTAAACATGATCAAGGACGATGGTACGGTTATCCACTTCAATAACCCGAAGGCTCAGGCCTCTTTGGCGGCCAACACGTTCGCCATCACTGGCCACGGGGAAAACAAACAGATCACAGAGATGTTGCCGGGGATTTTAAGTCAGTTGGGGCCCGAAGGGCTCAACCAGCTCAAACGTTTAGCCAGTAGTGTCGCCAATACTGGGTTGGGGAGGATCGTCCCTGAGGACGAGGAGGATGTACCGGATCTAGTTGGGAATTTCGACGAAGCGTCGAAGGCGGAGGTTGCAAAGAAGGAAGGAGAAGACAAGCCAAAAGAAAATTAATTCAGTTTATGCTTAGTGGGCTCGAATCTATTGCTCCTATTTTTATGGTTTTGAGGACACATTTCATGGTATTTGGTGGAAATGTGTCTGCTAATATTGTACCAAATCTTTTTTTGTTAAAAATTAGACACGCAACTTGTATAGAATATTTCATAGGAAATACAAAATATTCTAATACAAATGTTTGTTATTTCTTGATGAATCTCATCTTTTTCAGTGTAAATATCAAACAAGAAATGTTAGCCAGTATAATCCAAATAATAAAAATACAGAAGACATGGAGGATTTTATTTTTAGAAAAATGCAATTACTGCGTTGTAAGCTAAATACAGATTAACTAACCGTTTAATGGGTAGTAGATTAAAAATACAATGGTGATAAGCTAATAAACATTGGCTAAATTTTAATAAGAGCAAAGTAAATATATCACAAAACAATGTTGAATAGAAGTGCTATAAGAATATACTTATTTTAATTTTAATATCGCTTAATACCTACATAATCATCTATTCTTTTTAGAAATCGATAAAAATTGCGTAATTTGATTGTGGAAAAATATTTTTGTCCTACCTACATTTTTTTCTACCCACAAAGAAATCAGATATGATTAAAATGTTAGCGTGGAGCTGTGTTCATAAACTATAACAAAAATTACATTAAAAAATTAATTATTTAAGTGTTAAATAAATAAAAATTAAATGAATGCTTGTAAAGAAAAAGATAAAATAAACTGTCTCCAATAAATTGGTAATACACTGTCGTAATGTTGGTTGTCTACCTCCAAAAATAATACATTTTGTTCAACAAACTTAAAGAATTATATTTTTGATATTGCTTTATTGTAAATTTTTTGTAAAAAAAATGCTAAAAAAAACAATGTTCTAAGCTTGAATTCAAAATCAAAACTTTAACGTGCAACATTTCGGACTTAAAATTGATAGCATTTGTATTTTTGAACTTGAAAGTCCAAGTTTCAAAGAATTTGTATTGCCTCTTGAGGTTCGCGGCCCTATAAAAATTTGATTCTAAATAATGTTTACATTGGAATGTCGAGTCAAATTAGAAATTCCAATGTCAGGCTTGTTTGTGGGACTGTGTTTATCTTATCTTTCGATTTCGAAAGTTACAGACCATCAAAAAAAAAAGTTTTAGAATTAGGACGAAACCACGATGACGAAACTAGTAAATAAAAAAAATATATAAAATGTCCGGAAATTGCGTGCACAAACTTCTAGGGATAATTCCATACTTCAAAATATAACAAAAAGTTCCTATAAACATGGATCCAAAAAGGCTTTCTTAGAAAGTTACGGTCCTGTAAATGTGGGCTTTCAAATGTGCTTTTTTAAATTATTTTTGTTTATATTTTAATTAGAAAAACAAAACCACACACCCGTAGGTTTGAAGAACGCCAACTATGTTTTTTATTCATTACATTGTTTCAATTACCTCAGTGCGTCGACTTAAAAAATGACCTGTATCTCAAAAACGGTGCCTTCTACAACATTTTACCAAAAGGACATTTTTTATAAAAAATGTTTTTTCTATCTTATTATGGTATTAAATTTGCAAAAAGTCTTAAGAGAAAAAAGTATTGAGCGATTTTTGCCGCAGCCTCCCCTATTTTGTGAGCCCCTGACCAAGATTCAAAAATTTTATTTATGCCAATCTATTTAGCATCCTAAAAAACCTAAAGGTGCGTGGTTTTGTTTTTCTAATTAAAATATTAACAAAAATAATTAAAAAAAAGCACATTTGAAGGGCCACCTTTACAGGGTCGTAACTTTCTAAGGAAGCTTTTTTGGACTTATGTTGATAGGAACTTTTCTTTATATTTTGAGGTATGGAATTACCTCTAGAAGATTGTGCACGCAATTTCCGGACACCTGAATATGAATCTCGATTTACAGAAATATTAATTCTGACTTCACATACTTAGTTCCATATTTATGACTTCAAACTTAAAATTCCTTCTCCACACCAGAATTTCTGATTAAAAATTCAAACTTCTTCAGTTGTCCTGCATTCCTGAAAATTACAAGACAACTTTAGCAATCCTTACACTTCTGAATTTTAAAATTTAGAAACAATATTTTGGCGAACAATTTTACTATTTATTTACGTCCGTATATTTTTACGTTTTACATTTAGTGCTTGTTACCTGTGATTTTATTTAATTATATAATTCGTGGGTAGATAAGTTACCTACGTGTTTACTTGCACTTTCCTAAGTTGAATACTCTTTGGTTGTTTAAAAAAAATGAATAAATTGGGTAATTTACCCAAAAAATAAAAACACTGACTTCCATTCAATGTGAACGCACCTTTAGTTGCAGTTTGAAAAATCAATTATTTACAAAATTAATATTGTTTTTAATGATAGCAGACTTAAATTGTATTTTTTATTGCAGCCTTATCATAATAATGTTATCGTGACTGTCCAATTCCGTTATTTTTCCATTGTAATATTATTATGAAAACCGTCATGGCTGCGCCCACATACCGCCATAGTTGATTCCATTTTTGAAAAGTGACAATTCCAATTTTGACACGTACCTCTTTAAAATTCTCCTCGAAACAACAGTCAATCCTCGGTGAATCGTCCTGAGATAATCAGTGAAAATATCAAAGAATTCRCATGACAAAATACCACGAAAAAGATGACTAATAGCAATATGACGTGAAGTAGGTTACAAGTAGCAGCGGGAGAGGTTGTGTTGTTGCTTGTTTCTGTCCAGTGAGTGTTAATACAAAAAAGTCACAAGTAATAAATTATTTGCAAGTGGCTTAGAGTAGGACCATCTCTATATCTTCAGTGTTTGTGTTTAAAACTACCCGGTAAGTCAAAATCCCTTAATACACCCCACTGGGGTCAATGACTGTTAATATACGCCGGCATTGTGCTTGATTTTCGCGTTATTTCAGCCGAGAATGTCGAAAAAACCGACCACACAGCCGGCCCTTCATAAGGTCATTATGGTTGGAAGCGGGGGCGTCGGCAAATCAGCCCTAACCCTCCAATTCATGTACGACGAATTCGTCGAGGACTACGAGCCGACCAAAGCAGATTCTTACCGGAAAAAAATCCTCCTCGACGGCGAAGACGTCCAGATTGACATCCTCGACACTGCTGGTCAGGAAGACTATGCCGCAATCAGAGACAACTATTTCCGAAGCGGCGAGGGCTTTCTATGTATCTTCTCCATCACAGAGGATGAGAGCTTTCAAGCCACTCAAGAATTTAGAGAGCAAATCTTGCGCGTGAAAAACGATGAAAACATTCCCTTTTTGTTAGTTGGGAACAAAAGTGACCTTGAAGAGCGGCGAAAAGTCTCGTTTCAAGAAGCCAGCGACAGGGCCAAGCAGTGGGGGGTGCCCTATGTGGAAACCTCGGCTAAAACGCGGGAGCATGTCGATAAGGTGGGTTACGCTAGTGGTTTGGGTAATTGTTCCCTCTAAAATCTAATTAGAAGCTTCAACGAGACAGAAATAAAAAAGTCTGTTTTTATGACTGATAGTAATCTAATTTAGTGGGAACATTAGTCATGCTGTAAGACAATAGGTCAAAGAGTAAATGTTTTTCTAGAGTTAATTGCTGAAATAATACTGTTGGAACAGTACTCCACGATTTCTATTTTCACGTTTTATCTATGTGAACTATTTGATAAAAATGTTATTGACCTTTTAGGTTTTCTACGACCTGATGAGGGAAATCCGCGCTCGCAAAATGGAAGAAAACAAAACAAACAACGGTAGAGGCAAAGATAAAAGTAAAAAGAAGAAATTGAAATGTACCATACTATAGAGAATGTCAGATTGTTATGCTTAAGAAATAGTCATAATCCGTTTTATATGACATGGAAACTTTGTATGTAATATATGTATTTGTATGTTTGTATTTCATATCAAATTTTAGTTACATTTCATAGGGTTATGGCACTTGATTAGCCACCATTGTACCCTCACTTATATTTTTAATCTTTTGTTATGATAGTTGTTAAGAGTGTAAATGTTCGTAGTTTTAAGAAATAATTTATTTATGAACTGTTTATTATTGTGTAAAACAACTTACATTTTATTACACAATCATACATCACCAGTATTTCTATGTTTATTTTTCAGAAATGTTTTGCACGATAATTTCAGTTTTGTTTTGCTTTTAATGTAAGTTATCATAGGAGAAATACTATTATTTAGCAATTTGTAACTGGAATATTATTTTCGCTACAAAATAGTCAGATCTATAAATCTACGAGGGAAGTATATTTTCATACTTTTCATTAAGAAGTTTTCTGTAAAGTGTACTGCCATCGCAATATGTTATAATCTTATAATAAAATTTTACTCACATTGAATGCTACATAAATTATCAAATCCGTATCGTTTGGAAACTTTTTTTTTCGACAGATTTTTATACCAATGTTGATTTATTATAATTTATTGATTGATGTGTTGTAAACGCACCTTTACAGTTTGAGGATGACGTCAACTGTCATTTATTATTATTTAACCTAACTTTTTACACTAATTGTCATAAAGCAGCATAGATGTATATATTTCTTATTCTTCTATTTATTTATTTATTAAGTTTTATTGTGTGAAAAGCAAGTGTGAAGACAATGGAAATATTTTCTTTTTGAAAATAAAATCGAAGATTTTTATGTACAAATATAAATTTATTGAGGGTTATTAAGTAATAGAAAATTTGTTTTAGTGTTAATTTTGAGGAACTTGCATTACCAGAATGAATTTCTCCACTCTTTGCGATTTCCTGGACATCGTTAGAACTGCAAAAGGCGTTTCAGAAAAATCAAAACTAACAAAAACCTTCGTCAAATCTCTCCGTGAGCAACAACAAGACTTATTTTGCGTTTTAAGGTTGGTTGTACCGAAATTAGACCGTGATAGGCCTTCGTACAGACTGAAAGAATCGAAAATTGCCAAACTTGTAATAAAAATGTTGGATCTGCCTAATGGTGGTGATAAAATGGTATTACAAAAAGGCATCGTGGGTACAACTGTCGATTTCGTCGACATAATTTACTCTGTTTTACAAAAATATATCATTAACAAAGAAATCGGTTTAACGATAAGCAACATAAACGACTTTTTGGATAAAATCGCAAATCGATCAAATGATTCAGGCTTGGACGACATCGTCTTACAAATCTTTCTCAAATTATCACCACGCAACATAAAATGGCTCATCCAAATCATATTAAAAGACCTCAAACTCGGTTTTAGCGAAAACTCCATTTTAAACTGCTTTCATCCAAATGGGGCTGACTTTTTCGCTACGAACAGCAATTTGAAGACTTTCTGCGATCTCATTAGTGACCCCCAAGTCAAATTGAGCGAAATGGAAATAAATATTTTTCAGTCGTTCAGACCGATGCTCTCAAAACGTTGCGACGCTTCAAACTTTAAAAAATGTTTCCCCGAGTCGAAAAGTTTCATCGTTGAAAATAAATTTGATGGTGAAAGGTTTCAACTTCACATGTCTGAGGGTCAGTTTAAGTATTTCTCGCGGAACGGTTTCGATTACACTGAAATTTACGGAGTGTCATTTAACGAAGGAATTTTTACCCCAAAATTGTGCAATGTTTTCGCATCTGAAACCAAGAGGGTGATTCTAGATGGCGAAATGATGCTTTGGAATAAAGAAACGCGCAATTTCGGGTCGAAAGGAATGAATTTTGATGTGAAAAAGTTGGGGGAAGATAAAAAATACCAACCCTGTTTTTGCGTTTTTGATATTTTGTTACACAACGACAAAATTTTGACCAACCAGCCGTTGTTTAAACGGTTAAATTGTCTCAAAAGTGTAGTCAAAAACCAGGTTGAGGGCACCATTGTTCTGAGTCAATATGCTGAAGTAAATTCCTGGGATGATCTCGTCAATGCTTTGAATTCTTCAGTTGACAAAAACGAGGAAGGTATTGTTGTTAAAGACACCAAATCGGTTTACAAATGCAGTGATCGAAACAGTGGTTGGTTTAAAGTCAAAATGGAATATTTCGATGATGTTGTCCACGATTTGGACGTGATTTTGATGGGGGGTAGTTACAGTTCGGGTAAACTTAATTCATTCTTTGTTGGGGTCAGTTCGGGGGCTAACACGTATCTATCATTCGGTCGCATTTCCTCCGGTTTAAGTGACGAACAACTCGACATTTTGAACGATAAATTTAAAACGAAAGGAATTGATTTCAAGTCATTTTCAACCAAGACTGAAGGCAAGCTTCATTTCGGCCGTGACAGGCCTGACTTGTACATCGAGCCCCAAAATTCGTGCATTTTGCAAATGAGAGCTACAGAATTGGTTCGAACCACGAACGATACAGTTAAGTGTCCCTACACTTTACGTTTTCCCCGTGTTTTGAAAATCAGAGACGACAAACCGGTCGATGAGTGTTTTTCAATGAATGAACTTCTGGAACTCGCAGGGCAAAACAAAGCTATTATCAAACTTAACAAGCGGCACATTGAACTGTCTGAAATCTGTGCCAAAGCAAAACCTGCGAAGAAAATCAAACTTGAGGTTCTCAAGTCGGATTTGTTGTCCGATTCCGGGGATTTTTTAACCGGAAAGCGCTTTTACGTCGATTCCGGGACACAAAAATGGGGGCTTAATGATATCTACCATTCGATTAAGAAAGCCGGGGGTGCGCTAAGCTATCGCGTAGAACCGAACGTTGATGTGATTATTGTTTCCAAAGTTAGTAAGAAAATAGCCGAATTGATGAAGCAAATGAATCATTTTGATATAATCCACGTTGATTGGTTGCACCGTGTTATGGAATATCGCCAGTTGGTTGATTACAAGCCGGAGGAAATATTTTACAAAGGGACGAATTTTCGTCGAGATGTCGGTTCAGATTTGGATAAATTTGGCGATTCCTTTATTGGGAAAGCGACGAAAGAGTCGTTAAAGTGTGCTTTCAGGTTGATGCAAGAATCGGGTGATTTTTTAAATACAAACGGTGCGGTAATTTGTGGTGATAAGCCGAGTTTTGGGGAGTACATCGCGTATTTTGATTGTTTTGAAGAGATTAATAATCCGGATTCAAAACAGATTTATTATTCCCTTCCGGATGAAGCAGAGTTTGCGTTTTATAACGGTACTACTGTTAAAGAAATTACGTCAGATGTTAATTTGATAGTAATTGCAGAAAATAACGAAGAACGTGTGTCAATTATAAGTGATTTTTTATCTAATGAAGGGTTTGCGATGATTGATATTGTTACGAAAGATTTTTTATACAGTCGAATTTCTAGTCAAAAGTAGTTCTATAGTGAATCAGTAATTGTATAATTGCCTTTTATTGTATTTCATTTGTAAATTTTGTAACTGAATAAACTTTTAGTACCTAATCGAAAAGTATTTTCTTGGGACAAAAACAGGTCACCTTTTTCAGACCGAACCTTAATGAAAAAAACAATCGAATGTATTTTAACAGTTGTGGTTCAAACAACAATTTTAAAACTATTTATTATACAACGATATATAACGTAAAGTCATCTTTTTAACAAAGAAACAAAATGACCTATTTCAGTACTGTTACTTAAAAAAAAATATTTTTTGTTGGATTTTGGTTCAATATTCAGTTATCAAAAATTGGGGCTGTTCTAAATTTATTTAATTATTTATATATAAATGGTGACAACAATTTTTAAAGGTTTTAAAAAATACGTTTATTCACAGAAACGTTACGTGTGTGTTTAACAAAATTCTTAAAGTACAGTACCTAATTCTTACCAGTCTAAAATATCACATTTCACTTAATAATCGCATTGCTGAGCGAATCAACGGAAAAACATTTACAAGTGCAGGCGGTTACTGGACATTCCGAATGCTCACTAGAACAAATGAATAAATGATTTAAATACTTTTTATGACAACTTACTCAAACCAGTGGGTCATATGAGACACGTGCCCCCCATGTCTGCACGTCTGACACCACGTGAACCAGTTCGAAAATTCAATAATTTTACTACTATCGACTTCGCTGCTAAAATTCCCCGTGGTGGTGCCCATATGCATGAGACATATAGCACACCTCGGTAACGGTTTACGACAGTTGGGACATGATGACATCTGAAAAACCAATGAAAACTATACCCATATGTACCGACCAATCGAACCTTGAGTTTATTAGCGGTGCCGCCTATTCGAGTAAATGGGCCACGGCCCCTGGTGAGACCGTACATATAGGCAGATATACTTTTGCCGCAAAAGTTACAGGAAACGTATACTTGTTGTGGGGGTTTATCAGCGGGGCAATAAGTACTCAACATGATATCAAAGTGCGCTCTTTCGTTCCATAACTGCCAAGTATCGAGCAGATTGCGATAACTGAAATTTTTTGTGTATTTGGGAATTAGGGATTTTGGTTTACCTCGAAACCCAGTCTTTGATAACTTCGGAAAATTGTTCCACTGGAAAAGCACGGACGGCTATGACAGCAGTCGACTGAATATCACCAGTGGCGTCCAAATATCTCTGTAATAATTTAATCCCGTCATGGTTTGTCCCTGTCAGCAACAAACCGTCCAAATTCCCCTCTTCTATTAATTTATCTGATAATTTTTTCAAATAGTCGTGCAATCGGTTATCAGGTAAAAACATGCAGGCAAAAGCGACTCGATCGTCAACTGTTACCCCACTCTCATTCTACAACAACTCACTTAAACCCTCATAGAAATAAATTGGGCAAATACCAAAACGCTCTCAAAATTATAATTCTCTGCTGTCAAAAAGCTGAAAATCACTTTCAAATACGGATCGGATAATTTTTGTTTCGCCGTCGAGCAAAACTGTTTCCATACACTATTCTTATCATCGGTAAACCCCGCAAGCGCCATTGCTACAACATTTAGACCCAATCCAAACACCAGGGTTTCAGGAGCCCGACTTAAAATTTCAATCGCCAAGCGTATTTTCAAACTGAAAACCGCGATTGCTGCAGCTCTTGTATAAGCTCCTTCTTTTTCAAGTTGCTCCAAAAAGGCAGTCAACTGATTTGAATCTCTTTCAAAGTGCCAACTGCATAAATGTAACGCTTTATCCCTATCCTCGTGTCTGAAATTTATTTGTTAGAAAGGATTTAACTTAGAGATAAAATTACTTGAAAATTCGAACCACTCCTTGACAGTTTTTGTTCCCCAAATCTGACCATAGCAAGGAATAATGATCAGATTTGTTGTTACTGGGGTCAAGCTTTAGTACCGCTTGTACCCCCGGATGTTTACATTGAGTGCCGGCTAAAACCCCATCTTCCACCAATTTTCCGCTTAAAAATAGCCAATTCCAAACGTTTGCCAACATTTCATTATCCACCACTTCGCCGTTTTTGTAAATCTCTGCCTTGAAACGAAAAATTCCTTCAAGGTGGTGGTATTCAAGTCACTTACTTTTAAGCCGTAGCCAGACAGTGCCCTCTCTCGGATTTTTGTTGAAATGTCCTGTAGAGGAGTGTCGTTTATATATTTCATAGTCTTGCGGCCATAAGTCCACACAACGTTCGATGTGGGGGCCCAGTTAAGTGTTATTCTGTCGAAAACTGTATAGTCTGTTATAGTTCCCGACAATGCTATTGTCAGAAATCTGTTTTCGTCTGAATTGTGCCAAGAAAACGACATTATATTATGGGGGGACCCCGGAACTACGTTCCTTTCCAAAACGGACGGTTCTACTTCCTCGTTCCCGATTACAGTGTGTTGTATGTCATATAAATTAATTACAGAGCTTTCTTTTTGCAACGACCCCAAAAGATTGTATCTGAAAATGATTTTTTCAAATTTTGTTAGTCAAATAAAATTTTTAAATGTACTTTGTGGGGCACCAGGCAATTTTAATCACAGGTTTATTCTGGTGCAACGTCAGAATAGGTTTTTCAAAATTTCTTGTATCCCAAACATAAATATTATTTTCGGAAAATGACGCCAAATGTCGGTCGTCATTTGGGTCCATACAAACGCCAAAAACGGCTTTAGTTAGTGTAGAATTAGTAATTTTATTAGGATCTGCAATTGATAATTGAATAATGTTTTTAATGAATTAAAAAAAATACCTCTAATATCCACAAACTTGATATTCTTCATATTCATCCCAACTGCAATAACCTTACTGTTGCTACTAAACCAAGCCATGCTGTGTGCCGTTTCAGAGACCCCAAATTCAGCAATTGGTTTTGCTAGCTCCACCCCTGGGGCCATGGTATTAACTGCCATTCTCCCTGAATTATTTTCGTTATTTTGGGATGATTTCATTATATCCCAAATTAGAACAGAGTTATCCGATCTGTATTTGTCTAAGCCGGCAGCCACCAAACTTGTCTCAATTGTGTTCCAACAGACGGCATTGCATTGCCTTGCATGTCTCGGCACCAATTCTTTCCCTGTCAAACCTAAGGCATCATATTCCGTGGGGCCAAATGTCGATAATGATATTCGCCCATTTGATAGACCCACAGCTAGTAATAAATCCGCATCAGATTTTGGATAAACATCCAGACATTTAACATAGTGGTGGTTGGTGTTTGTCGCCAGTAAATTCGCGGACGTTGTGCTTGATAACTTAATACCTGCAATTTTTGAGTAAAATGGGGTCCATTGCGATGTATTAATTAATACTTTGTAAAACGTTATCTCTGTCTTGGTGAACTTCATACAAGCAAATTTCGGAGCCCCACGTGATAAATTTGTTTGTAATGGGGGTCCACTGGATTTCTAGTTTCGACGACATTTTATGGAATCTAAAATGTTAATAAATACTTAAAATTAAGTAAAAGAGATAATGGTAAATATTTTGGACAATTGCGATGTATTTATATTTTGAGGTTATATTCATGTTTTTGTTTTCTTTTGCTTTTTGTTTTGGTACCACTGTTTGGCGGAATGAGCAAAAACTTTTTTGCAACATTTTTTATAAAATTCAATAAAACCATTAAAAGCACAGACTTAAAACAAAATCCATGTAATACAATTTCAGTTTATTGTATTGTATTTGAAAAAAACAGAGACAAACAAATGCAAATGGAAAATCTGGAAGTTTCAGCAATTTAGGATTTGTATTTTTTGTAATCTGAGTGGTGTCATGTCCTTTAAAGGAATTGAATTACATTTTTCAGAAAAAATGAACTCATTTGATACAAATTTAATAGTTTTGTAAAAATTCGACCTGTGAATAGAAACAAACTGGTATTTTATGAGAAACGAAAACTAAAAGCTGTAATATTATAAAATGAAGCCATAAATTTAATAAAAATGTTTTAATACTTACATGCTGAACATTTTCAGTTTTTCGAATTCAACAATAGAAAAAAATCAACATAATTATCTAAGTCAATTTCCATGTTCTGATACTCAATCACTATTTATGTAAGAGACAATTTGACAAATAGATGATAAGAAAACAATAAGATTTCCATTAATTTTCAAAAAATTGACTATGCGATTGAAAATGAGGGAATCGTTTGTTTTTATTTTTGGACATAAAAAATAATGAAACGATCGCAGACGTTCTAAAGCTTTATTATTTTCTGTTACACATTCTGATCATTTCGTAACTAACATTCGTTCAACATCAGATCTATTATAAAATTTTAACATAAAATAATATCACCAAAATTGTGTTTTCAACAAATAACATCTTAAAATTTCAAACAATAGATAACGATTAGGTAAATCAGGGCTAGGGTTCATAATTACACAYATCCCTTACAATCTCATATAACGTCATTAAGAATGACTCAAGATTTATTTTATTGACTTGGCTTTCGTGCAGTTTCGCAATTTACCATAACGTAGTGTTTGTTATAAAAATGAGTGGCCATGATCATGGAAGGCACCAAATCATTAAAAAAAATCCAATGAGTTTCAAATGAGCAAATATGTTGAAAAAAAAAAAACAAAACGATTTCTTTGACAGAAAAATGCTAGAAGTACATTAAATTGCCTTTATTTTATCATTTGTTCGTCGGCGATTAAACATCTGGAGAATTATCAAACTTTTTCGCTAAATAAAACTACAAGAAGTTTAAGTGTTTTATAAATACGTCTTGTGTATGTGCGTTTATGTTAATTAATTACTGTTGCACTTTTAATAAAAATTGTTAATTCTAAGTACAATTTCAACTAAGTACTATATATATTTACATTTATGCGGTTTGATTTCTTATCTTATAAGTCGGAAAAAACACGGATTTCAAAATGAATAGAAAAAATTTGCCAGTAGTGGCAATAAAATTTGTACATAATGAGTATTATAAATTGTTTTCCATCAAGTTTCAAATATCAAATGAAACACACAAAATGAACACAATTTCAACAATTAGTTTGTAGGTAAAGGCACGCCCAACCTTTGTAAATCCCTTAACGGGGGCAAAGGCCTAGCTGGCCATTGATTGACACTTTTCAACGCAATACTTTGGTTTTGTATTTTTTCCAACTGGATTATGTATGGATATATTTTTTGTTCGATCCATTCACTTATTGTATAATTATCAAAAACATCGACCATTGCATCGACAGCCGACCTGACTAGAGAAGTGGTTCCATGATAAATTCTTGGTAAATCACCGACTAATTCATCAACTCTCAACGGCAAACTGTAATTATGTCTAAYATTATAGTCAGTCATCCAACCTTTATAYCTCTTCGTCGACTTTAAATATTCATCAACCTCACTTTCCATCGTATGTAATCTATAAGTAAGTCTAAAAAACGGACTTCCGGGGAACATACAACGTCCCAACTTATCCCAAAGAAATGGATCTGCGTCTAAATTAATAAACGGCAGATTCCGACCTGAATTATGCTGCGGACAYGTCAAACTAGTCAAAAACTTATTTTTGAGACTCGAATTGAAATAACCRTAAGTGGTGGCCACYAAACTAAGACCCAGTGAGGGTATRCCAGCCGGTAATAACTCACACAAAACGGCAAAATGGTCGTAGCGTTGCCAACCCGTCAAAACCAACCCCGAGAATCCTCTCTTAAAAATCTTATTCTGCTGCGACATCACCTCTAACCATCTCAAATTATTCTCCAAATGACGTTTTGAATCAGGTACGAATAAAGTCTCACCAAACGCCCCCTTGAACGCCGACGCCGCCCACGCTGTTTTAAACACAGCCCCGTATTTGTCCCAAACGGGGGGCTGCACAAACCGGTACACATCTTCAGCGTACACCCACACCATGGGCTCAACCAAGCTCCCTAAATTCACATCAAGCATGCTTTGCTGGGATAAATGGCGCAACATGTCGTCCCAGATAATAAGCCGCAATTTGGGGTGTTTCTTGCGGATTATTTTCGATACGTTTTGGACGTGTTTGAGGAAAAGAGTTTCCTGGAGTTCCATTCGACAAATTTCACATTCACCCATTTGGAAAACTTCATCACAGCCGATATGTAGATACTTGATCTTGGGGTGGAGTGACATTATTTGGTCCACCATTTCGCTGATGAAGTCTAATGARCTGTTCCTGCTGGGGCATAGAGCCTGRGGACTTCCTGGGACTTCGCGCAGTTTTGCCAACTCAAGGTGTTTCAAAGCAAACTCCATGTGGCCAAATGTTTGGACTAGAGGGATGACTTCCAGTTGGAATTGCTCAGCTAAGTCTAAGATTTCGGTGATTTGGGCAGGAGTGTATGCGTTTTGCGCTGAAATGTTTTTCAAGATTCCTGAATAAGGGAACATATCCTCATATTCTACAATGTTTAAAATTAGATCTAAGTTTTAATCAGCAGGGTTAARAAACCTAATAAAATTCCCGTGGCCCCCATGTTACGTATCAAAGGGAAAAACTTCTTTAAAAAACTGACTAGAGGTGGGGCCCCTTTTAAATCCAAGTGAACTATACGTTTTTTGGGAATGTATGGATTATTCACGTTTAGGTTAACATAGGGTATTCCTAATTGTTGTTCTGTTTCTAAAGCAGAAACAGATGGACGTCTCCGTGCAATTTCGTCACGACTAGGTTGTTCTAAATTTGTAAAATCACCAAAATTTGGTTCAGCCGTCTCAACCTTTGCTGCATTTGGTTTTTGGTTATTTTCCACAAATTTGACATTACTTTGAATCAACGGCTCAGCAACTATCATGTGAGGACTTCCATTATCTTCCTTTAGAGACGGTTTATCACTTATTCGTGAAAACTGCAACCCAAATATTATTATTGAAAGCAATCCTATTGCTATCAATAATGCTGATTTTTTCCGCCAAGCTGTTAAGCCTAAATGTTGCACGTAACTATTCATTTTTAAGTTAGGAGTTCACATTTCTCTTCAAACTTTCCAAACAACACCCACAACTTGTCCCATCTGAAGTCTGAGGTGAAGTTTATGCATGGAAAATTAATTGGGTTCTCCTACATTTTAATAAAAGGGTCACGGTATTTATGAATTATTTGCGGTATCTCATATTGTACACTGGGGCTACTCGTGGAAACACATTACACAATGTTTATTTTTCGAGTAACTTTTTTAATTTTATTTACTCCCCACTTCCACATAAATCTCTATTGACAGTTCCATGAAATTTGACATTTGGAGTGCCATGAGTGCCACTCCAAAGAAAAAAAGCGGATTAATTATTTTTTTTTAAATAAATATAAACGATGTAAATATAAACACACGAAATCATTGACGTTATGGAATAATGACCACTTTTATATTATTGCAAATAATTTTTAGAATGTTAATAACTGCTGTTGACAAAATAAAATTTGACACTTGTTTTGACAGTCTTTGACAGTTGACTTTCGTTGTGTGATGTGTCTAAAAATGTTAAAAATATAAACAATGTGTTTTAAATTAGTGGACAGACAGCAGAAACTAAAGGGTTAAAACAATCTGAAATCAATCCCTTTTGCTAAAAATGGCCACTCAGGAAAAATTGTTAAAATCGTTAGAAGTCCTTAAAAGTTTATCGGCACCTAACCAAACATTTGATCCCTCAAAGTGAGTCTATTAAACTAATTAACACCATTTAACAGTTTTATTTTCTAGGAAAAAGGACAAAATTCAACATTGTCACATAGTCACTGAAGCAATTTCGAATTCAACAATTAAAATCGCTCCAAGTTTTTCAACTTATCTCAGTATAACCATTGAGGTTCTTTTACAATTATGTGACGACCAGGAGTCTGATGTGAGGATGACAGCGGGGGATTGTCTTAATAAAGTTATCAGAGTAATCAATTGTAGCTTATTTGTGTCTTGTTTTTGAGTGGAACAATTGCAGGCTATGAACGATGGGAACATCGGTAAAGTACAAATTGAATTACATAAAGGGATCAAACAAAATGGTTCAGCTCGATCGTTGCGAGCCGCTCTTAGACGGTTTTCACAATTAGCACACTTGATACGGCCCCACAAGGGCAAACCGTACGTAGTTAACCTTTTTCCAACTTTAATTAAAGTCTCGCAGAGGCCTGAGGAACAAATACACGAAACTTTAGCTAATAGTTTGTTACCAATAATGAAGGTTTTGGGGAGTTTTTCATCGGAAAATGAAATAAAAGTAAAATTGAGATTTGTTGCGTTTTGACGTTAACTTCGTGTTGCAGGATTTATTGAAAGGATTCCTGAAAAACATCTCACACTCTTCGCCTGTTATCAGAAGGTCTGCTACTGCTTGTATATTACATGTTTGTCTGAATTGTAGAAAACCGAATATTCTAATTGTATACGTAATTAATTATTTGTTAGGTGGGTCTTACGATTTTATGTGTTCACTTGATTGTTTTTTGCAAATTTCTAGATTTATTAATTCCAGTCAGTGATAATCAAAGTAGTTTTTTAATATTGGGTGTTTTGGCATGTTTGAAAAATTTATTGCAACATTTAAACGATAATAAAAAGCGCGAAACTATTGAAACACAAAAAACAGGAGATTATGCTTCCATATCCGTGGATAAATTGTTACAAGTTAGTGTTTTTAATGTTTAGCGACTTGTCTCTTATCTTTTTTTTTTTAGATTTATGAGTTGTGTCTTCACTATTTTTCTAATAAGGATCATAATGTTATGAACGCAGCTTTAGAAACTTTAAATATTTTACTCCAGAATTGCTCCCCTGAACTGAAACAAATTTTATTGAGCGAAAGTGGCATAGATAAGAGTAGAATTAGTTTACCAACTTCGTATTCAATGTCAGCACTGCGTTCTCCAAGTCAGTTAAGTGTTGCCACCAGTACAGCAAATGAAGATTTATTTCTTGAATCTGAACTAACAGACACTATAAGGTCAGATATAGAAAAATGGATAGACGAGTCAAAACTTTCAGTAATAAATGTAACGTGTGCCAAAACTAACGAACTAGAAAAGTCGTTATCAGTTGAAAGTAAAAATTCCTCACTCRATGTATCTTTAACACAACTTGATAATTTTGATTATAAAATTTCTGAATACGTAGGAAGTAAGAGTCACAGTGTGGGCGATAATCTAGAAAAACTCACAATAAGTGACGATTCTTCAGAAAAAAGCTACTCTTATATTGAGGATGACAAGAATTTTGAAACGCATTTTCCAGTAAGACAATTTTATTACAACATCTCACAAGTAAACATTTTTTTTATTCCAGGACATTGTTATTGGTAATTTTCTAGATACCGATATTTCACTAGTCTATTGTGCGAGACTAATCACCAAATCGTTTCTTTTGTCAGGCCAGAAAGGCGTTTGTATTTCAGATAAGTCAGTCCGAGTTTCCGTAAAATCACTGGCTTTGACTTGTCTAGCCTCAATTGTTCAGATCTACCCAAAAATATTCCTTCAGTGTTTGGGTAAAAAGTGTAAATCGAAAAATACTCATTTACCAATTGCTGACTTAATATTGTATGAAAATCACACCGACCCTCAATTAAGAGGCGTTTTTAGGACGCTCTTATCCAAATTTATTACGGCTGTGTTGAGTGAAACTGAGTCGAATTACGATAATTGGATTGAGAAGAATTGTTGCGATGGCAATATTGCCCGACTTCAGTTGGATTCTCTAGTGAAAATAATTATAAAAGTACTAGCAGTTCTTGTAAATCTTGTTTATTGAAATTTTGTTTTTTAGGGGTTAGAAGACGAATCGTCCGGTTGTGCGCGACAAACAATCATAAGTTTAGATTTTTGTTTAGAGAAAATTGCAGAATCGGCTAACAATATTCACGTTTTACCAATTTTAAATTGTCTGCTACTCTTAGCAAAAAATCCATACTGGCTTGTGAAAGTTGCTTTGTGTGAACTCGTTTCAAAACTTCCCTACGTCACTATTTACGATATCACTGGTTCTAGTGATTTCCAAAACCGAATAATTGATGATGTTTTGTTTAAATTTTTACAAAATGATGATGTCCGAGTCAGGAATGGGGCCGCTAATGCTATTGTTTCGTAAGTAGTTGACAAGATTGAAATAAGTGTTTCATTAATTTTTTAGGATAATTCCGTTTCTGTATCATGAACAATTTTATTTAGGAGAAAATTCTGTTACATCCAAAGCCATTTATTACAAAAAGTTGTTTTTGTCAAATCTCAGTGATAAAAATACGGAGAAGGATTTAACGAAAAAACATCTCATTGATAACATGCCGTCTCCGTTTAGTCATATTTTACAAGAAAGCTGTGATAGAACTGAACATTCTTTATCGAAAGTTGTTACGAAATTGTATCATTTTTTACTAACCGCTACATCGAACCATTTTATTGTCAGTATTTTTTTGTTTTAATTATTATTATTAATTGTGATAATTGTAGTATGGTTGCTTAGAAACACTATCACTTCTTTCAAACGCCTATCCTACTACAGTCTACGCTAAAGCCTGGAATTGTAAAATATTTCCAACAGAGAAAGAAAATTCASATGTTACTTTAGATTTATTTAACATTTGCATATATTTACTGAGCCATTCAGTGATTTGCTACGACTTGACGTGTCATTTAAACCTCCTAAATCTCTCTTCCAATCTGTACGCAGGTGCGTATCACATGACCATAAATACGTGTTTCCATTGGCTCATTTCAGGATACGCCCTCAGCCTCATCAGACCCATATCTGAGAGTGAGCCATCAAACCAGCCATGGGACATGTTTTTCAACCCGAAATTTTCCAAACTCAGCGACCATTATCTGTCCCATTTAGTGAAACTTCTCAATATTTTTCACTACGTTCTAGATGACATCTCTCCGAGTCAACTCCTATCAAAACCGGGTTTACCAAATTTATCAACAGCATCGCCAATAAAAAGACGGAAGAGTGACTTGGAGAAGAAGATCTTAAGTCCGAGTAAAACATCGGAAAAGGAAGATAAAGACAAGAAAGATTTAAAATGGTCGTTTTTGCATCTTCCACATTATATGAAATTTTATGACCTTCTGCGACAGGCGTATACCAATTATAAGATAACGTTAGAGAGCGAAGCATGTGTGAAATTTTCGGGGTTGTTAAAACAGACGCTTCACTCGTTTTCGGTTTTGATGGAAGTGGGGACTTTAGTTGAGTTTCAAGGGATTGCGGAAGATATTTTGACTTATTTCCGCTTTACCTTCACGCTGGAGGCTTCAGCGACGGTGGAGTGTGTGCAGCAGTTACTTAAGTGTTTGTTTGGGAATAATTTGACAACTAATATTAGTTTAATCAGAGAAATAAATAAGACACAGGAAATGAGCGAACAATCAACTGGATTTTATCACAACTTGTACCAAAAGCCATACGATGATGTTTCTGAGTGTTTCAATTCGTTTAAAAATATTCACAAAGTGGACTGTGATGGGGACAGCACCCTTATGGGTTACCTTCACCGGCGTGACCTCAAACCATTGACTGTGCGAAATTCGGATAAAATTTTGGCCAATTATATCCGAATTTTTGAGCCAATGGTCATCAAATCGTTGAAAGTGCGTTCTCTCTTAATAAAAAAAATAAACTAAGTGTTTTGTTCCAGCATTACACTATTACAAGCGACGTTAGATTGCAGTGCAAAGTGTTACAATTGTTGAACCAAYTGATTCAACTCAGGGTGAATTACTGTCTTCTCGATTCTGAACAGATTTTCATCGGATTTGTTTTGAAACAGTTTGACTACATCGAAAAAGGGCAAATTCCGTAAGTGTTAATTGGTTGATTTCTTGATCCTAAATGAAATTCCCAGGTTCGCTAACGATTTAGTGAAAAAAATYTTCCAATTCTTAGTCCAGCTTTCTCATAGTAAGCAACACTCCAAAAGCATTATAACGGTACCAAAAATCATTCACTTGTGTGATGGTTTGATGGCAAGCGAGCAGTCACCTTTGACACATTGCATACCTGCTCTTGAGCCTATTGTTGAAAATATTTTTTTGACTCGGAATAAATCAAGCTCTGTCGATGCTAAAGAACTGGAAACAACACGAGATGTCGTACTGTCGATGCTGTTGCGGCTGTATGAGTATCACGAAGTTATTGATTTGATTGCTTTGATTTTGGACGATAGTAAATATTGTTCCAATTCGGAAAAGTGGCTGCGGTGGTCGACTCAAGTGAMTGATRTGATTTTACCAATGTTGAAACAGAATAAAATTAGACTAGAGAGTRCTCAGGCTTTGRTTTCCATGAGACGATTGATTTTTGTTCTAGAACCGTCTGTGTTTGAACCTATTGATGGTGTTTTGCTTTTGTTATTTCAAGAACCATTGGTTTATGTATGAAACGTAGGGTCTGCGGTCGATGTTGGATTTATGTGGGTGTTTTAGGATAACTGGCAATTTTCGTATACCCGAAGACTAGCGAAAATTTTGATTGGTCTGTTAGTTTTATCACCAGTGAAAGAAGAAACTCTCATTGCAAAAATAAATGAATTGAAGGCGGAGTTTGCTCCGGGGAGTATTTTTGAAAATTGTGCACCCACAGCCGATCCTTTGAATGTTATAAATAGTGTTGATATTTTTCGGGAAGTTTCTCCGGAAATGATTTTTGTCCGATTTTTATTCCGGGTGCTAAACCTCGCATCTAGGTTTTGTGCTGAGATTACGAAAGACGGAACATATGATTTTTTTATTGAGGAAATTTCGATTTTTCTCATGTATTGTATTCATATTTTTCAATCAGGTAATAAAAAACTGAAGAAGAAAACGGTATTGATTTTTTGTTTTAGGGAGTCATTGTAAAATTGCAATTTATACTATTTCTAATGTTAACGTCGCTCAAGTGGAGGATATTAGTAATAATTTTTTGAGAGTTGGCCACGAATATCCGCTGCTAATTTTTTTGTGGTCTTACGTTTTGACAATTTTGAATTACAATGAGAGGAAATTTTGGGGTAAAGTTGCAGATTTGCGTTCGGCTTCGCCTTCCATAAACCAGAAAATTTTATCCACTGGCAGCATTATTTTATTTTGTGATTATATGGTAAGTCAATAAAATGATGTTACTTCTTTTYACAATRAAACTGTAAAACTGCAGCTTCCAAAAATGTTAATTTTGCTATACAACGTTTSTTCAATATTTTATCTCAAAAATAATTGCTTTGGCGCGAAATTTTTTCAAGTTTCTCTGTTTTCAATTCAAAACAATCTTTMTAAAATTTCATTTTTATATTGAGTAATTACTACATATTGTTTTTCCAGTGATTAATTATTAAGATTATAATTCAGTAAAAACGTTTTTTTGTACAAAATATTYAATTTTTAGAATCAGGATGTGTTAAAATTGGACCAATTATCCTGGTTTTTGACCACTTACGTCACTCAAGTCGTCCAGTTATGCGACGAGGACCCTATTTTCGAATTTATTTCATCAGTTCACCGCAACAGTGCTACCAGTAAAATTTTTATAGACAGTTTGATGACCAGAAATTTAGATTCGAAAGACGTAAGTCAAATGAGACCCTCTTATTCTTAATGACGTTTTTTTTTAATAGCCAGTTTTTGTGGTACAAATTTTAAAATCAGTTGAAAACACTCATCCTTGTCACACTGGACCTCTCCTCAAACTTCTACTCCCAAAACTTTTAGTTTCGAGAGATTTAGCGGTGTCTAGACTAGTAGCAAACYTAGCAAGTCGTAAAATCGAGCTACTTCTCACCATGTCAATGGCAGAAGTACACGAACAGTTATCCAAAGAAGATTTACTAGCAATTATTAAAAAAATTGCAGCTTTGAATTTAGTGAGAAAGTAAGTGTTGATTAATCACCGATGAATTCCATAATTGTGGTGTTTTCAGAAACGAGGCTTTATCAAGTCTTTTGAATAAATTATGTACACAATATTACGATATAAGTCCGCTGGAATTTGACCAAAAACGTTCTGTGAATCCCGATTATATCAAAAAACTTGAAATCAATAAAAATTGGTATTTGGCACAAATTCACGATAAATGTAACAGCAAAGAAACAGCTCAACTTTTAACACGACTGGATTATGAAGAGTTGTGTAATTTTTTTCGTAATGCGGATTTTAGTAAAGTTGTTTTTCAAGAATGTCTCAGATTGGGTTTAGATAGAAATAAAACTGTTGAGCCGCTGATAACAGCAACTGTCACTTGTTTATTGGAGGAAGTGACGACTATCTGTGATCAAATCCCGACGGTGCATCAGGTTGTTTTTTATTTTATTTTGTAGCTTTTTTATGTTTTAAATAGGTTTTTAGTGTGCAAGGTCGCGAGCCGACGTTTGAAGAATCTGAATTTACAACAACACTGTCCCAACTTTTTGATTCGAAATTTTTGACTCAAATTTACGACTTGATTCCGTCTATAACATTCTGCATTGATCAGTTACCTGAAATCAAAGTTTCGGACATTAGCGAGGTCCTCGTGAAATTTGGTGTAATTTGTTTAGAGTCAATAAACGACTTAATTGATCGTGAAAATTTTAATCTAAATTATATCGACTTGGCTATCCAYTGTTGTGAGTCCGTACTTAAAGAAAAAAAAATATTTTGTGTGTTAAATCAAGAGTCCCACATATCATGGTTGTGCTCCATCATTAATAGTTTATATAAATTAGTTGTATATTTATTATCAGATAAGGAACAGTTACCCACGATATCAAGAAGTGTTTTACAAACTACCCCGGTGGGGGAGGCTTGTTACCAAATGTATATTCTAGTAACCTGGTTGTACAAAAACTCTGAATCAATCATTCCGAAACTTCTATTCAAACCGATCAAAAATATCATTGTTTCGTTATCGCGACTGTCCGCTGTTAACTCCTTTGTGTTGATACCGTCCCAAGTGCTGAAAAGTGGGTGGACCCCTGAACTTGTAGGGACTTTCCAGACAGAGGTCCCGTTTTTACCCATCGAATACCTTCAAGAAATTGACGTACTGGAAGAATTCATCTTTAGGTAAWACCAACTGAAACCTCACCCGAGTCGCAGTGATTTTTTTTTAGAACAACATTGCTAGGCTGGACCTCACGACAACAATTTGAGGAAACCTGGATGTGTCTTTTGAGCGTTTTGTGCAACAACTTCGAAGATAAGGACTCGTTGGTGGTGCAAGATATTGTGCACGCGTCCAGCTTAGCGGTCAAAGCAATTACGGCACTTCTAGTACAAACTTTGTATTTTCCGACTCCCGGAAATACCAATTTGTCGGAATTAATTCACGTTTCGAGGTATCCAAACACAACGAAAAGCTCAATCAGTGATGAAAAATTGAGAAAAATTCAAAATACAATTAAACAGAAATATCAAGAAGCTGGTTATCTGCCAGAAATTGTAAATATTTTTGAACATTTGAATTTCGAAAAACGGGCCAAACACTACTGTTATGGACAAATGTCTGTAAAATATCTCTCAATAGCGGCAAAAATTATCGAATTTGATGATAAGTGCCCAATTGCGAAACTTTGGAAACACAGAGAAGATTTATTAGAGGTTTACGGTTTAGATATTAATTCATGTTTGCAGTTTTTGCTGGATTATTACACCCAACAATTGAAAAATCAAGTAATTGTTTTAGTTATGTTTGACTTAACTTGACTTAAGTCGTTTTAGGGGTCAACACCACTACGTTTCTTGTACGAAATTGTCAGGTCAATTGTGATTATTTCCGATTTATTTACCGATAAATCACAGTTTAATTGGATGTTGGAAATGTTTCTAGAATTGTCGAAGTTGCATACAGTTGAAGATGAGTTATTACATCAGTATTTAATCGTTGGGATTTCGAAAGCCACAGCTGTTTTAACACCGGTTCGTTTTTTAATTTTTTGTGTTACTTTATAACTGCAATAATTGTTTCAGGATTTGGAGACTTATGAAACAATTAAAAAAATGTTAACACAATATTTGAAAAGTTCTTTTTTGCCGTCGAGAATAGCATGTTTGCACGGCCTTTTGTACCTTTTGGAAGGTTGCAAATTGAGTAATATTAGTATTGGGGGAATTTCAGAAGAAATGCAAATTATCTTACCGTGCGCTACAGAGTATGTACAGTGTAATTTGAATTCAAGTAACGAGTAAGTTTATACGAATTTTGTGAGTTTAAATAATTATGTATTTTTTTTAGAATCTTGAAACGTTCCCAAGAACATACAATTTTAGTCTGGACTTTGACTTTTTTTATTGTGGAAAATATTGATGAAACTCATCTCGAGTCAAATTTTATTCCAAATATTTTGTCAACTGCGTTCACAGTCTTATTACAGCAAAAGCCAACGAATAATTTGCAAATAATTTTAATGAAAGTAATTGTTCTCTTAATTACATTTATTTACCTATTCAATTTGATGGTTTTTAGGCTTTAGAACGACTGGTGATATTTAAGAGAAACATTACTAAAAATATAAGTAAACAAATAATGAGTTTAGCTTTGGAAAAAACAAAATCCGAAAATCCAAATGTTTCAATTTTAGGATTACAGCTACTTCTCAGCTATATGTACACAGGTAATTAGCTACTAATAGTTGTAATAGTTACTTGCTATTGTTTTAAGACTGTTCCGAGCAACTCGAAGCTGTTGGTAGCCCCACAAACCCTGACCATTTAGTACAAACAATCGAAAAAATCTCGGCAATTTTCGAACACATCAAACGGGGTTACATGTCCCAAGTTGAAATATTATGTTACGTTCTCCCCGACATACTCAACGACTTTTTTTCACCTGCTGATATCCTCACGAAAGTGATAAGTGAGTTCTTATCGCCGCAGCAACCTCATCCTCAACTTTTGAGTAAAGTCGTTTTTCGGGTAAGTTACCTTGTCAATCAGGTTCGGTTTGCACCTTTTTTTCTGTAGGTTTTCGAGCGGGCCATTGAAGAGAAACAACTTCCGTTACTTCAAGACTGGGTGGTCTTTAGTCTTTCCAATTTCACTCAATCGTTGTCAGTTGGAATGGCAACGTGGTGCTTAACGTGTTTTTTTATAAGTGCAAGTKCGAACGAGTGGCTGCGTTTGTTCTTTCCTTATGTACAAACACGTGTCGGGAGATACGAGTACGAAGACAGGAAAATGTTGTGTATAGCAGGATCGGATTTTTATAAGAATTTAACCAACCAAACTCAGAAAGATACGTTTATTGAAAATTTTAGGAAAATTAAGGATCAACCCGACACGCTGTTTAACGATTTGTTATTGTCTTTGTAGGTGGATGTAAATAATAGGAATTTACAAATTTAATTATCTTTACTGGATACGAAATAAAACAAATTTAACATTTTTTATTTTTTTCTCCCAATGTTGTTTTCAAATGTTGAAAACGTATATTTTGTTACTAATTGTTATTGTGTTTTGATTAAATAGAGAGGAATTTTAATTGTTTTGATTTTTTTCTTAATCAAAATGATTTTCGTACTGACGCACAATCGGTGTGTGGATTGTGCATTTTCGGTGGTTTACGTTGACAACCTGTCATTGTCAAGCTCAGACTTATCCTTGTGGTTTTTTATTGTTTATATTAGTAAAAGTGATTGTTTAAATACATTTGTGATAATTTTTTATTGCAAATAAACAATGAATGGCCGTTGAACTTTAAGGTAAGCAAAAATGTGTAAATCTCGGTGATATTCAAACGTGTGTATAATCTTGCTGAGAAGTTTGTCTAACAATGGGATATTTCCTGTTTCTTCACAATTGTCTTTTATCACGGAGTTATTCAACAAATCCTGTTCATAAGTGCTAGTACGTGTACTGTATTAAATAACTTTGTGTATTTTTAACACGTCTTTTGTTCCTTCGCGATTTAATTTTATTGGGTAAGGTTAGGAGAATTAAATCCAGTACTTTCACTTTTATCGCAATTTWCATCAATAATATTCCCACTACAATTMAAACTTTGTATTTCCCAGAATCAGTAATGCGTATTATATAAAAACGTTAAAATGGCTGAAGATGGTATTGACTTGATCCGGGAGATATTAGTAGATGTAGAATTAAGCCAGTTTTTGTTACCTATAAGAGATGATCTCCAAATAACACGACTAGAACATTTCGATTACGTGAAGGCTGAAGATTTAGAAAACATTGGATTAAGTAAACCAGGTAACAAGCATCGAATTATTTCCAMTTGTAATTAACACATTGCTTTAGGTGCTAGACGATTGTTGGAAGCCGTCAAGAAAAAACGGGCGCAAATTAGGAAACGCAACTTAATCAATAAATTAATCCCGGTCGTCGCTAATAAAACAGCGACTTTGAAAAAATCTGACGAAAGTGTGACTTTAGCCGACTTCACCTCTTGTCTCATTCCTGAATCTAATATTACTTTGTCAGTTAAGTTGGGTGATGGCTCTTTTGGGGTTGTGCGAAGGGGCGAATGGACAAGTCCCAGTGGGAGAGTGCTTCCAGTCGCTGTTAAAATCCTCAAAGCTGATGCTTTATCTCAACCGGGAGTTTTTGAGGACTTTATCAAAGAAGTCCAAGCTATGCATGTCTTAAGTCACCCGAACCTAATCCGTTTGTATGGAGTCGTACTGTCTCAACCTATGATGATGGTGACAGAGTTAGCAAATCTAGGATCTTTATTAGATTATCTCAGGAAACAGTGCCAACAAACCCMGGTGCCCATGCTGTGTGAATATGCTACACAGGTGGCTACTGGAATGGCGTATTTGGAGAGTAAACGGTTTTTGCATAGGGATTTGGCCTGTAGGAACGTTCTATTAGCTTCAGCTGACAAGGTTTGTCATAGATTTTGCGAGTTTATCGTATTTATAATTGGTTAAAAATAGATCAAAATTGGTGATTTTGGCTTGATGAGAGCTTTGCCCCAAGAAGAAGACTGTTATGTCATGACTGAGCATAAGAAAGTCCCCTTTCCGTGGTGCGCCCCCGAGTCCTTGCGTTCGAGACAGTTCAGTCATGCGTCAGACACCTGGATGTTTGGGGTGACGGTTTGGGAGATGTTCACGTTTGGGGAGGACCCATGGATGGGCCTCATCGGTTCGGAAATTTTGCGAAAAATTGATAAGGAAGGAGAAAGGCTTCATCAACCCGAAGCGTGTCCTCCGGCTATTTACAGTATTTTACTGCAATGTTGGCTCAAGAATCCGACTGAACGGCCGACGTTTGCGGCACTGAAGGACTTTTTCCGGAAGAATAAAACGCCAGTGATGAAGGCGGTGGGGGAACAGAACGAGCCGAATAAATTGAAGATCGAGGAAGGTGATGAAATTGCGATTATTGATGGGAGTGCAGAATTGTATTGGTGGAAAGGTCAGAATCAGAGGACGTTTGAAATTGGGTTGTTTGCCAGGTGAGACTAAATTTTTTGACAAAGGCCGGAATTTGGTAATCGGTTCGGTAAAGCATGAAATCGTTAATTAGTGAATGATGGGGTGAATAAGTGGGTCAACAGGGCGAAAAATTTTGCTTGAGTAAAAAACGAATATTTTATCTGTAAATAATACAAAAATAGTTGCGAATATATTTGAGAATTAGTTTGTTTGGATTTTTATTATTGTAGTAAACATAAAATGACCTATTTCAGGTGTTTGGTCAATCCCATGAGACCCAAACAACCCGAAGACATCAGCAAACCCCTTCAAAACTCCTTCATCCACACTGGTCACGGTTCAGCCTTCGGCGAATCGTGGGGTAGCCCGTCCTATATAGACGACATGTACTTGAGGAATCCTATGGAGCCCCCCGATGTGCTCGGTTTGCACCGAGAAGTTAAACCATCCCCGCAGCTTTGTGATAGAACTAAAAGTATCAAAAACAGTATGCCACAACCGATCATGCGTTACCCCAATTTGAACGATTTTTTTAGCAAATAGTCTCAAACAAAAGCCAAGTGATAAACAATTCAATTATCGGAAATTAACTAACGAATCTAGTTTTAAAATGAAACCTCAAAGGCCACCTCAGCCTAAATTTGAGACGAGTCGGGAAGGTGTTTTAATTGATTTGTCGCCAGAGATGAGTTTGTCTAAACAAAGCACTGTTGGTAGTACTGATTCACGAAGTGTGTCGATTTTGGATGAACCTATCGACGTGATGCAAGGTACATTTCAAAGTTGTTGGGACCAGACTAACGATTTTTTGTAGAGTATGAGTATCCACCGTCAAATGCACCACCCCCTTACCAGCAGCCCCCCTCATACTACAACACTAAAATGCTCGAACAGTTAACCGATGATCCGTTTGACACATCTCGAGTTTATTCTCCCGAACCTCGACAGCCCTATTTTGAAATACCAACAACAAACTCAAATAATTTTAAATCGAATAACGAAATCAAAGAAAACGGATACATCAAAGGTGATATTGCAAATCGTGCAATGAATTATGGGCCGTCAACTAAGAATGATGTTCAAGTTGTTACATCCAAAGGTGTCTCAACGACTCCTAAAGAAATCGCAACTCCAATCTCAAGCATAAACGACGTAGCTTTGATGAATCTCAACCAAGTGCCAAGTACTAACGACACGAAATTCGTCCAAGAATTCGAAAAATATCTCCTGYCCAAACCCGAAGTCCCAATTTTRCAACCTCCTCCTCAAAATTCCAAAAAATTTGATCCAGTCCTTCCTAAAGTCCAAAACGGAACTTACTCGAATCTAGATACTTACAGTAAAGGCTCGAAATACGATACGACGAACGTTTTCAATAAAATTTGGTACGATAATATGACCAAAGAAAATGGGAACGTGAAACAATGCAAAAACTTTGACATTCCCCCGAGTTCTACTAGTCAGAATTTTTATCACCATTACGACCCGGTTTCGGATCGACTTTCTATTTCTGGGGTCAATTTTTACGATAATTGTCACGCAGCTGCGGATAATTTGTATAATAATACGTCGTTTTTGGTACAGCCGAGTTCGTCGCAAAGCTCGTTCAGTTCGTGCAATACTCAGACGGCCGTTTACGGATCGTACAATTCGATAAGGCAATATAACGAAGTCGCCGATGCGGTGTATTCGGAAATTGCGGAAAATTCCTACAGTCAGGTGCCTGAGGAAAGTCTGAAGCCGCACAGACCGGCGCCACCGTCGCCCATGGTGCAGAGCATGCAGCAAATCCAGCGTAAGATACAACAAGGACAGGTAACTATCCTTTTAAACACACGGGACATTTGTTAAATATTTTTTCTTAACTTTTTAGTTGAGTGCCGACGCTGAGCGTCTAATGACTTCAGAATATCGCAATAACAAAATAAGTCAAGTTCGGGAATGCGTGCCCGATATCAGCACTAGTGATTGTTTACAGGCTTTGCAACTGTGTGGGTGGGAAGTGGCCGCGACAGTGAAACACGTGAAAATCGATAAATTACTCAAGTATGACGATTATCCGTGTTTTATTTCTTGCTGATGTTTTTTTTTTCTAGGCTAGGATTGGCCAGTCGTGAGCGATGCGAGGCGGCTTTACAACGTACAAATTGGAATGTTGAGTTGGCAGCGTCGGCTATTTTAGACAGTTGAATTTAATTAGGAATCAATTAACCGTGCCAAAGATTATTATCACAGAAACAAATAGTTAAATTAGTTTTAGATTGTTATTGTAGCAACGTGACATGACCGCTTGTGATAAATAATTTAAATTTAGTTTTGTTTAGTACTTCCATTTTTATATTTTTTTCTCAGTGAGGTGTGCCAATATTTTGTGGCAATTAATCGAATCAATTTTACCTACAATATAACACCTAGACGTGTAGGTGAACGAATTGTACACTCAGTTGGTTTTTTAATGAACTAATAGAATAATAATTGTTCAAACTATTTATTCTAGCGAATAATCAATCTTAATTTAGTTAAATAGTTGTTATGTATATAAATCATCAGTAAACTATATTTTTTTATTTTGTATTTTGATTTGTGGGTGTTTTAAAAGAAAGTAAAACGATCGGTTACTTCCCGATGTTTATTTGTCTATCAGAAAGTTACAAACATCAAATTTAACTTTGAAATCGAGTCAGATCTTAGAATAACATATTTTCCATACAGTGGAAAAGTTCTCTATAAAGAGAGCCGATATTAATAAAAATATTTACAGATTTACATATCTAATTTGGCAAAAGTCTAGATATTAAACACGACAAGAAAAAATAAAACTACTTAATATTAAAAAAAGATAATTCTACAAAATACATTTAAATGATTTCCTTCAATCACAAAGTAACTATGTACAGGTACAGAACAATTATTTACAATCTTTAGTACCTAAAAAATTTACCAGTTAAAAGCTGTGTACACAATAAAAATCTAATCACCGTGAACTTTTTATTGCAAAAATCGCCACATAATTGCATGAAAAATAAATTACTTGATGGTAAAACTTTACAAAAATTAACAACTCATAAGCGTACTTTTAAATAATATCAAAACACAAGCTTCTAATTAGTAAATACGAAAACTCCACCTCACGAAGTTTTCGCTTTCAATTTGAGCGCTTCGCGTTTCTGTTGTCTTTTTTTCCTACACTCGGGGCAGTACCAATGTCCCTTCGGTGGCACCATGATCCCGACACACTCGAAATGGAACCATTCGATGCTACAATCCCTCGCATCGCACCCTATCATCTCCGAAACCTCATCATAGGGACATTTGCAATAGCAGTAAAGCGCGTCGGGGTTCACCTGCAGCATATTCCGACCCTCGTTACTCGAGTCATTCGATTCGACTTCGCTTTCTCCATCCTCCACCTTCTGTTTCAATTTAATCGTGGGCATTTTACGAGGAGTGTCTTTGTTTTGGTACCCCCGGAACGGCTGTACTGGCGGCGGTCCTGTTTTTATCGTAATCGGGGGAACTGTCAGTGGTTGCTGCACCGGCATAACCTCAGTCTTGCGCCACTTTGGAGCCGCTTTCTCCTCCTCTTCATCGCTAGAATAACCGTAAAATTTGTTAGGAACTCGTCTTCGCTTCGAGGCTCTTAAACTAGTATCGTTTTCTTCTCGCGGCAACTCGGCCTCGTTTTTGGGGAAAACATTAGTTGAGGGGAGTTTTGCGCTAGGGGAGGGTACCGGTGAATTCCTCGATAKGGTCAGAGTGATTGGTGCCACTGTCGGGGGCTGGTAGTACTGGTAATATCCTGGAATGTTAGACGTGTTATACTCCTTCGCTTCCATTTCTTTACGTTCACTCTTTTTCTTCTTCTTTTTCTTCGATTTGGACTTCTTCTTCTTGACTTGTTCTTCCTCGGGTAGATTCGGTGTCGCTGCTCGACTATTCTCGAGTAAAGAACCATTAGGAGCTTGTTCGATACCAGCCAAAATTTGGTTACGTTTCTCTTCCAGAATCTTCTTAGCGATTAAGTGTGGCTGCTTGTCGTAGAACTCTTCATCCGTTTCACTTTCCGTAGTTTCCAAATCTGACTCAAGTATCGGCATGTCGGCCATGGGAACTGTATTATCGACAACAATATCTACTTTAGTTTCATTGTTTTTTCCTTTAGTCTTTCGCTGCCGTCTGCGATCACGTCGCAATTGTTGTCGTTTGCGGCCCTCTTCCGTTGAMGAATCCGAATCGGAACTTTCGGAACTCGAACTGGAACTACCCGAACTTGAACTACACGAACAATTCGGTCCACAGGAACAACTCGACGAGTCGCTATCACTACTCGAATCGCTCGATGAACTATTGACTTTCTTCTCAGGTTTGCTTTCTGCAACTGTTTTAACCTCGGTCGTTTCAGGTTTGGCTGAATCATTCTTGGCGGTGCAATAATCATGGTCTACGCTCTGCGACAAATCCGGTTTGACTTCGGTAAAACTAATATCGGGTTTGTTATCAGGATCGATGCAGTAGTCGTGGTCTCGTAGAGCCATTTCAAGAGTCAGAGGTTCATTTTCCAGGACCGGTTCGGGCTCGATCTGACTTTGCTCGTTCTTCTCATTATCGATAAACATATGGTCGAATTTTTCTTTATTTGCTTGATAGTTTTTAAAATCATCCCAAATATTCTCAAGGACGACTTCATTGTTTTCCAGGACTGGATCTTCAGTCACTTCTGACACTGGTTCAAAAATTTCATTTTCAATCTGGTTTTCCTCGATCACTTCTTTAATTTCTTCACTTTCCTTCTTCGTTTTTTCAGTCTCGTCCTCCGATTCGCTACTGTCACTTTCAGAAAGGTTCAGTTCAGGTAAATCATAAACGTCAACTTTCGGCTTGATTTTCTCCTTCTCTTCAACCTTTTCCTCTTTATTTTCTTCAGTTTCTTCCTTATTTTCGCTGTTTGCTTTACTTTCCTCTTGCTCCTCAATYTTGGGCTCTTCAGGCGGCTCCTTGTGTTTCAACTCGTGTTTCGCAAGCAATTTCTTCGAAATGAACCTTTCCTGGCAATCTTCGATGGTGCAAGCGTGTGGTTTCTCATCCGTATGTATTCTTTTATGCACTTTCAAAGAAACAGCTCGTGTGAATGTTAGGTTACACTCCTCGCAAACAAAACTAGTCGGTGGTACACAGAAATGGTAAACATGGGGCCACTTCTTCTGTAGGCATTTTTTACAAAGTACACTCTCGGTGCCATGTTTCCAAAACAAGTGCCTCGTGATGTCCGGTTTGTTCCTATAAGCTATACCACAGCGGTAGCAAAAGTGGTGTAACTTATGTTTCCAGACGTGATTTGACAGTCTATACTGACTATGGCACATTTCAAGACACACATCGCAAACGTGGTGTCGTTTCCGGAGATGTACCATCAGGCGAAAAGCCGACGGAAGGTCATCTCCAACACACATACAACACCGAAAACCGACATCATAATCAAGAATGTAAACTCCGGGACATAAGTGACAAATCAATTCGCTATAACTGTAAAAATTTGACTTGCACATGATACACAAGAGGAGATTTTTTGCGTGTGACTTTCGGTTGTGTAAATAGAGTTCTTTGTGAACTGTTGTTGAGTATCTGCACTGGAAACACTCGAAGACGTGCGAAAAGGTGACACCTTCATCTGAGGGACTAGATTCAAGACTGAAAAACACATTTTCCAACTCGGGTAGACTCTCCTTAATACGGGAAACGAAACTCTCTGGAATGAGCTCCTCAGCAGTGATGGAACTTACAACTGCCGAAAAACGGTGCTCTCCAATTGCGTGTAATCCGAGTTCTTTGCCGTTGACAGCGATTTTGCGTGCATGGTTGCAGTAAATACAGARGGGGGCAGTGGCTTTGAGACATTTCTGCAACAAAACACGAATATCGAACTTGTCCAAAGGCTGTTCGAGTTCAAGTTCGATTATATTAATATCATAACCGGCGATTTTCATTTCCGGTTCCTCTTCTTCTTTGGGGTCGCTCGGGGGTTCCTCCTCCACATAGGGGACCTCCTCGCTTTCTATCTGCTCAATTTCGGGCTCGTGATTTTCCGGTTCGTGTTGCTCTATTTGGGGAAAAGATCCAGGTTTGAGCTTGAGAGACAGTTTAGGAACTTTTCGCGTCTCGATTGGCTCTTCTTCGACCTCCATGGCTTCGTCCGGGGGGTCCTCTGGTTCGGGGTTTTCGGGGGTCAGTTTGTCGTTCTTGTAGACAGGTTCTCCAGCCTCGGTGAATCCTTTGAAATCCAGCTCGTCGTCGGTGGAGTAAACGATTTCTTCCTGTTGTTTTTCGATGACGGTGTCATCAATTTGCTTGTCAGTCTGTGTTTCCGGGGAAGCGTGATTCTTTTGTTTTTCGGGGTCAGATTGCGAACAATTGCCGTTAATGAGGGATTCGCCGGTGACGTGATCTTCGGGCCGAATCTGCTGTTTAGGTTTTTGTGATTTATTCGTTTTTTGGTTTTTCTTAGCGCAATTGTGGTAGAAAAAATTGTCTTGCTCGTTAAAGAGCTTGTTGCATTCACAGCACACGATGTAGCAGGGGTCTGAATATGCACTAAAAAAATCGTCTAGGGTGTCTTTACGGCCGGGCTCGAGGTTGTGTCGCGATTGGATGTGTAAACACAAATCGTCTAATACTGAAAACATACCCAAACAATATAAACACAAATAGCGTCTGTGCACTTCCAACATGTGCAAATACAAGTTCCAGTTCTCGTAGTACGTCCCGCACGCGGAACACAGGAACACTTTTCGTCGCAATTTGAAACTAGAAGAGGAATTTTCCGGGGCTTGGGGCTCCGCACTGGGCTCGTCGGTACACTGGATGATATGGTCGTTTAATGTCGTTAGCGACTCGAAACCAGCTCGTCCACATCGTGAACACTTAAACTGCACTGTAGGTTGTAGTCCTAGGTACTGGGCGTACTCCCGCAATTTCGGGCTGTTTTTCGCTTTCAGCCGCTTGTGTTTATGCAGACTAACTTGTGGGGCGGTGGTTTTGAGCGAGTTGTCGTTTTGGTGCTGCTGAGACAGCTCGAAAATCGACTCGTTAAAGTAGGGGTTRAAATGGGGGATAACTTCTGATTCCGGCGAAGGTGTTTTTTTCTTAGCGGGGGCGCCGTCGTCAATCACCAAAGCGTCGCTCTCCGAACTGTACTCTTCCGGGTTAGAAATCTGCTCACTGTCTCCGTTTATTTTACTGACGGTGTCTTCCTTCGAAACARCCTCCTCTGGTTCCGAGAAATTTGCCATTATCGGRGAGGCTACGCCATTGTTCACATGATTCGGGGCCTCGCTCTCGGATGAAATGCCATTCAAACCATCTTCCATGCCGATTCTACTCTACGAGATTTAGGATCTGGGGAAAAGATTCTGCCATCAGTTTCTGATAACTCTTTAAGTGACAATTACAACATTTGTTTAGTTACGTATCGGAATTATCGGACCATGCGAAATTCACACGTCATGTTGTGAGTAACTTTGTTTTGCACGAGACTGAATTTGCAACAAATTGTCGCAACTTGCGAAACTGACAAGGGCTGGATATTTACACTAAAAAATAGATCAAACCTACCAGATGGAATTAACGGTTTATAATATCGACGGGAACGCTTTTATTTAGCACATTTGAGCACATATTTATCGAGAAATACGTCTCCCCGCCTAAAAGGTTAATAAAATGGCGCTCCATTTCGGCCACAAGCATTTGCATTTCGCAGAGCTGCCAATGGCAAAGAGATAAAGTCTCAAGTGGGGCTTCATATCCCCCTAATTTTATTTACAATTGTTGGGAAATTGAAAGGGAGTAATAATTAACACGGTAAATGTTGCGGTGGATTATTAATTCCATAATTATGACAACAATTAAATGAATCCTAAAACGCAGGTGTCCATCAAACGCGTCAAACGTCAATATTCAGAGCTGCCAATSGAATATTAAACTCCCAATACTTCAGAAGCATCCATTAATAATTAATTATTTGATGCCAATGTTGAATTATTTGGGTATTTAGTATAAATATATACAAATTATAATTCAACGTAACACCAATTTTATGTATTATATTAAGTGAATTATATTTTCGTTTATGACTTGGGGATTTTGGTTAGGGGATTGGTAGTGACAGATTATAAAACGTCAAGTTTAAAAAGGTAAATTTGTTTAATTTTCTCTTTGTAATTTTAACAAATTTTTGTACAAATGAGGGATTCTTTAGAAGCATTTGAAAAAACTTTGGAGGTAAAACGATTTAGATAATCCCAGAAAATGTAAATGTCACTTTATAGGGAGTTAACTCAAATTGGAGTTTACAAAATAATCTCATCGATTTAATTGAAAATTTGAATAAAAACTTGGAGTCCGAGCGTGAAACAACTACGAAATTACAGGAACAAATTCAGAATTTAATGAAACAAGATAATTTCGGGATTACCTCTAAATATGTTGCTTTGAAAGGTAGGTATGTGTTTTGTATGTTTTGTCGTGTAACTTATTATTTTCTTAAATGGCCTGTAAAAGACAAAGCAGCAGGTAATAATGTGGAATAATAGCTATTTAAGAAACAAATGTCTCAAAGCGACTTGAAATAGTTAATAGATATAATCAAAATTATCAGTCTCCGGTTAATTACAATACTTTTCCGTTGGTTGTACTAAGAAAAAGTAAATCTCATAAATTAATGTCAGTTTCATAATTATTACAAAAATACAAGTGCTGTCACACACCTTAGTATATTTGGGTGCCTATATTAAAAATTATTTGTTAAATGAATACATTCTCACAGTCAACTATGCTTTTTGTGCGTTTGAATAATTTAGTTTATTAAATTCAAATCAAAGTAATTGTTGATATGTCATTAATTAAATTTGATAGTGTCAAAAATTCTACTTTCTTTTTCCCTTGAATTCAAAATGTATTCAAACGACGAAGAAACTGACATGATCTTAACAAATGGGGAATGCCATAAAATTCTGTGGCTGAATCTGTACCGTCAAAAGTACTCCGTAGGATTCCAAGTTCTGAAAATTGTCAAAGCTTCACAGGTATCTATGTTTATACCTTTGAAAAATTTCAAACAGAACATTAATTAACGCATAGTGGTATCTGAGAATGTATTTTGGGTTGCGTCTGAAAATGGGTTAGGATGTTTTATATATAAGATTCACCCTGTAGAAAAGCATTAATTGATTATTAATAGGGGTGATTAAATGCTTTTATGTACATGTACAGTTGGAGACAAAATACTTTGGTCGTCACTTTTCTGACACTTTAATGTAATTCAAGCTTTAACGTTAAAATAAATGACAATTTCAAATTACTGACAGCTATTATATTTTCCTATCAAAAATATATACAACTTGTCACCTATGATTGACAATAGCTAAAAATAAGGTTAACAGTCCTAAAGCATGCTTTACAATTTAATGTCTGTAATGTAAAGTATTTTGTCTCCAACTGTATTACATCAGTGCCGACAGAAAATAAAGTAGAATCATAAAATTGGTAATACAGTTGTCTCCGAAAAATAAGTCTATTATTCCATTATAATTATTAAATTTATGAAATTAGCTGAATGTGCTACGCTGAAAGAAAAGTTATCAACGCTAAAAAATGAAAACGACGACTTGCATATCCAACTTCTTGCAAAGTCTGAAGAAACTAAACATCTATTGATGGAAAAAGAGAGAGAATTACGAACGTATTACTCAGCTTTATTGAAACAAAAAGATGAAGAAATAAAACAAAAAGATAAGGAAATTCAGATTACGAAACAAAGTTTGCAAAAGAGAGAACAAGAACTTTATAACGAAATTCAAGCTGCTGAAGCTTCATCAGCGATTGAGTTAGACCATGTAGAGTCGAATTTTAAAAAACAGCTTGCTGAATCGAATAAGAAGCTCAAAAACAGTATGGAGACTTGTAATGTCTTGAGAGTTGAATTATTGTCTGTGAAAGAACAGTTTTCCGAGTATAAACAGGCTTCAAATCAAGTAATATTTCGGATAAAAATTATAAAACTTACAAAATATAATTTTTGTAGAAATTTACAGCGCTTCAGACACGGTTTCGAGAATCGCAGAATGTGGACCAACTTTCAGCTACTTCGTCCTTAAATCAAGATCTTTCACGGGACAATACTTTTGTTAATACTGAAGAAAAAAGCAAATACCAACCATTAGATGTTTTTCCGAAAACTTTRTCCAGTTGCGACAAACCGATCAATTTGAAGAAAACTCCGGTTTATCGGGGCATCGGAAAATATTTCAATGACACRAACATGCGAAAAACAAAAAGTTCTTTACCGCCTTTAATGGACTTGAAAAATTCAAACAAAAATGAACCAAAGTCGGCCACTAATAAAAGACGCAAACTGTACGATCCCACTGACTTGTCGTATTTGAACCTTGATGTTCCAGATAAAGTGTAGAAATTAGTGTTGTTTTGTAACGTTTTGTTAACGCTAAATAAAATACCGAGAAAATTGCATTTTAGGTAAGTTTATTGTATAAATAATTTTGTACATGATTTAACACGACGAATATATACAGTCTTGATTCCCGGATTAATATTTAATTACAAATATATTTGTTCAATCTATTCCAACTGGAAGAATAATCTATTTTCAAATGTCCGTAATTGCTCAGTCCAAAATTCCTCGGCTGTCTTCTGTTCCTCACATCGTCGTAAATCGGCAAAGTCGATTCTCTTTTTGGCGGAATTTCATCCAGTCTGCAATAAATATCTTGCCCGGTCCTGCACAAAAAAACGAGGGAATTAAAAATAAATACAGCGGGGCTCAAAACTCACTCGTAGTCGCCATATGAAAAGCTGATGCTGCGGTCTCTTGGGTTTCTTCGGTGCGGAATTACAGGGACTTTTCTCCACCTGTCCTGGTCATAAACGTAGGGAGGGGAGACGTCCTTCATATTTACTTCATAAGGATTCTCATCAAACTCTTGAAAAATAATGACTCATCAGTGATTATATTTTAATTATTTATAATGTTATTGCAGTCGCCCCCATTCAACCGACGCACAATTTCCATGTTAATCTCAAAAACAAAAAATATTCATCTGATAAATTTCTAAAACAATGTAACACAGTGACATTTCAAAATAGAACGAAAAATTTTGAAATATTACGATCTATTTTTTCAAGTCTCAAGAATTCCGTCATTAATTTTAATTGCAGGAAAGTTGTTAATTACGTTTTTCAACAGCGTGAAAACACCTTAATAGAAACACACCTGGATTTACGTCCATAACTCCTTTTTTTCACAAAATTACGTTTTCTAAAAACATAAAACTGGAAGTAAAAGTACATAATGCTTTCGTCTTTTTCTACCGGATTTTCTTATTGTATTCTTATTGTTATGTTGCGTGACAATATTTATAAATGCGTGTGCGATAATTTATAATTAAGCCGCCGGTTACGGTCATAGTAACTTCGCGCTCATGTTAAGAATACACACGACCGTTAAATAAAGTTTCACTACATGAAAATGGAACGCTTATGTTTCTTAATTCTTTCAAATACATATATTGTTTTATTTTTAAAATACAATAATAMACACACACGAGTCACGATCTTAATTAACGTGGCTCGTGCGCTTGTTAAAAAAATAATTATTTCGTAGATCATAAGAGATTAACACCTAGGTTATGACCAGTTGGAACAATAAAAAAAACTTTCACTGAATCTCTGTACAAAAAATTAATGCCCATCACTTTCTAATAAGACCAATCTCGATATTATAATGAAGTGTAAAAAATCGAGTTAGGTAACTGAATAAAAGTTGCATAGCAGCTTTTTAAATCTTCTTTTAAGTGACAGGTGGGTAGGATTTTGTAACTATTGCAAAAATCGGGTCCGTTGTCTACTTACATTTGAATTGTGAATTAAAATTGGAATTAAAAAAAACGATTTAGTCTAGGCGTTTACAGATTTGTATCCTCTTGAATTCTATTTTAGTGTACAGAAATTTAACATGTAATCACAAAAATAAACGAATCTAAAGATTAAATAGAAATTATGTAATTGTGTATACAGTGAGAGGCAAAATTATAGAATAATCTTATTTATTAAAACTGAAAATATTTTGTTTTGATAAAAATACTCATACAGATTAATTTTATTTTTAAAATAGTCAAAATTATCAACTTGATAAACTTGTTTGTTTTTTGTTGATATTATTTCACTTTTTTGGTGTTTTTTTTTTGAAAACTTTATGTAATATGTAATATTTTGGTGTTGTCGTTTCGATCGATCGAATTGGCCAAAAAAATCAGGGGTTTCTATTAAAAAAAAGAATTTTGTTAGCTCGCCAGACTACGAGCAATTTTAACCTGACATGAAGGGAGAAAATTGAATGAACCTAAAAATACAAACTGATGAAACTGTTTAGTTTCGTAATGGTTGCAAAAATCGCCCGCTTTGTTTAGATTCTAGATTGATTAAATATTTTTCCCGCAGAATTTTTGTTTAACACTAGCCAAGTAGTCTTCTAACATAACAATCACAACAATAAAAGGGAAGGAAAAAGAGGCGATTTAATTGCGCATTGTTTATTATCTGATCGATGATGATTAGGAAACGTACGTAATCACGACTTTCWGCCCGAAAGAATTGCAATTATGTCACAACGATAATAATCGCTAATTACTGTCAAGGTGAAGTAATTGCATAAATTAAGCAATTTTTCGGACTGAAATTTCCGGCGACTTACCGGGATCGTAACTTCTGTGAAGTCCACCTGTGCTGTACATCCTTCTCGTCCTGGGCTTCCCATATCCAACTTCTTCATAGTTTTGGTCACGGTGTAGCGGCACGTACCGGAAGGAAGTCGAGTTTACATCAGTAGTAAAGTCATCGGAACTGCTGGGGTCTGAACTAACATCAATCGAGTCTAGATGCTCCCTAATGTAAGCGTAATTCTCCAAATCCCAGGGATCGACGTAGTGTTTGGGTGAGGGCGAATGGAGCGACTCTTCCTCGCTTCCAAAATCGATGGAATTCCAGTAAATATCGTCAACTGGCATTATTGACACTCGTCTGGAAAAGCTAAAGACGTGACACAACTATAAACTGCCCATAATGGCTTGACTTATTTGGTCATCCGCACTGGAATGAAATTTCAATTGTGTGCTCAATACGAAGTAGCGGATCTTTTGACTCTTCTTGCACATGAATTGTGTAAACATTTCATTATTGGGAAACTGTAGTTTGCCGGGTTTTAAACACTGTACAAGAAAACAAGTGCATACTTTGGGTTCACACGATTGTTTATGTTGATCTATTGTCAGACATGTGTACACATTCGCACCGATATTGGAAAAGTGGATCAAGAGTTTCAACGACTTTTAAAGAGATAGAAATAAATTTACCATTTATTTACACAAAAAACTAGTTTAACCTCGGATTTTTCCGATTTGAGTTCACTTAAATTGTCTCGGTCTGTGGTATTTTGCCATATTTTTTTAGCTACTCGAATAGAGAAAATTATAAATTAACTTCAGAAATTGCAAAAGGACTTTAATATTTAGGTGATTTAACTAAGTATATCTAAGCTTCGTTTTAGAAAGTTTTTTTATCAAACATAAGAAAAACCACACTGACCGCTTATGCAAAAAACACATTTTTACATCAGTTTTTAAAGATATGAGTACACTTAACATTTAAGAGGGGCTCTATTTGCTATATAAACTTTTCAATAAAAAAAAACTTGCTTTGTTCCACTTCTGAAACTAAGGTAGCGTTTTTATTTCGAGGTTAATTGATTCAGAATTAGTTACCTCTATATCATTTTATTATTTATTAAATTTATTAAACAATCCAAATTCTAACCTGCCCTCTTTCGGACACTTCAAAGCTTTTTCCTCACACAACTCCCCGATATTTTGATTACGTAATTGCTTGGGATAAATTTGAGGCAACCAAGTAAGATATTCACCAACATTTCTACGGGAATAGGTTTGAAAAGAGGGTGCGCATTTGGTAGTCCCCCAAAAATACCCTTTTTTAACGCGAGCCCCATTGGGCCCCTTTTATTAAACTTCATGGCTTAAAAATTTTAAAGAATGATGTATTTGAAAATTACATTTTTTTTTTAGATATTGTCAATCGGAGTCCACTTAAATGTTTCAATGTTGTTCAAAATATTTTGTTTTTTTATTTATTTTATGAAGGAGAGAAATCTTATTATTTTATTAAAGCAAAAGTAAAGCAACAATAATATGAATTGTAAAAATATAATTTTAAATAAAACAGATTTTTTTCAGTCTAAAATGTCTTAGTTTTCGAAATTTTGCATTTTAAAAGRTTATACGTAGTAATTGATCAATATTTTTGCTGTGTTTTGATATTTCACAATATCAAAAAAGCCATAGGTTTATATTTTTTCTATAAAAAAATAAAAAGCGACCATAACTACACAATATTATTTGTTATTTGTTAAGATATTAATCTATTTGAGCCCACTTATTTTTCCACTTTAGCGCAAGAAAAACAACAAAAGATTTGTGGTATTTTATTCTTTAGGCAATTTTATGAGTTTGTTTATTAACAAAAAATTGGAACGATATTTGTTTTCACTGATATTAGGTGTTTTGTGTTCACTAGAACATGTAAAATTTTAATTATAAATTAAACAAAAATAATGTTCATAAATGCGAAAAATTAAACAAAATCTGATTTTGTATTTAATTTTGCAAAGGATTTATGAAAAATGTATTGTACTTGTTTTTGTGAATTACTCGAATTGTCTTAATTTATAGATAATTTTCCTATTTTACACTTACAACATTAAATATATGGTTTTTGACTGTTTTGAGTCTACATTAAAAAAATGTTTTATTTTTAATAAACTATTGAAAAAGAAACAATTTTTGTGATACTCACCGTTGAGGGTGGCTATTATATCACTCACTGCACTTGTTTCTGACTGCACTACTCATTTATCTCCCTTCACTTTCATCAGGGAAGTGCAAGTGTTTCTGCATTTTACCGGAGGATTATTAAAAAGAGCAGAGGCTACAGGCGTTCTGATAGTAACTGTGGAGAAAGCAGCGAGCTACTCGAACGCAAGTCCCACCTCCACTTTGTTGATTGATACCTAATTGTTTAAATTTCTCCAAACGCCCTGAGGCAAAAAAAAATGTTAAATATGATCGTGGCAATAATTATGTTAAGGAATTTCGGAAAAAATGCTACTAATAAAGTTAAATATTGTAACTAAATGTTTTGTGAAGCTTGAAGAAATAATTGGAATTTGTGCATAAGTGCAGAAAGTTTTAATTGTGTTTAACTTTTGATTACTTTCACCGAAATGTAAGCATAATTTCAATGTCATGGTTGGGTTTTAATTTATTTATAGTCTAAACAAATTTTACTTGTTTTGATTAGATGCGGCTTGTGAGAATTCGGGCCAATGGTTCATTAACATAAGTGTTAAAGTCACTTTTCACTTTTAGCGTACTGTAAGGTATTACTTATTATCCATTATTTATTTACATTACTCAATTAATTGAAGAACAAATTGAGAACTTGTTATGTCAAATAATTTCGAGTGAAACATTTTTTTGAGTACTTATCATAAAAAATGAAATTAAAAACTAAACTAACTTCGGTTACTCTTTGTCTCATTAAACATAAAAAGAGAAATCCATTAAAACTGTTCCAGAATTTAATTCTGCTTATGATCTTAAGAAACCTAAATTACTTTTCACGCAAAAAAATTATTTAACCGTAAATTCAGCATAGCAAAAATCTGTTAGTCAGGATGATTTGTCCAGTCAATTGAAATTTTTATATTTTCTCTATTTCCGTTTGCCACATCTAGTTAAGATTGAGTAATAATTACTTTAAAGTTTTTTAATGGTCAAACATCTAAACAATATAGATAAACAATTTTACGATTAATTAAAACTAATGATTGTCAGATGGTAATTTACACACAATGTTCATTTAGTGAAATTTATGAAAAAGACCTCGACAATTTTGTGAAAATCGAGATTTCAAGGCAATGTTCCACTCTCAGAGCATCTAAATTATTACGTACGACGGCCAATGCCGAATGTATTGGGAATTATTGATGTTATAGTATTCATTTACATTTATTATGTATTGTTTTGTAGGCTAGCAATATACTAATAAATCTTTATGGTAAAGAAACCCACGATAATCATTAATAGTTATTTATTCGACGAGTTTGAGTGTAAATCGGACGCTTTATTTCGCGAGTGGATTTTTAAACCTGTGGTTTATCATCCACGAGGTGAAATAAATGAACCGATTTACATGAAGACGAGTTGAATACAACATTTTATTCTTCGAATTAGACTCATCAAAAAGGCTTAAAATTGCTTTAAATCTGTTAAAAAGAAAAGAATCTGTCGTTATTCGTATTGAGAAATGCCAAACAGTCAAAACTTCCTTATACAGGAGAAAAACCGTAAATTTTGACAGTGTCGAAAAATAAAATAATAATAAAAACAACAATTACAATTGTTTATACAGGCTGTCCGTTAGTGACCTTTAAATGGTAAAATTAAAAAAAAAATTATACAGGACATTGATAGATACTAATCTAGTCCATCGCCTAAAATTATTTTCAACTATACAGCGTGTCTCAAAAATAAGTTACAATACAAACTTGTGTTTTTTTAATGAAACATATGCTTCTTAGCGTTTGGATGTAGATTTTTATGACAAGGTTTTTAAGCTAAATTTTTATTAGTCGATTTTGCTTAGTTTTAAAAACAAGACGGTTTCTTTGACAAAACATGCACTTTTTAAAAATTCATTACACAAAAACTAAAACATCTATAAATATTTTTTTTTACTATCGCAAAGAAGAAGGTACAAGCTATAAGGTTGTAACATTTTTTTTTGTGTTGCATTTGCAAAGATAAAAAAATAAAGGCGTTTGTTAAAAGTTCAATAACTTAAAAAAATTTGATGGAACACCCTACTTATTGTTTTTGCATTTAAAAGATTATTTAATTGTCTTTCTAAAATTATTTACTTTTAGGTGTTTATAATCAATAACTAAAAATATAATTAACATTAAACATTAAAAAAAAATTACTATTGTTTCAGTAGCCAAAAAGTGCACAGTTGCACAAGAGATGGAAGAAATATCATTTAATAATCACAAAATTTCATCGTTTTATGACAAAAAAGTTGACCCGATTTTTAAGAATCTGAATTTACGTGACTGTCTTATTAAAAAAATACGAATAAACAAAAAATATTTAAGAATATATTTGTTTATTGGGCTTACTTTTCATATAGTATTCTATTGTCAATGATAGTAAATGTATTATAACTTAGCAATCGAAAAGTTAGACCCATTTATCTTTGTGTTTGTTATAAGATGTATATTATGTATTTAGTCCAAAGCGATTTTAAAAATCAACGGGAAATATCAGACATACTAAACCTACTAACACACCTGGTTTTTCTTGCAAATAGAAATCGGAAGAAAACTGTATTTGAACACGTAAATTTTTATATAAAAATGGTTATAATAACAGTTCAATAATGACAGAAGAACTCAGAGAAACCTCACTCTTGGATCATCATCATTATTATTCGAAAATATGAAAGAAATATATTTTTCTGTTTCTATCCACTACAAAATTGTAGAATTTTAATACTTACTCGGTTTAAATATCATTAATCTAGTTGTGTCGAAATTCAAAGGAAATAAATTACGTTAAGCGTCTTATTACTGATTTGTGTTTACTTGAATTGTTTACAAAAATTCACAATTCTGACTACAGGAAATCATAATATCAGCACGTAAATTTTTATTTAAAAATGTTTTTAATAACGGTTATGAGCGATAGAAGAATTCATAGTATCCTCCTGCATCATCATCATTATCATCGTCATCTTTTTCAAGTCGTTCAATTTGATCCATATCGATGCCCAGAATATCCTCAGTCAAATAATCAAAATCGATAGTCTACAAAAAATGATTATATTTTAATGATTTAAGTTATAATTTTTAGTTCGCGTGATGCTTTCGTCTTTAAATTATATTTTTTTCTACAATATTTTCGACTAAAATAACAAGGTGTAATCATAATATAATCACTCGAAACAGGAATTTCTGCAAACGACTGAATATTTCCTGTGCTTTCACTCCCGGTGTGCGGTAGAAAAATCCAAAATACACTATTTGATCGATAATAAAAAACAATTATGACTAAATGCCATTTGTTACATGCAACCAATTAGAAAGCGTATGTAATAATTCCATAGCGAATTTTTACAACTTGTTCAATCACAAATACTTACATCAGGCATAAAGCTAAAATCCCTCTCACCGAACTGATCCGGCGTTTCAGTCTCATGTAAAAGCGTAATCAAACATCTAAAAATCTGCTCGTTGCTAACTTGCTCCCCTGTTGTTGTTATAGCCTCAATAAAATCCTCCCTCGACATATCTGACGCTCCATACTCATCCGAAAACGTCGTAATTGTTTCAAAAGACTCCTCAAGACTCTCGATTGTGTAACCGTAAGCGGGTTTATGATTAATAAAAAGTTTGACAAACTCGCAAAACGTGACTTTATCTTTCAACATGCCGTTTTCGTCGTATTCTTTATAACGCATGTCGGTTAGGAGATTTTCAATCTGATAAAAATGTACAATGTGTGTCATAGAAGGGGTAATTTTCTATATACCTCATATTCTGAAGGATAGTACCCACAAGCCCTCATCAAGTCTGGTAATTCCCCCAGATTTATGCTATTGCTGACCACTCGGGGGGCACAAATTTGTTCACCCTGCTGCAGGATTTGCATGTAGTAGAACAAATCGCGCATTTCCTGATACAGAAAACCGCCCCTTCCGCCTTCGATAAGACAATAGTAGGGCTGCAGCTCTACACCCCCCAATATATTCATTGTTTCAACACTCCTGAAAAAACAATCAACACACATTACAAATAGGATTAATAACAGTTAATTACGCCGTCTTGACCCTCCACATAAACACACTTCTGTCGTTTTTTCCAATAGTGAAGACATATTTCCCGTCTTTACACATTTTGAAGTCTAGTAACTAATTTTGTAATTATAATTATAATTGAGAAAATTAGGACAAATTGTCACTTCTTCAGGGTGTCCAAGGCTGCCAACAAATTTGAATGGATTGCCATCGATTGACATTAACTGAATTCCAATTTGCTTTTTTGTCATAAAAATTAAATATTTCCTGTCCGATTTTGGCAGAAACTCCATCTTACAAACCGGACTGTCCTTGAAACAGCCATAGGCTGGTCCTAAGTAAACAGCGGTACACATCATTGTTTTAGCATTGACAGTTTTATATTTATGCTAAAATTAAGTAATTTGGAAACAAATAATTGGGCAAAAATCACACCTTATCATCAGCAATCAAAAAATATCCACTTTTACTGAATTTTTTTCGGACGTAAGGAGTGAAATAAATCGGAGTGTCTTTTTGCTCGATTCGATCACGGGTTAAAATGTCCAATTCTTCTTCACTTAAAACATAAAATTGATTTTTCAAGCGAGAATAGGGCCGGGTAACTTTAGGTCGCTTACTAATATTTGAAATATCAAAATTTCACACTGAGATTAAGTCCTTATGAATTGTAAAATTTTACTTTTTCAGACAAGCAAAAAGAAGGAAAATATTAGCTTTGATTCGCTCGAAAACGACGTATAGTTATACAGCCCCTAGATCGGGATTATAAGTACTCGGGTGCAATATTTGTGTATCTTATAAGATGACGATCTTTTCCTATGGTATAAAGACTAAAAGGCTCTTCATCTAAAAACAAAATATTGCAAACATCTTTGTAGTGAGATCGAACTTTTCCTTTAAAAATCCAATCTTCGCTTTCACAGTCGTAATAAAAGCCAAAAATGGTGTTGTTCGAGTCCTGGAAATATTTAATAAATCCATCTGGAGTGTGTTGATTATTGTATAACTAACATAATAAGCCATTTGTAAAGAATTTTGTGAAAAGGCAATTTTCATAACTCTGTCATTACTAAATCTGAATGGTTCGACATAAATTTGACCTAAAGTGGCCGGTTGTAGTAACCACAATTCACCATTTGATCGACCACAAGCTAAATGCAGACCTACCAAATAAAGGATTTAAAAAATGTTTGCAAAAAATTCAACTGACTTTGTGGCGAATATTTGATACTGGTTATAGTAGTGTCAGGTTCAGTTTCTGGCAGATTTGTCGAAACCACTTCTTCGTGTGTTTCATAATTGAATATGATAATATGACCTTTGGTATATGCAACTATGACATAAGGCCTTAAAAATTGTTATCAGAGAGTGAGCGAAATAGTGATTTATGATACTTTTCGTCATGAACGTCAATTGCAGCAACACTGCTCTCGCCAGTAGGAAACAAAGAAATAAATTGTTGTTTGGAGAAATTCATCAAATAAATTTGGCCATCAACAGTTGCTACAAAAAAATTGTAAATTTTTGCGAAAAATTGGGGAGAAATTCGTACAAATGAAAAAGTCTCGGATGATAAAAGGGCGATTGTTGAGAGTAGCATCTTTTGGTACCTTTTGTTTCATTAAGATTTCGTACTCTTCTGATCGGTCGTGGATACAATCAGGGATTTCTTCACTCCTACTGTTCCTACCCTCTGGGCTTTGCGACTCGTCAAAAACGTATTTTCGTCGTGGATTTTGCTTGAAACTTATCGATCGGATCGACTTTTCAATACTTCGTGAGTACCAATAAAGCAGTTTGATTCGTTTATCGAAAAACATGATTGTTCCAGTTGAATTTCCTGTTACAATCATTCTAAAAACAATTATGGAACCTCAAATTGAAGCACATTTTTCCAATACTCGTCAACTGATGTCAGACAATTTAAAGCTCCTTTCTCAATTTTGATAGTTTTGACAAACATTTTATCGTTGTCCAAGTCCTCGTTTCCTGCGTAATTTTTGGCAAAAATCGTGTTCCCAAAAACGAGGATACAGCCTTTGGAGGTGCTCACGAAACATTCGTGGCAACAATTGACGTAAGTCCCATCGGTGTAATACCCTATTTTTGTAGTGAGGGGGCTTTTGGGACTTACACTTTTGACCAATTTGTCTGTCTCGTAGTCCCAACGAAAGAAAATAACGCCTTTTTCAAAAACAATCATAAAGTGTTCTTCAAGGTTGGGATGAAACTCGATTGCTTTGGCTGTACCTAAACTGCGGTCATCTACGTAGGTTTCTGTGTAATTTCATTGGATTAGAGTGAAAAGTTTTGATTTTATAATAAGTACCATCTGGTTTATCTTTACCGTAGGTCCATAACCAAAAATTGATGGTATTTTCGTTTTCGTTGGTGATGGTTATTAGTAATCGGGCGTTTGGACTTAGACCTATGAGGATCAAATCGTGGCCTTCTGAGGGATGATTGAAAATCGTCCATACGACTGAGCTAAAAGAATTATAGTGACCTAACTTGGCTCATTTTTTAACTTTTCACCAGTTTAGTGTATCCCAAATCATGATAATGTTGTCTTTTCCGTTATCAGCAGTGGCCAACCAACGACAACTCCTATCCACTGAAACGCTCACGATTTTGCTTTGCTATAACACTGTGATAAATTTTGAATTAAATTTAAATAAATTAACTAACGTGTCCTCTAAGATGGATCATTCTTTTCGTACAGTAATTATATACAATTCCTACATTCGTTGCTGAATAAAATATTTCTCGCCGATCTCCTGCGGTCAAGCTAAGGACTGGAATACTAATATCGAAACCGAAGACCCATTCCATGTCCTAATAAATTGGTTTAGACCGAATGTTTTCATTTTTAACAAATTACCCACAAAAGGGTTTAATAGGGGGTTATATTTGCAGTCTTTGAGGACGCTGGCGGGACCCAATTCACTCGAATCGTTGACCAAATCGTTCAGAAGTGGTAAATCCACATTCTCCTTATGATACCACTGGTCTTGAGCGATTTGCGATCTAAAATCATTACTTTCAGAGTAGTTTAACATCGTCGAAGTTGTAAATTTAAAAAAAAATGTGGTGAATGACAGTTTTTGAAACAAACTAGATTTGATTCTGATTAAAAAAAGATTCGAAAATTCAACCCCGGCAAAAATTATAGTATTTCTTTTAGGACTCTACAAATATATTTTACCAAAGGGAGGGATGGCCGTTAGACAAAGATAGACTAACACATTATCACTGTACAAGCAAAGAGAGAAAAGAACAGGCAAAGGAATTCTGTCGGCTTCGCCTAAAATATTCTTTTGCTGTCTAAGGATTAAGAAGAAAGGATTATCTTTTGCAGTTCCTTTTTACTTTAATTAATTTTCCGTTATTCGGTAAATAACACGGTACCCAGGGTTATTTTACAATTATGTATGTAATACTTTAATGAAAGAAAAAAGTTTGTATAGATAAAAAAAATATTGTGGTAATAATAACAGTACATAAATTATTTAATAAAAATATACATTCCAACATTATAAAAAATTAAAACTGTAGAGATAATTTTTGAACTTCATCACGAAATAATTTTTGTTCAACAAACATTTGTCCGAAAGCTTCTTCAAACCTAAAAACAGCGAATGAGAATTTCTTACAAAATGTTAAACAGGAGATAACTGGCAACGTAATTCCTGGTTCTCGTTTATGAGAGTATCAGCGTCCCAGTGGATCATTCGATTCGAATAACCATCAAGTAAATAATTCTTTTCTGAAAAAGTCATATAAATGGTAGGCAACCAATTATACACGTACTTTGCGGCTTCAGTGATGAAATTAGAGTTTGATATTGTTCTTTCTGATTGTCGTTTATTGCTTGAGACAGATCCTTCAAATGTTTGTGAAACTTATCCATCCACAATTGCAGTGTCTCAACGTCTTTAATTGCAACCAACATGGCCCTGAAGTTTCAAAGACTTTAACAAGAATTTCAAATTGTTTACTCACTTTGAATAACTCTGAAAATTGTTATTATTTAATAACTTATCCTTCTCTTTGAGTACACTTGAGACAATTTTCACCATTTCAATAGGGGTAAACTCCTGACTACTACTGGGACCTTTAAGAATCAAGTCTGTAGCTCGCTCAATTCTGCAATTTAACAGAATTAAACAAAAAAAATAACAAAAAACACACTTACGCATTGCTTAAATCACAATCTTTAAGTATTGGGGTGACATTTGCAAGGACTTTATTCAACACGACTTGCCTCTTGCACAAAATATCAACTTTTTTAAGCAAATCGTTGTGATTATGGATACTTCTTTCTAAATCTGCCATCAGTTGTAGAAATTGCAGCAAGAGTTGTCGGAATACGTTGGCACACTCCATATCCAATTTATTGTCACTATTATTAATATTATAATAACAGTCAACTCGGACAAGAAGAGTAGTTAAAGTTTTGTTGATTTGCAGCATGCTGTCTTTCAATTTAATATTCAGGAAATTTATATACTGAACACATAACTGGAAAGCTGTTATGAGAGAAACCAACATTGTGCTTTGCTGAGTAAGAAAAAACAGAACTTTTGTGTAAATGACACGCAAGTCGCGCCATTTGTACACCGTTATGCAATTCTCAAACAGTATAGAGACGTATTTTGGTAACTTAAAGGTTTCTCTGTGGATGAAAGCACCTTTCTTGAATACAAAGAGGTTTAGATCGTCCTAAAAATATCGCTAGAGGGCACCAGTTGTGGTGACTTCAGTCTCACCTTTGCAAGAATATCCACAACGTATTTGTTGTCTTTAATATCAAAAACACATAAATTACTTAATATAATTTGATCACTTTTGTGAACTTTTGTATCACGCGCTATCCAGTCTTTTAGGGTACTTATTAAAATACTTTCGTTGATTTCGTAAGAATAAAACTCCAACGTATGTACTGAAAATACGTTAATGATTTTCTTATCTAAAATATTGACCAAATAGTCGAAGACGTTTGAGTTGTCTGGGAAATTAGCTCGTCGTAGCATTGGATCGAATTGTAAGACATGTTTGAGCCAAATTTCAACGTTTTGTTTAAGACACGTGGAAATGTGATTTTCTTTTAATAATTCAGATGAATACATAACACTACCGGAATGCAATTGGTAGATACATATGTGTTCCGGTTTTTTTCTTTCAATATATGAGAATCTAGAGACAAAAACTATTATTTTAGGATTTATCAAGTCATAATATTACCTTTCCATCGGGGCATAATGGGGCAAAAATGGCAAAACCCCACAAATGACTTCAAATGCAATAATCCCCAACGACCAATAATCAACACTAAAGTCATAATTTTCCGCTTTCATTATCTCAGGCGCTAGATAATTCAACGTCCCCACAAAACTAACAACAGAATCACTCAATTCTTTAGCATATCCTAGATCAATCAACTTGTAAATAACATCTCCAGGTCTAGTATTACAATGTTGCAAAACAATATTCTCCGGTTTTATGTCTCGATGTGTAATATTCTGTTTATGTAAGTAAGAAATTGCTTGAGTAATATCAGCTAAGAAAATCCTGACGTCACTTTCCAGCATCCCTGTTGAATTTTTCGCTTGATTAAGTAGTCGTCTCAGGTTTCCCTTCCTGCAATACTCCATGGACAACAACGGCAGTCTCGTTGGGTTATACTTGAGCAAAACAGCCTCCAAATGTGGGGGCAACGTTTTAAATGAGACTATATTCGGACAATTTAATGTTTTCATAATTTGGACTTCGTTTTCCCATCGCTGTTTTTGTCGGTCACTGAGGTGACCACTAGTTTTGAATTTGCACTTTTTTATAGCTGCAACAAGTGACTCAAATCAGTTATTAGTGTTACGTAATGAATACCGATGTAATCGTCGGAATTTGTGTTTTGCCACAGGGCGACAACCCCAAAAGCACCGGAACCGAGGATGGAGATGCGTTTCCAGTGCTCGATCTCGAGGAGCTCTTCCATCCTATCAACCTAACCTCAAACGTAAAAATGCAACTTTTGCAGTTTTTGCACAAAAATACTCACGGAAATTGATAATTTTTAATTGGTCCAACAGGTGAGTTAAAAATAAAATTTGCAGCACTTTACTAACCTATTACTAAACGTGCACATAACTTAAGCAAGGGTTTGACGAGTCTCAAATAATTTTTCTTCATTCGGATAATATAAATGGAGGCATCTTTCCGAGAAATCATATCTATTTTGGTTAGAAAACGTAATTAAATAAACATCTAAATAACTGTGTTTACATTGGAATCACGTAAAGTATCTGCACTAAAAGTACGTGCCGGACATAGCAAGATAATCCCTGTTTTAAATTATCCGGGCTCTTCTTAAAATAGCATTCTATTTCAATTAAAATCTATTTTTGGAAATAAAGTAGGTGACAGTTTTAAAATTGGCGCACAATTTTGATTATGTCCTGTGGTTAGATGGGTGGTGGCGCTAGTGTAACACCCGCGAAATCGATTAGAGCTTTTGACATGTCCGATCTTGTCAATAAATTCCATGACATGATCAAGTTGCCTCGATGTCTTTTGTTTTTTGTGAGGTACTGCCCGAAGTCGCCATTGTTTTGCTTTTTCAACTTCTTGATTAACATATTCTTAAGTCGTTTCGTTCGTTTCAGAGTTAATTAATCAGTTGGTGTTGTTGCAAAATTGAAAAATCATGATTGAGTTTACTGAAGATTGGTTGATGCATAAGAGCATCCTAGGCGAGGGGGCTTACGGAGAGTAAGTTAGATTTGTGTTTAAATAATCATATTTTATTTGTGTTTCTGTTATTAGAGTTAAACTGATTGTTAACAAACACACCAATGAGAAAGTTGCTTGTAAGATAATCAACTATGGGAAACAAGATAATGTCCAAGTTAATATCAACAAAGAAGTACTCATACATAAAATGTTGAATCACGAGAACATAATTAAGTATTTTGGACGAAGGAGAGAACCTCTGAGGGAATATATTTACCTAGAGTATGCCTCCAGAGGCGAACTTTTTCAAATGATTGAGCCTGATATAGGAATGTCGTCTTCCTTGGCTCAACTCTACATGAAACAGCTTTTAAACGGGTTACAGTATTTGCACAACTTGGGAATCGTTCACCGCGACATCAAACCTGAAAATCTCCTAATCAATGATGATGGAGTTTTGAAAATTAGTGACTTTGGAATGGCAACTTTGTTCAGATGTAAAGGCAAAGAGCGGCTTTTAGATCGACGTTGTGGCACTAAGCCTTATTGCGCCCCCGAAATTTTATTAAAGCCTTACAGGGCCCAACCTGCCGATATTTGGAGCTGTGGAATAGTTCTGATAGCAATGCTGACGGGAGAATTGCCTTGGAGTGACACATTTAGCGAAGAATTCGTTAATTATAAGAATGATAGTTATATAACAGTCACACCTTGGAGTAAATTGGGCAATGCTACGCTTAGTCTAATTAGAAAAATCCTAGCAATTGATCCAAACAAAAGACTCACGATTCAGCAGATTCTGGAGCACTCATGGATGAAATACAACTTTGATGACCGTAAGTTTTTTGTTTATTGTTTATTCCAACAGATGGTAGCTGATTTTGTTACTTTGGTAATTTAGCGTTTGTGATTTTATTTGATTCATAAAGCTAGATTACCAAAGCAATACGGTTGGCGTTGCAGCAGAAGTGACTCATTTGAAATAAAAAATGTTCTGTTATTTAATTATTTTATTTTTGTTTAGAAAAAAATGATGTTGTGGATGATTCCAATTTGAATCCTGTTAAACGTTTCAATTCGATGATGGAGGCTGAAACTCGTATTCATCGCACCAATCCTATTGTGATTTTGTCTCAACCGACTCCAGCAATACGTCCGCCTTCAATAAATCAGCTGGTGACTGATCTCAGGACAAATCGTGAACTTGTATGTTTCTCACAACCCACTCACAACGACGATATGCTTCTGAGTTCCCAAATTCAATTCAATGAGACTCCAATTACCAAAGATAATTTTAATAATCTAGTTAAGAGAATGACGAGATTTTATGTTACCACTAATTATGAAAAAACTTTGGAAGTTTTGTGTTCTGTTTTAGACACTTTTCATTATAATTGGCAAATTGATGGAACAGGAGCTGTAAGTATGGAAAATTTCATTTGAGGCTTTACTAAGTCGAGGTTTCAGATCACTATTTCAACTGTTGATATAATGAAAAATCAACTAATTTTTAAGACGAACATAATCGAAATACAGGGTAAAATTCTGGTGGATTTCCGCCTGTCAAAGGGCTGTGGTATTGAATTTAAAAAGAAATTTAAAAAACTAAAAGAGTGCCTTGACGATATTGTTGAAAAAAATGAATAATAAATTGTAGTTCCTTGTTTGTTTTTGTACTTTTTTATTAAATATTTTCTAAAAAAATGTATATTATTCAAATGGACAATCCGAATTTGAGTGGGTATCCACGCAGAACATTCCTTTAATCCTGCAAACAAAAACATTATCATATAAATTGAGTAAAAAACTCCGAATACCCGAAAGGTGTGTCTTCTCCCATGGGGACCGCCTTTCCGGGTAAGTACCCCCAATTCGAGGATTTTTTGGGACACGTGGTGACACACGGACGCCCCAGATGTGCGTTTGCTTTCCGTATAGTCGTCGAGAAGAAACAGGCACTTTGGAAATGGCTACATCGGGCTCGACCTAAATCACCAAAATCAATTATGCGGACCGCAGACTAAACAAATAAAACACAAATCACTTAGAAATCGGCTTTATTATTATTTTAAAATTAAACCAATATACATTTAAATCACGTGCGGACTAAAACTTTACCAAAAATTAACATATAAGGTCCGATTTATCAATTTTAATCACGTAATATTTGAGGCGATAGTTGCATTTTATCTATAACGTGTTGTGGCATACAGTAAGTAGGATTCACGTTTTTAATTTCGTGTTGGCCGAGCAGTGACAAGGCGGCAAGGCCAAAAAGAGTGTGATAAGGATCAGGAACATCGCCGGGCCGGTCTGCGAAGCCCCCAGTTTCGGTGTCTTGACATGCCAGAATAAATTTTTTTAATTTTTCGCCACTTATCCAGTGGAGACGCCCCAAAATAGTCAAGGATGATAAGACCCACCATGAGTAGCAAACATCGGGGAGTTTCTCAGGCCGGCCGTTGAGTCCACCTGAGGGTAACTGTCTTTCACACAGCCACCATGCTAGAACGTCTCTCTTTACCAAGTCTAGTCTGTGTGTTATTGACAAGAATCCAAGACAACAATAAATTAATCCAGCATGGCTTTCTGATAGTGGCCTCGAGCCAAACCCCCCGTCAAAATTCATACAAGATTCGACAAATTTCACGGCATTTTCAACATCAACAGCGTCCAGTTTTTTGAGAAGAGACAAGGTTGCCACAGCACAAAATGAAAATCTTGTATCCACTTCACCCCACTTGTCTCCGGTAAAACTCCCATCGGGTTGTTGCAACGATTTGACATATTTCACAACAGCCTCGACATCAATTGCGTCCAATCTATCATACATTGCTAAAATCTGAACGCCGCTCAATGTGTGAAGTAAATGTGGGTCGTGCCCCAAACACGCGCTGATTCCGCCCGTTTCCGAGTCTTGGCAGTTTTTAATGTATGTGACGATCTCTTCCTGAGGTGAGGAATGTGTCCGGTCGAGGAGTTCTAGGGCTGTTAAGCCCCAGTACATGCCGGAAACTCGGAGGTAGTCCGTCATACCGAACTCCACATTGTTGTCATCTTTACCGTAATCTCGTAGGAATTCTATGTGTTTGTCGAATAGTATCGCAACTGGAGCATTTTCTTTCAAAATTACGTCTTTTATTGGTGTTGCCATTGTTAAACATAACCTCAATGTTTGCTGTCAAAATGACAAGTGGACATGGAGATTTTGGGGTGGATGGGTTGGCAGCGCTAGTGGTATAAAAAGTTCAACATTTTTGCCGCCAATTTTAAAATATTGTACTCATTCATAAAATGATAGGAAGCGGTGAAAGTTTAATCAATAGTTTGATTACCAAGGTAGCATTCACTTATAAATGCGGACAGATTAATCAATTATTGCAAAGATAACTGAAAAAGTTTGACTGTTTTTATTGATTTATAAGCATTAAATTTAGAGAATGTTGTTTCTACAAAAAAAATAATTATAAGAATTTTTAGTTTGGAAAGTATCTAACTAGATTATTATTTCTTTTTTTCTAATTTCTAAGTACTGTTAATAATGAAAAGAAAAAACGATTTTAAATAAGCTTTTGTTTATTGATTTCGCAAATTTTATGCATGCTCTTCCCTCGTACAAACATGTTTTTCAACAAAAACACAGAAACATGTTGGCTTTTATTATCAGCGTGTTTTTTCACTTATTTAAAAATTCGTTTTCGGTGAAATAATGCAAATTAATTCGTTACAATTGTAGGTGTTGAAAAATGGCAAAATTGCGTGAAAGTGTGAAGAGTAGGAAAATTTTTCCACAGACACTAAAATACCTCTTATGTACAAAATTTTTCTCGCCAAAGATTTTTGTAATTTCAGTTTTTTGTGTATTCTTATTATTGGAGCTTTTTTATGAGAAAGTTGACAGTGCCATCTCTTCAAACAAAAGTTTTTAATTAACAAACTTTGCTTGAAGGGTTATTTAAAACGTGAATTTCTTTAAAACTCAAGTTTGTTTAGTTGTAATTAATACGTAAAATGTTACCTAATTAATTAGACATCGAGTAAAAACGCAGAAACCACGAATTACTTGAAGTATTTTTAATTTTGTACCAAATATACGTTTTTTATGCCTAAATCTATACAGTTATTAATAATTACTCAAATCATTGTAAATGATGACATTTCTTCAAAAAAATCTTTATTTCTTACTTCAGTTCGCATTTCTTTTGACCATTTCAGATTTACATGCAACTATTAAATTCGGTTAAGGTACAATAATTAAAATTCTTACCGATTACACAAATTAAATTGATTATTAGCTTTATTCGTTTATCTTTAAGAACTAGGTCATTCTTATTGCATTTACTGTTACAGAAAGCCTCCAGGAGCCATATCATGTCAGCGTTTAAAAAGTATTGAACAGATAATACCCTCGACTTTGATAAATTAATCTTTAATTTATTGTTTAAATACTTACGCAAAACGTGGCCTTTGCACCCCGGTTGTATCTGCCCCCCATTGACGCAGAAATCGATATGCCCTACTTGATTAACCTCCCCCAACACCCCGGCATTAGTATGAATGACTTGTACTTGGTGGGCATCGTCTTTGGTGAGTCTGAAGTACTTATCGCCGTATCGATTGATAAGCGGTCTCGCCGGATCCAGTCCTGCGAATTACGTTCATAGTGCAAGCCCCAACTTGGGTTAAACAACCTACCAACAATCTTGTGCTGCTTAACATCCAAATGATTGCTTATCATTCCGCAGATATGCGCCCCGAGAGAGTGACCAACGCAGGTTGTTTCTCGGGCATCGCCTCCGTTCTCCATTATGAAAGCGTACAATTTAGCCGTACACTGACTGACTAGTTTCATGTTTGATAAGGCCGAGAGGTAGCAAGGAAACTTGGCGAGGGGCATCCAGTCGACCGTAAAGATGTTGTAATCGGTGCGAGACAAATACGCTACCAAATTTTTAATTAATTATCAAAACGGCGAAATGTTGAGTCATGCTGTCTGCGTTAAGAAAGCGAGCATTTTTTGAAAAGTAACATTTTCTTACCATTTCTTAGGATGGTCATGGGGGTTTTGCTCTCGGTTCCGTTGAAGCCGTGAATGATGATCGCGTTTTTTCGCGAGGGAACAAATCCGGAGTATTCCAGTGAGTAGTGGTTTCTTATGTCTATTCTCAGTCTTCTGGTACCCGACTCGCTGGAAGAGAATCAGGGTCAATATTCGGTGATGGCCCGCTTTGGTCAAAATTCGCAAAAGTGTGTTAGTAGTGTAAGTGAGGCTGTTTTTATAATTTCTTCCCTGGCTAGAGCTCGTTGAGTGAAGTAATGAAAAGGAAACAACGTTTCATTGTTTTGTAAAAATGTAAGAGTGTAACGCAAACATCTTAAAGCGTTGCAAAAGCAATTTGATCTATTAAGAGCAGAATTCTGGCTTTTTACTTCAAGTTGAGATAAATGCGAGAGATTTTAATTGAAATATGTGTAACTTGATCTAAAAAGAAAGAAAATTGAACTTGTGGCAACATGAGAAACTAGTTCAAAGCGTTTCTGATTTATTTTTTTTAACTTTACTATTAAAAATTTAATTAAATTTATTTTTGAATATATAATTATACATGATTCTTTTACATTTCGTCATAAAACAGCGTGGGAATTTTTAAATTAGCCAATATAACGGTTTGTTTTTTATTTGTGTTTTGAAGAAACTTCACTACAGCTTTGGAATGGAATCTATTTTTATCTTCTTTGAATTTCTTACGCATTTTATTCTGAATTATAAATTTATATCATGAACTTTGAATTGAGTATCTTTTACAGATACTGGAATTTCTGCGCTTATAAATCATGCTTTTGATTATTCAGAATGAAATGCAAATATTGAAACTGACGTCTGAATTAAGATTAAATTGGGACCTAAAAATGTTTACATTAATTATTTAAATTTTTTATTTATGACAATGAACTTTGACATCTAAATTTAAAAGCAGCATTAAAGTTTAAAATTTGGAGTCTCAATATAAGTTTTACATAGAAGTATAATTGTAACTTGGCATTTTGCATTTTATATTTGAAATTTGGAAAAGCATAAAAAAAAAATTTAAGTCAAAATTTTAAAGCTTAGTTTTTCTTACGATTAATTTCTAAATTTAGTTTTTTAAGTTTGGAAAAAATGTTGAAATGTTAAATGTTAAATATTATTGGGATCGTAATGTGGCAAAACTGTTAGAATTCGAAATCAAAAGTATCGTCAACTAATGAAATTAATACACAGTAGAGCACAAATTCTTATGATAAATTTAGATATTTTAACGCTTTATTTTCTCTAAAATGTTAAACCCATATTATTGTTTTTTCGTTTTTTTATTCGAACACTTTCAGTAAAAACCGCAATAATTTTTTTATTTCTTGTTAAAACCTTAGGAAGTTTTCTCGTTTTATTTGATAATTTCGTAGTCAATTGGATCCGTTTCAGTTTGCTTTTATTGTAGTACAATCCGATCTGATCACCGTAATTTAATAGAAACTGCAATGTGAAAACAATTTTTCGTGTAGCATTCTTCAGGTTAACTATCAGTGGAAAGTGACTTTTTTGTCGCTTTGATATCTTTCCCACCCGCAATTTCACTTACCGGGTATATAAATAAAATTTGATATCCTTATCCGGACAAATATCTGTTTTTTTCATGACACATCTCCAGTATTTGATATCAAACATGTTCCAAATACCCAAGACATCTGAAATTAGCATGTATTAGATAATGTCTTTGAAATTGGACACGGTGTTTATTTGATCTTCTCACAAAAAAGGGGGAAATGTGATTAGGTTGCGAGGAAATTGTGTACAATAGGGCGAGGTCATGTTCAAATAAATTGGGGAGAAAAATCCGGCCTAACGAAAGTTGCAATAATCAAGTGCGTTATTAACATTATTGGCAATTTTCACGCCATTTGGAACAGACTGCGCAACTGATTTTTCATTTCTTGTCATCAATTAAAGCAACAGTGTTACACTTATTTAATAAAATTTTGACAATCACTTTGGTTACTAGAGCATACTACCGAGCGATTTTTTCTTACCTCCTGTCAAAAAACCGATAATTATTACCACCAAACACTGTAGTCTCATTTTTGAATATATTTTTTTTCATTACGAGAACTCATCACACTACATCGTCTTGTCAATCCACCACAACACATACTCTTGGATTGAATGGTTTTGGAGTTGATAAGTAGAGTAAGGTCCTGTTAGATCAGATAGACCGCATCTCCTCTTATTTTCCACTTCTTCATTTTCGCACAGTTACGATTTGACCGGTCTCGACACTACACTTCACGAACCAAAATTTAATTCTAAATAGTAAAAGGGTTACAATTGGAATAAATTCGTATTTTGTATAATTTTCAAATAATTATAATGCGCGCGTTGCGTTTACTTTCACGATAGCACGAATGCTGATCTACTTATTAAGTGTTTGTTGAATTTATTCGTTTTTTGAATGTTTACTTTATCCTGAGATGGGGAGGAAATGAATGAAGTGAGCTCAGTGATCGGTGCGGAAAAATTACTAAATAAAAATAACATTTACATATAATTAGGAAACGAATGTATTTATTTTAGAAAGGTTTCTGGTGCAGCTGTCATAGTATGCAAGATTTGACTGTGATAATATGGGAAGCGGAAGAATTTTGTAATGGCTAGAAGTGTATTGTTTCCTGGTACATCATCTAAAAATTTAAACCAGTTATAAAAAAGAGATGGCAATTTTTGTAAAGTCACATACAGTATGTCTCCGGATTGAGTTTACAACAGGAAAAAAAATTATCTTGGATTTTACGACAAAACCGCAAATGAAAAACATTTTTTGCAAATCTGTAATTAGAACTTCATTATTCTAACTCAGTATAAAGAAAAGTTGATTATTCTCTTGATTTTGGACTTAGAATAATTTTTCTCTGCTTTTTAAATCCTATCACATTGGCGGTTTTATTTATTTGACAATGATGTCATTTTGACAAATGAGTTTACGCAAGTTAAATAGCAAAAATGTTTGTGAAAAAGATAATTTTAAAAAATAGCAACTTAAAGAAAGAGCTTTAATATAAAAAAACAAAGTTATTTTTAACACGAACTATCATTATTTAATTTATAAATTAATTGGCAAAGTGACATATAGTTGTCAAATAAATAAAACCGTTAATGTGATAGGAAAGAAAGCAGAGAAAAATTATTCCAAATAAGTCCAAAATCAAAAGAAAAATTAACTTTTCTTTTCACTGAATTAGAATAATGAAGTTTTAATTACAAATTTGCGCGTTTCAAGTGAAGCAAAAAATGTTTTTCTTTATTTGCAGTTTTGGCGTAAAATTAAAGATACAAATTTTTTCCTCTTATAAACTCAATTCGGGAACACACTGTATAATATTTTATTGTTTTATTATTTTGCCGAGTTTAAATTGTTATAATTCTCATATATTAAAATTAACACGTGATTTTAATCATTAATTAGTAAATCATTTAATTATTTTATAATTAAAATGTATCTAACAGTAGATGAGAAGTTTATTTAGAAATTATGATTTGATTTAAATAATTTTTGATTTACTTGTAATTACAGGTTGTTTTTAATACTATTTAATATTTTTCTTTACTCTCACTTTTGTTTAATTACGCGTTGGAAAAAATAAATTAATTAGTGTTATTTTATTTCTTGTAAGGTACACCAACCTTTTTACAATTTCTTAAGCATTTTTTATTTAAAATATTTGGAAAATAAATTCTCGTTTACCATTTCTTATATAGTTTTTTATTGTTTTAATCCTATATAGGCTCTTCAACTTTGATCCAAGAAGTATTGTCATATCTTTAAAAATAATGAAGTTATGTCGTAGGGCGTATTTAATCCAGACTCAATGTAATTTAACTCAGAATTAAACTAATGAATAAATAAATTGCTAATTATTCTGAAAATTTGACGACATATTAAAACTTTAATACTTATAAGTAAGAAATATACATGAAAAACAATGGAACCTTGATAATTCGAACTAATGTAACCCAATGTTGTGTTCAAATTTGACGTTTTATCGTGCTCTTTTTTCGTAAGTAAGAAAGAATGGTTTTTGAATTTTAAATGTTAATTTTAAAACCCTTTCAGAGTTCATACAAAAAAGTAAAAAACACGTTTTTTTTTAATTTAGTGAAATAATTATTCTCAATTTCTTATTGTTTTAAATGTCGTTTTCTCTCAAATTTATTTTTGTTGCAGAAATCATGTAAATAAAGTCTTTTTTACTGCTGACTATAAGCGCCTAACAGAGTTTTTCGTTTGGTAACTCCTATTCCACTTGATGAAAGAAAAGTCAACAATTTTTTGCTATGTCTTAAATTTTTGTTGAATCTGTGGCTGATTTCATATTGCTTCATCGAAGTGTCTGCTTTTTGGAAAATATTAAAATTGATTTATTTTTTTTTTATTTTTTAGCCATATTGTAATTACATATGTAATAAATAAATAATATATCTAATAAAAGTATCATGTAAACTGATTAAAATAAATGAAAAATGCAAAGTTTTGGACTTGAATATCACATTCTCTTGAAACTCGATAACAAAAAAATGGCTTACTGGCTAGTGGAATTAACATGGGTTGGAATAATTGAGGTTGTGAAGATTTAAATTTTATGTTGGTTTGTAAGGAGAGACTTATGAATGTTTTTTGACTTCTGTTTTTAGAAGTAAAGAATGAAAATGATAATTAATTGTTTGTTATCATTATTTCGAATTTATTTAAACTTTTGATTGTAGTAGTTTCAAAATCTGAAATCAAAAAGTGTTTAAAACGAAAAAAAGTTTAGATAATTTTTACTATACTTTCCGGTTAATTAAACCTAATACCAAAAGGGAGAAGAAGTTGTTAGGCAAATTACAGTTTTTCTCTTAAATATCATGTAAGCAACTATTTTATTTTTCAAATACAAATGTTAAAAATATTACATTTAGTACAATAAAAAATAAGAAGTAAGAATGATTCCTAACAATCTTCAACAACGTAACATCTCAACTTCAATCTTTCTAAGGAATGAAAACCCGGAAAATTCTTACTGAAACGAGAACAAAAACGTCTGAGAAGGAGAATATGCGGTCGTAATTTTTCTTCAGTTACTTTTGTCAGTGTCTTCAGAACCATCTGCTTTAGATTTTACCTCGTGACCTTTCTCACATTTAGGTCACTTCCTCTTGACTTAAGTTTTTTTGAATCGGTATTATTTTTTACCTTGTTTTGATTGAAATTATTATATTTCTCTTCACTCTTGTCGAAATTATTAGGTTTTGGTGCCATCTGTTGCAAACGAGTTTAGTCGATTAGAGCTACCTTTTCCTAAGTTGCTTTCTAATAAATGATCCACACACGCTTTGTCATTTTTTAAGCTTCGTTTTAAGCGAGTGTTATAATTACGACAAGTTTCTGTTCCAAATTTGGGTCTCTTAATTATTTTTTCTACCTGGAAGCGACCATAAACTATATTTAATGTGTAAAATGACTCTTTGGATTGATATTTATTGGCTGATAGGAAATAAAAAAGTATATTTTGAAACGCCTTCATTATTTTGATTGTCATCCCTGGAAACCTAATCTGAAGTAGCTTGTTAAATTTTTAGTTAGGACCTTTTGTGCCTGTCTAAGAGCAAAAAGGTGTTATTGGGCAGGTGGTACATGCATGAGCAGGTAGCAAAATCACAACCATGTCTTTCAAGACGCTGTATCTGACACAGAATGTGGTGATTTTAATAACTTCTTTAGCAAATTAACTTAAAATAAATTAAGTTCTGTTGAGGGATTGTAAAATAAATATTCATTGAGTCATTGAGTGAGCCTTTCAGTGGGATTTTTTCCGCAAAAGCTTCCAGCTTTATATCGGACAGGTGTTGCTTTTATGACGGAAATGGGATGCTGTCATGCATCACCAAAAGACCCATGCAGTTAAAGGTACAATAAAAATAAAAAAGGACATCCCCTGTTAAAACGAGATGAAATCACAGCCCCTACCAGGGCCGTAATAATGAAAAAATCGCCGTTGATATTCTAGTGTAAACAGCGACGTTAATTGATATTTTTGTGGTGATAACGGAATTGAGATAGCCATAAATTTATTTATGACGCTTTGATTTAATTAAGAAAGTTTAGTGAGGGACGAAAATCGCGATGATTTCTTGGTGGCAGCTGTTATTGTTATTGCGTTAATTATGGTGGGTGGCTGCGTGGGGTTTTGCCCTATTTAATTATATGAGTTGAAGACGTTGTGGTGAAGTTAATGAAATGTGTCTGAGATTTTATCTACTTCAAGAAGAGTGTACTATTTATTTTGTTTGTTTTACTATGGCGTCGTAAATGGTGTGAATAAAGTCAATTATTGCGTAAGATTGATCGATTTACTCAATGAATTAGAATGACTAGAAAATTTTGTTTGCTTAAAATGTGTCGATAATGTTATCAATTTTCACACTTTTACAAGAATAATTTTGATAATAATAATCTTTTGAAGCAATGGGAGTACCTAATTTTTATTATTAAGTATAAACATGATTTTTTTTTAAAGTTTCAATATTGTAGTTGAATAAATATTTAAGTTGTATAAAGGTA